GAGTTTCTCCCAGTAACCGCGAACAGTGGCGGGTATACCGATGCTTAACTCCGAATATTATAGGTGGGGCGGTCATCAACTCCACTAAACATTGGAACACCCAACCATAATGACATCATACTGTATGGATGGATGATACTTGGTGAGTGCAGTAGAACTTGTAGGTATGTATATATAGCAATTAAAAATGGCTTACATGGTGGATATCACTGGCAAATGGAATGGTTGAGGCCAAGAGAGGATTCAAGGCATTGTTATCCTTCCAAGGCGGTGACTAGCATCAACTCATCGGCTAGGTGGGGCTTGTCAGCAGATTGCATTAGCGCCGAGGCCTACATACGTAATGTGCGTTACGGTTTATATTGTAGACGATCGATATTGGCCAGTCAATTGGCTACACAAGGGTGTGCTATGCTAAACTAGTGATAATACGTCATTGGCCCTGGAGATACCGTACGTCTCATATGTACGGAGTAAATATGTATGGTGAGTAGGTTGAGCTTCTAGAAACGATCTTATTGCCCAAACATCCCAGAGACCAGGCGCTTTGTGCAATGGGCCTTGAGTCTAGTGGGCCCAATGCATTCGTAGAAATGCGATCTCCTTGCCAGCATGCTGAACATGACCCAGCTGAGACAGGATTATGAGCAATGCCTAAATAAGGCCGAGGCCCTCTAGCATATTCCACATATAAATTGAATGCGTAAATGCTAGAAGCTCTTGAAGTCAACCACTGGCGTCAGTAAGCTCACATGCTTTAAGTTCACTGATCCTCCGCGGGAGAGTTTAAGGACTTGCTCTCTCTTTCATATACGTTGTTGAGACTTCCATGAGGCATTCGGGATTCCAAGTTGAGCTCCGTAGTAAACCATTCGCATGGCAAGTTGAAGGTAAACAAAATAAAATTTGTAATATGCGTAACTTAGGCAATTGGTAATGTAAAGAGGCTGTTGGAGGCGATGCACGCTTTTGATCTAGGGACTCTACGCAGGCTGAAACTTTGAATCTAGAACCTGATAGAGCCACTTTTTGCCAAAGATGAAGGCGTAGGTAAGCGTGAAAATGAGATTACTGTGGCAAGTCACAAGAGAAACATATCAAAAAACCGATCTGCGGCCCATCCTCAGACCCCCCCAGTGAGGGCTTCTTGGTAGGTCGTTGTATGCAGGTCCCAAGGAAAACAACAATCGGCGGTTGCATGAGGCGAGACAAGCCATGTCGACAGACGACAAGTGGTCGGATATCACGAGCAACAGCTCGAGGGGGAGATCGGGCAGGGTTATTAGCTTTTGATTATCCATTTTAAAGTGTCCATCCGTGAAACCTTGGTGGAGCGGCACTCCACTCAACCTAAATTGGACCCAGATGTATGTTGTAGTTTGGTGTCCACTGAAAGCAGTAAATTTCCGGGTAGATGGCAAAAATGAGAAGAAGATGAATTGTAGGTTCAATTTTCAGGGATTGGGTTTTAAACACATACACAAAAAGCAGTGAGAAGACAATGTTGTGACGCAGTGATGAGAAGGTCAAGTAGACGCTACAGTTAAGTTTGATAGAGCGTGGATCACATGATCGATGCCGAATTAGGTAGTATTATGTACTTTTACTTCGCATTTGTTGTTTAGATCCGTGATTGAATATAGTGAAAGGCCAAATAGGAGACTTTGAGTGTAGAGATTCTTGATTTCGAGTACCGAGAGCTACAGCACAGCTCCTGTCCAATACCTTAAAATGATCTATAGGCCCTTCATGCCTTTTTTATAAACAACGCGGGACTTTAAAATACACTAACCCCGCACGCAAAGGTCTCCCTAGTATCAAGCACTGACACATTCTAGGCCGTCGATCGCACGAACGATGCGACGTTACAACACAGTGATATGAAAAACACCCTCCTTGCAGGAGAGGCGCTCGCTCCTTCCCGCTTTCTGCATCCATCGTATTCCTCACAGTCCAGATCCACAAACCCAACGCGTCATTACGCGTGGTTCGACCCTCATATTCCAGAGCGTCATGGCAATTTTGCAGAAAATTACCTTACACAGCCTCCTACTTCTCCAATATGCCCTGAGTACAGTAGCAACCCAGGATGACCTACACTATGTCAATCCCTTGATTGGCTCAACCAATGGCGGCAATGTCTTCGCAGGCGCAAGCCTCCCCTACGGCATGGCAAAACCTGTCGCAGACGTCGATGGTCAGAATACCGGAGGTTTCTCGACTGATGGGAGCAATGTCACTGGCTTCTCGCATATGCATGACAGTGGCACAGGTGGGAATCCGTCTATGGGAAATTTTCCTGTGTTCCCGCAGTACTGCAAAGACAACATTTTGGATAATTGCAAGTTCCCTAAAGCCGCCCGCGCGATCCACTACAAGAATGATTCCGTGGTTGCGCAACCTGGCTACTTTGCCCTGACCCTCGATAATGGCATCAAGGCTGAGATGACCGCGGCGCGGCGCACGGCGTTGTACCGGTTCACCTTCCCGAAGGGGCAGACTGCAGATGGCGATGATCTCAATCCGTTAATCTCGGTGGATCTGACTGATCTGTGGGATAGTCGACAGAATGCTTCCATTAGCCTTGACGCCGATAAAGGTCGAATCAAAGGCAATGGTACTTTCTTACCGAGCTTCGGGGCCGGCTCTTACAAATCATATTTCTGTGCTGATTTCGGCGACGCCGAGGTCGATGACAGCGGAATCTGGGTGAATGACCGAGCTGGATCAGTGCAGGAATTGTTTGTCACTCGCGGGTTCAACAACTTCTATCTTCAAGCCGGAGGCTATATGGCCTTTGACCGTCCCAAAAATGGAATTATTACCGTGAGAGTAGGAGTCAGCTTTATCAGCTCAGATCAAGCCTGCAAAAATGCCGAAGCGGAAGTGCCCGAGCTGGAAGAGGGCTTCGATAAATTGCGCAAAAGTGCAGAGGCTGCTTGGAAGCAGAAGCTCAGTCCTATCAAGGTCACGCCAGGCGGTGCCAGCAAAGACATGATCAGCAGTTTCTGGAGTGGTATCTACCGAACCATGTTATCACCTCAAGATCTGACTGGAGAAAACCCACTATGGAAAAGTGATGAACCATACTTTGACTCTTTCTACTGCCTGTGGGACGCTTTCCGGGCGCAGCATCCGTTACTCACAATTATCGATCCAAAAGCACAGTCAAAGATGGTCCGTAGTTTGCTGGACACCTTCAAGCACGAAGGATGGTTGCCCGATTGTCGCATGAGTCTCTGCAAAGGCTGGACGCAGGGAGGTTCCAATGCCGATATTGTTCTCGCAGATGCCTACGTAAAGAACCTGACGGGCATTGACTGGGAACTTGCCTACAAAGCCATGGTAAACGATGCAGAAAACGAGCCACTCGAATGGTCATATGAAGGGCGAGGGGGTCTGCAGAGCTGGAAACACCTCAACTACATCCCATATCTGGACTTCGACTATATTGGGTTTGGGACCAATTCACGGAGCATCTCGCGAACGCTAGAATACGCATACAACGACTACAGCCTATCAGTTGTAGCCAAAGGCCTCGGAAAGAAGGATTACACCACTTATTTGTCTCGGTCTGGCAACTGGCAGAACTTGTACAAAGAAGACCAAAAATCGCTGCTGGGAAATGGGACGGACACTGGCTTCACTGGCTTCTTTCAGCCAAGGTATATCAACGGGACTTGGGGCTATCAGGACCCTATTGCCTGCAGTGCTCTAGCGTCGTGGTGCTCTCTCACTTCGAACCCTTCGGAGACATTTGAGTCCAGCATCTGGGAGTACTTATTGTGCGTATAAACTTCGCTGCCTAATAAGCCTTCAGTGCTAACCTTATATAGTTTTGTCCCTCATGACATGGCAAAGTTAATCAAGATGGTTGGCGGCCCAAAGTCCTTCGTGTCTCGGTTGGACTATTTCCACACGTCTGGCTTGGCAGATATGGGCAATGAACCTGTCTTCTTGACCGTGTATAATTATCACTATGCTGGACGCCCTGGCCTGTCCGCCAGCCGAGCCCACGCGTACATTCCATCTTCTTTCAACGCCACGTACAACGGGCTCCCTGGGAACGACGACTCGGGAGCTATGGGCTCATTCTTGGCATGGAGCTTGATGGGCCTCTTCCCGAATCCCGGTCAGAATGTGTACTTGATTATTCCTCCGTTCTTTGAGGCCGTTGCAATCACTAACCCTGAAACCAATCAAACTGCTACTATTCGGAATGTGAACTTCGACAAAACCTACAAGAAGATCTATATCCAGAGTGCCAAGCTCAATGGGAAGCCATACAACAAAAGCTGGATTGGACACGAGTTCTTTACTCGGGGAATGACGCTGGAGCTGACGCTCGGAGACAAGGAGAGTGACTGGGGTACACGCAAGGAGGACTTACCCCCAAGTATGAGCGACTCGGTTGCTACAGTCGGAGATCACGATGGGATGTAGATAAGCTTGGACGGAGCCCAAAAATGTACTAGTCGGAGAACCCAATCCCAATAACTGATAATGATGTCTGGTAGTCTGTCAACTCCTCTATGCATCCAGGCCAAACCCTGCGACTTCAGAAGTGATACCCCGAGACACATCCGATGTGGGTCTAGATGGGCCGAGTCTATCATTTGGAGCGCCGTACTATGGTCAGCAAAAAGCACCGCTCATCTGACAGGGATATAAATTCTCCAAATCGTGTTGTCTGATACTAATTCATCGTATGATACTCCGTAGACACTCCAGAGCTCTTTCAGGGCTACCTACTTTATTCGCGGCCCCGCACTATGCCGGCGAATCAATGACTAAGCTGCAGCGTGGCCTGGCCCAAGTAGGCAACACGCAGAATCCCCTTGGTAGAAAACTCCCTTTCGCAATCATTCCTCGAATCCCCACTGAATCTCTTATCTCGTATCCCGCGCGGAAATATTCCCTGTTCACAAGTCCCAGGTGCTCCCGCGACCGGACGCTTGGCAACATTGCTTTTCCCCAACTATCACCACCCGCCCGCGAACATGGCGAGCCGACAAATCACACGGCGCATTGTCACCAGCGCATCGATCGCATTATGCCTCATATTCTTCCTCTTTATTCGACCACAGGGGCCACCGAGCCCCGCTGTCCGCGCCCCAGGCCACATCGACCACTCGGCACCAGCCGCGCCGGGGATAACCATCCAAGATAGCACACTGAAGGGCGACGTGGTGATGCCAAGGCTAGGCAATGAGACAGTCAAGTAAAGTGCCCCGGGAGTGACCCATTGGGCAATTTACGAGCGTGGTGGGACAATTTGCTGACGGAATTGTTGGCTTTTCCAGGGCTGAATTAGGTCGTGCGACGTGGAAGTACTTCCACACTGTTATGGCGCGGTTCCCCGAGACACCCACAGAAGATCAGAAGGAGACGCTGCGCTCTTATATTTACCTGTTTGCTCGGTTATATCCTTGGTAATGAGATTCTCCTCCCCAGGTACTCCACCGTTCCGGTGCGAGGCTCTGTGCTAGATCGGGAGCTAACGGGTGATGACATCAGTGGAGAATGTGCTGAGCATTTCATGCAGCATTTGAGCAAATACCCGCCTCAGGTTTCTTCGCGTAATGCGGCTTCTGGTTGGGCTTGCTTCGTTCATAATGAGGTCAATGCCATGCTTGGTAAGCCTGAGTTTGACTGCGCCAATCTGGGAGAATTTTACGATTGCGGCTGTGGTGGGGACGAGGAGGGGGGTGAGGGCAAGGAGGGGGTGGCTGCTTCTCGGTCTGATGCTGGGAAGGAGGGCACGGGGAAGCACGATGGCCCTGCTGTGGAGATCTCGAAGGAAGAGTTAGTAACCTCCCATTGACGCATTGATTATGGGTCTTTGGTTGCTAACATGCGATTTAGGACGACCCGCGGTTGACGAGGTGTATCTTCGACTATTTTTTTCCGACTTCTATGGGGCTCATTCTGTCTGGTTTATAGCCAGTGTTTGGGTGCCTTGTAGACACCTTGTTGCTCACACTTATGGAGCTGGACTCCCTTGTATAATAATAAATTATCAGTTGACTATGTCAATATCAATCCATATACCCTTGTCATGTTCTGCATGTGGCTTTTGATATAAAGAGAGGTCTATCTCAAGGTCTCTGTCTGAAATACTATCTCGTTGTACTGACACAGTATAAACACATGCACCCCTCGACACATCTTGGTTTCTAATTCTCTTTCCCGATCATGTCCGCAGCTTTGCCCAACAGCATTTCCTCATGTAAGTAGACCCAGATACTTTGAGGGCTTCCCAAATCCCATAATATGAATGATATCGAGCTACAAGTTGGTCAACCATTAGTAGTTTACAAATCCCGCTTCCTCTAACTTCCAAAAGGCCGATCTTCACAAAATTCATGACCCGAGCATTCTACGCGCAAAGATCATCCTACCTGGTGACCAAGTGCGGAAGATGGCGCGCATGACCAAAGAGGCCCAGCCAACACATCCTTGAACGGCAAAGCAGACTCAAAGACACATTCCGTCGTACCAAGTTTGTCTTATCAAAAAGCACCGATTAAACTTTCTCTTGTTCTTCACTATGAGCAACAGCGATGATGTGGTCAGGTCCCACCCTCGTGATACCTAGCTTCCAACAGAGCGACTAGTTTCATGTGGCATGACGGAACCCTCCAAGGGCAGTATATTACAGACCTTAGTATAGAGTATAGAGGAAGGCATAGTCGGGGAAGTGTATTTGAGTTTAGGCCAATAATAGCAAGATAACCGTCAAGAAAGCATTTTACGAGTGGCCAGTCGGCCAGTCTGGCTGCTCTGTCGGATCGTCCCCGCGTCAGCCCGTTCAACTGGGAAGAAGCGACAAAATGAAAGCATGGGGTCTCCTGACAGGCCTACCATCCATGTCCGCGTGGGATCTGCGCCTTTTACCCTGAAACATGTACCGAGTCGAGTGTTGATAAATCAGGGGTTTCTCACTTTCTTTCGATTATTTTATACAGTGAATGTTCGCAAAGTAGTTGGAAGGAAGTACACTTTCAGCTGCCTCGACGCGCCCAGTCCATTTATATTACCCAAAATAGTCTAGTGTGGCTCCCGATCGAGACTAGCGTGGTCCTGCGCGCCAAATTTCGACGCGAAAAGAAAAAAGAAAAAAAAGAGAGGAAAAGCCGAGATATCGAAATTCGTATCCAAGCAAATTCCCCGCTTGGACGCTTTCTACTGGTACTCTCTCAAGGGATACAACCCCCCTCTTGAAAAGACATCTTTAAACTCTTGTTCGCGCACCTGATAGGGTGATCTCCAGTGTCAACAATGGTGTCCTTCTCTTGCGAAGTGAGTCCTATCTGCTATCTTAAGGTGTATGCCTTGCGCTTGAATCGCTGCTAACAATCAGCCCAGGCATGTGGTGATGTTCTCACCAAGAAAAAGCTTGACCCCCATCGCGGCCAATGTCGCGGCGCTTCCTTCACCTGTATCGATTGCATGGTGCATTTCTATGGATTGGAATACAGAGCTCATACGGTACGTCGGATCCGCGTCGCATTTCCGCATAATGGTCGTGGGGCTATTTTACTAGATCCCCAACTAGATCAACAAGGGAGACATCCGCTAACGAGTCCGCCTACCATAGTCATGCATGAGCGAGGCGCAAAAGTACCAGGGTGCTCTGTATAAAGAGAAGCCCCAGAAAGGAAAGAAAGGACAAAACAACAAGCAGAATCAGAACCAAACCCCCAACGGCCACCACCAGCAAGCCCGTGTGGAGAACGCACCTCCTCCCCCTGCCCCTACACCCCCGCCTGCCGGTGAGGTGAGAACTCCCGCTCCTGCCCCGACCAACAACGAGAAGGCTGTCAACGTGTTCGACTATCTCGTCGCCGATGAGACCCCGAACGCATCCAAAGTCTCTGTCGTCGCGCCCAAGGAACAGATGAAGATGAACCCCAATGCCAAATCAGTCTTCGAGCCCAGCGAGTCCCTCACTCGTGTCGAAACCAACCCCAACACGGACGACGAGGGTAAAAATTACGACATCGCATTCGAGGAGAATGGCTTTTCATACGGCGCCGGCCAGATCCCACACTCAGCCTCGCCCCCGAATGTGTCAACAACAGAGTTCGTCACACCCGCACCTAAGAAGAAGAAGGACCGCCGTCGCGAGGAGAAGGCCCCCGGCACTGTCAGCGAGAAGAAGCGCAAGCGCGGCCAAGCAGAGGTGCTCAGCACCCCGGGTGAAGCAGTCGACACCGCGATGATGGATGCCCCCTCCAGTATCATCAACAACGCCGGCACACCCATGCTGAACCACTCTGGTCTGACCGGCGGTCTGAACCGGATGATGCGCTCCGCGTCCCCCGACGGCGACGACAGCCCAGAAACCAGCCGTCGCGCCTACCAGGACACCTCGTCCCCGATCAAGCGCAGCCGCCGCAACGGCAAAGAAGCCAATGGCAACGGCGACCAAGGTCTCGGCATCTCAATGAAGAACCGCGCCGGCCGCCTCGTCTCCTCCATGTTCGGCGGCTCTGCCATCTCCAGCACCAACGGCTCAGAAACCGGTCCCAAGGCTCTTGTCCACAACCGCCGTGGCAGCTCCTCCAGCGGCGACGGCCAGCTCGACGTCCGCAAGAGCAAGAAGTCGCACCGCTCTCGCGCAGAAGAAGATGACTCCCGCAAGTCCAAGCGCAAGAGCTCAAACCCCACCGACGGCGACAGACCCTCCCGCCGTCTTAAGCAAATCGACGAACGCCGCGGCTCAGTCGACTCCTCCCACGGCCATCAGGTTACTGTCTACAAGCAGTCGCGGCCGCCGGCGCGCACGGACGAGGATCTGCAGCGCGAGCTGGGTCATCACTTCCTGTCGCTGGTCGCCAGCCATAGCGAGCGCGGCTGCTCCATTAACAAGGCGCTAAAGCGCTTCCACCGAGATCTCTCGGATGAGTATGATGCTGATCGTGGTCGTGATAATGGGCGCAGCCGGGCGGACCGGGAACGCAGGGTTGATGATGAGAAGGATCTTTTCCGTGCGCTGAGGCTCAGACGGAATGATCGTGGTGAGATTGTTGTGTTCATTTAGAGCATGGACTCGGTGTGTAAGATTTCAATCAAACGATAGGATGGCAATGCGTTGTTTGGTTCTTTGTTACGAGGTGAATGGGCTGGTATTTTTGCATAGCGCCATGTTTCTTTTGATGCGCCGGCTTCGATATTTGCATTTTTGTCTATATTAATTCAGGATTGGGACTAAATTGCATTGATAATGTGTTTTGGCTGTCTTTTCCAATTTCCTTCCTTTATCACACGTATGGAATCGAAGAAGTTACCTCGTTTCATCCAAGATCGAGCATATTCCCGAAGTCGGATTGTGCTTTGAATTTGCGGCAAGATGGTGTTTTAGATATAAGCCTCCTGCACTGGATCTTTGTTGAATGTCTTGGCACAAAGTGGAGTCAAACACCCGTGGACCCTCACTTTGTGATTACATGCATCAACCAAGACCAATGAATTGCATCAGTTCATGCTATCGCTCGGTGATACGAGCATGCCTCGATTTCATACATCTCCGACCCACCTTACCTGGGCACAATGAGTCATGTTGTGTAATTCCTCCAGGGCTGACTCACACCTGAGCCGCTTGCCACTATGTCACCGCCTATAGCACCGCCCAATTCTGCCATCCGAGCTTTTATCGCCTTCTAGATAATTCATTGTGCCACAATTTTCCCTCTTCGATCTGTAAGCGGGCTTTTGCCTTTTATTTTATTTCTTGTTGCATTATTTAGTTTCTGGCTTACGCTCATTTTACTTTGCCGTACTGTTTCAGCCTACATAGACCAGCACGCTCAGTCGACCACCGATTACTCTCTTCAAAACAAGCGCCAGTGAGAAAATCCACCGAAAGCATATGAGTACGCCAGGAGTCTCTAGTCAGACCTCTGCCGCATTCTCAGCCATGGCAACACCCCAACCAGAGACTTCAATCCCAGCCGGGCCACGACCTCCACGTTCTTCCAGACCATCTAGACGCAGAGGGCGGGGTTCTGCGAAGCGTGATGGTCAACAACAAACGCCTGCGGGTGAACCCCAAAGTCAAGCTGCGCCGCAAGCACATCCTACACAGTCTCAACCGCAGCCGAATACAACACCCCAGCCCAGTCAACAGGATGGGCCATCTAGCTCGCGGAGAGGGGGAAACAGAGAAGGAAGAGGCCGGAGACAACGGAACCCGCCCCGGCAGGGACAGAATCAGAATGGAGGACATGAAAGCCAAGAGACACGACCAGAGATGCGAACCCGTGGGATGAGAGCGCGTGGTTTCGAAGCCCAGTTGACAAGACCAGACCAAGCCGAAAATGGCCCTCTATTGGACGGTGCGGGGCATTTACATGACCAGTCATTGAGAGCCGATGTGCCGGATTTTGTACCGGGCATGCCGTCATCTCAACAAAGACAACCTGCCGAATCAACGCCATCTGCAAAAGGGAAAGGTAAAGCCAGACAGCCTAGGGCACCGCCACCACCCAAAGTCACTGCAAAGTCCACAGCCGACGACCTAGCCACCCGCATCCACGAAGATATCTCGCATAACCTATACGAATGTCCTATCTGCTGCAGCGAGCTTGGTCGCAGGTCCAAGGTCTGGTCTTGTGAGCTATGCTGGACTGTTTTCCATCTGAGCTGTGTCAAGAAATGGTCCACAAATGAGGGTGCAGCTGCACAGAGAGCTTCTGCTCAAGAAGATGGACAGGATTCCCCCACTCCCCGCGCTTGGCGCTGTCCGGGTTGTAACCTTTCTCAACAAAACTTCCCCACAAGCTACTCTTGCTGGTGTGAGAAAGAGGTCGATCCTAGACCACTTCCTGGTTTGCCCCCGCATTCGTGTGGTCAGACTTGTTCACGGCCTCGCAAAAATTGCCCCCATCCTTGTGATACGACTTGTCATGCCGGTCCGTGTACGCCTTGTACTGCTATGGGCCCGATCCAAGATTGTTTCTGTGGCCTTAATTCGTCGCAGAAGCGTTGTCAAGATACCAATTATGAGGATGGATGGAGCTGTGGCGAAATCTGTGGTGAGTTACTGCCCTGCGGGGAACATACATGTCCACTTCCGTGTCATGAGGGACTGTGTGGTGGCTGCGAGGTTAGCATCGACGCCCGTTGCTACTGTGGAAAACTGCAGACGGAAATGCTGTGTAAGTCAAAGGATGATGAAGAAGATAGTCGAATCGTCCGCGAGGATGGCTCAGAAGATGAGTGGACCGGCTGCTTTGGCTGTGGAGAGACATGTAACCGTCCATATGATTGTGGCAAACATTCATGCCAGAAGAACTGCCACCCGCAAGATCCTCATCCTGCACACTGTCCACAGTCACCAGATGTCATTGTCAATTGCGCCTGTGGCAAGACACCGCTATCTGAGATCCCGGGATATACACCTCGTACCTCCTGCGAAGACCCTATCTTGAATTGTCAAAAGCCTTGTGGCAAGACACTGCCATGTGGTCATGCTTGCGAAAAGCTGTGTCATGTTGGATCCTGTGGCGCTTGCCTGCGCAATGTTCACATCAAGTGCAACTGTGGTCGTACTAATAATCTGACAATCTGTCACCAAGGCCAGAATGAGCCTCCCCAGTGTCCACGCATGTGCAAGGCGACTCTGCACTGTGGTCGACATGCATGCACTGAAAGGTGCTGTCCGGGAGAGCAAAGGGCGAACGAGCGCCAGGCTGCACGTCGTAAACTCAGGCCCCATCTTCGCCCTGCTGATGAGGACATCGAGGCAGAGCATATCTGTACTCGCATATGTGGCCGGATGCTGAAATGCGGAAGGCACACATGCCCGGAGCTTTGCCACAAGGGTGCTTGCAATACCTGCAGGGAGGCAGTGTTCGAAGAGATTCCGTGTAATTGCGGAAGATCTGTTCTGTATCCCCCTCAGCCGTGTGGAGCAAAGCCGCCCGCTTGCAACTTCCCCTGTGAGCGTCCAAAGCGATGCGGCCACCCTCAAGCCGCACATACCTGCCACACAGACGAGGAGAACTGTCCCAAGTGTCCATTCTTGACCGAGAAGGCGTGTCTGTGCGGAAAGCGGGTGTTGAAAAACGTGCCCTGCTGGCTGACAGATGCGCGCTGCGGTCAAGTATGCGGACAGCTGCTCAAGTGCGGCTCTCATTTCTGCCGGAAGGACTGTCATCGCCCCGGGGATTGCGAAGACGCAACCAAACCTTGCAGTCACCCCTGTGGAAAGACTAAGACCATGTGCGGCCATCCTTGCACAGAGCAATGCCACGCGCCATACGCATGTCCCGAAAAGACACCATGTTCGTCCAAGATCGCAGTGACATGTAGCTGTGGACGACTGCGACAAGAGAGACGCTGCAATGCCGCCAAGGCCGTGACCTCCAAGGGCCAGGTGCAGTCGCCCCCGCGTCATCCAGAGTTGACCCCGTTGGTTTGCGACGACGAATGCACGCGTCTGGAGCGGAATCGCTCCCTGGCCGGCGCTCTCGGCATCGACATCAACCAGACAACCACGCTTCAAACCATCACAGCCCAGAACCTCCCCTACTCCGAAGAGACTTTGAACCAATACGTCCAGCTCGCATGCTCGGTCCCTCTATCAACCCTCCAAACCTACGAATCCAACCTCCACGCCCTGGCAGCAGCAGACAAACCCACCCGCTCATTCCGCTTCCAGCCGGCGAAATCCACTCTCCGTGCATTCGCGCACTCCCTCGCCGCGGACTGGGGCTTCGTGACAGAAAGCCACGACCCAGAACCCCACCGCCATGTTTTCGTCTTGAAACCGGTTGCCTGGACACCTCCCCTCTTCGGCATGGGTAGCGGATCGACCATCGGCATCGGCGGCATGAGCGTGCGCGAGTGCGTTAAGCTCCGCGAGCGCGAGCGCAGCAAAGAACAAGAAGCGCGTCGTGTCGCCGCCCTCGAGGCTAAGGCCACCCGTGAAGCCGCTAAGGTACAGGCTAGTACTGGAGACGGCGGGTGGGCTCAGGTTGCTTCGAAGAGTAAGGGTGGTAGCGGTGCTGGCTCGAGGGCTGGAACTCCGGTTCAGAACTCGTGGGTGAGCAAGTCTATCTATGCTGCTCTTGATGGTGATGGGGCGAAGAAGGAGCGTTTGGTTCTGAGATCTGGTGTTGGGGTTGGAAAGTCTTTGCGTGCAAAGACTCCTGCGCCTGAGGTTGTTGATGATTGGGAAGAGGCTGAGGAGAAGGAGGAGAAAGAGGAAGCGGGGCAGCAGGACCAGGGCCAGGAAATATCTGTTCGTGAGGACCCTGAGGGCAAGCCTGAGCTTGCTCCCGAGACCGAGGCTCCTGCGGACGATGGCCCCACTCAGGCTGAAGCAACTGGAGCTGAAGCAACTCAAGCCGAAGCAACTCAAGCCGAAGCACCTATCACAGATGATGTGCCAGTCTAAAAATTTGGACAGGATTTGATGATTGATGACCTGAGGAACAACAAATATGTTTCAAAGCGTTGGACATGTCTCATTCTTTGCGAAGTCACTTGCATTAACTTCGGAGTTTGGAGTTTCATCATACACGATACGATGTCGCATGTCAAAAGTATCATGCGCGTAAGCAAAGGGAAATAAAGAAAACCCAAGAACTAGCTAGAAAACTCGAAAGCGATCCTCAAAACAAGGCCAAATCATCAATATGCAGATCTCAAACCAAAGACGTAGCCATTAATCTCCACGGATCCCAGCTACACACTCAAAACTCAGCCCCCTACTTCTTCACCGGCACCACCTTAACGAACTGTAGACATCCCTCCTTCATCGCCCGGTAAGGTCCATGCTCCATCCCAGGTTCTCGGTAGGCATAAGCACCAATACCCCATGACTGTCCGAGCGAAAGATCTTCCAGCCCGCCGCGCAGAGTGCAGACCTCTTCGATGTAGGTATGTGTTATTGGCCCTGTCTGTGCAGAAACGGTATTTGGCTCCCACCACTGCAGTACAGCTTTATGTTCTCCATCGCCGTTTAGTAGGAATTCCCATACCCCTGGCGCGATCGAGTACCAGGGCAGCGCGGATGGGGAGTCCTTGGGTGTGCCCACTGGTGGATGGGGTGGTGGGGTGGAGAATTCTTTTTGATGGATTGCCATTTTTGTTGGTTTTTCCTAGGCTCCTTTTTCTGGGATGGGGGGATGGGGATGTGGGAAAGATGGGGGATACTGGGAGATGAGGGGGTTGTTCTCGAGCAGCTGGATTTAGACGGTGTTTTTAAGGTTATAGTTCAGGGACCCAGTTCACATGGGTAACCTTGGTTGGGCAGTAAAATGATGACTAATAGACGTGGGTGGATCCACCGTTATATCAATGTAGATGTATAACATATAGAGATGTAAGTATTAGAGCAGACTTTTGGCACATATCTAGTTGAAACTACGTTGTCTATAGAAAGATAATCAACTTTTTCCGTAAAGATAATTTATGGATGCACAGACGGGGATCCATGCTGTGGACAGAGATAGCATATTAGAGCTAATCGAGGTATGGATGTACTATGGTATGTTAGCGAAGTTGTTATTTTTGCTTTTATTTGAGACTGATTTTAATTCAAGTGTGTTGAAAAGCAATAAATTGTAAATGAAGCCTTGTGGCTACTTTTAACATCAAAGGATCAAAAGGTACAGCGTGCAAAGCTTAACTCGAATATTTGGCGGATTAGTTTCATGCTAGAAAATCACATATATCTTGTTTAGATATACTTTGCTACATAATACTATTATCTTTGGGGATCCTTTATTTCATATCTACCTGCTCTCAAGTTCGAGGAATTAAAGGAAAAAGAATGAATCCTCCTGATGCTGTGTTGAACGTATGCATCGGTCTCGCCGGTCCGGCCCAATATGGCAGTTAGCTCACCCCGCCCTAAGCTCGCAGAAAGCCATAGCAGCTAACGGTTGGTCTACCCAGTGGATGATTCATAAATATCTCCTTTCAGTGAAATATAAGGGACCCATATATCCTAATTAGGCAATATTGATGCCTAACTTTAATTACTTTCTGCCTTAATTACATGGCACTCAACAGCCTGCTTATGTCAGTAATTATGTCATCGCATAGTCCGGCACGGCATTTCTTATCTGGAGATTCGGAGATTCATTTTATTTACTCTTCAGACTCAAAATGCCATCATTCCGACTACAGGGATTCCAATCGGTGATCCGTGGCAATTCCCACCTGCTGCGTCACCAGCAGCGCCGGTGGGCACAGGTCCACGACGTCCGCTTCCTCGCCTCACACCATGATCCCAAGTATGTCTTGGAGAAGTATCGATCCAAGCTGGACCAGAAGGCCAAGGAGTGAGCAAACCTTCCTCAACAATTATTCCTACTCCAATACTAACTATCTTATCCAGAGAGGGACACGAATCAGTTGAGTCCTTGAAGGAAGCCTACAACCAAAAAATTCAAGAACTCCGCCGCGAAGCATCCACCGCAGCTACCCCAGAGCCCAGAACTCCTACATCCACCACCGCCGTCCCAGGCACACCCCCAGCATTCCAACCGCCCCCTCCCCCACAGGAATCGCGCACTGCCAAAGCCGCACGCGCCGTTTCCAGCGACTCCAGCCCCGTCAAGCCCCTCAGCTCTTACCTGGACGTCGAGAAGGTCCGCGAGCTCCCAGCCAAGGAGATCGAAGCGCTCTGGCGTCTCCGCTTCGCGGAGAACTCGCACGCCATCACCGCTGCGATCCCTCTCGACACATACAAGCGCATTATGCAGGCCGCACGCGAGAACCCGCAGTTCATCCTGCCCCTCCCGCGCGCGCAGACCCCCGAAGAGGCAGAGCAAGCGCCTGAGGGAGCTGGCACCGTTGCTGACATTCACTTCCTTCAATGGGCTTTCCACCCGCCTGCTGAGGGTTCCACTCTGTCGCCTTCCAACAACCATACCTCTACTGTGATCTTCACGAATCTGGGTGTTTATAAGATGCACGGCGCGTTTGCCCAGCCTCACACTACCATTACTCACCACCTCGATCTGGCGGATGAGAAGGGTCTGGTCCTTATGCATGGCCAGATTATTCCCGATGGCGGTGTTTCGGCACCCGAGGCCACTTGGCTTGTTAGCTGTGTACAGCGCTTCTATGACTTTGAGGGACAGGCCTCTGGTCGGAAGAGTGAGCTTGTTCGCATGTTCACCCGGGGTGATGTTGAGAACTTCAAGGTTGAGGAATTGGTGGACGAGGCCGAGAAACTTCAGTAGTTTGTTTCTGTTGTACTAAACCTTGTGGCTTGTATATTATATATCTCCCTATTTCGTTTTGTGTGATGGCTTTATAGATCTTTGGGTTGGGCTCTCGTGGTTTCAGTTATAGACACGGGTATCTCCAAGGAATTGACCATTCATCATAGAACAGATGTAAAAAAATGAAACAGAATTGATTGATTTCCAATATATGTATTATTTGATATATAACCAAGTGACACTAACATGCTTGTGGGCTCCTTGTGCATGGATTAGCCCTTATTTATAAATTCGTCCAAACAAAACTCGAATGGGCATAGTTAGTGATATATCACTATCTTACCCACATAGGTAGTATTAATTGAGAAGCATCCCACTCAGGATTACAGCCCAGCTTCTCCATCACACAGGTTGGGCATACTACATAGTAACATCTATACTATCTAACAGTCTCGGATTATCAGAGCGTACTCGCTGGCAATTAACTCGCTTCTAATATATTCAACCATCCATCCTAACAACCCAGAATGACATCTGTTTAGTATCATCACCCTGCCAATCCCCAAACCTCTCCCCCAAAGTCGCCGCAGTTTCATACCCGGACAATTGACTATGCACCTCCCACAACTCAACATCAACAGTGTTCCACAGATCCTTGATCGTCTGATCACTATGCCGATACATATTCCAGCCAAGACTCTCCATAAAAAACGGACCTCCCTGCTCAGCGCTAATATTACGTCCAAAAACTATAGAACCAGCCCTAGGAGTAAGAAGTTTCTCAAGCCGAGCAACGATAGCCCGCTGCTCCTCAAAGCCAAACAGATGCAGAAAGTTCCCCAAGTGAATCAAATCAACAGACCCACGTCGATCAGCCAAGAAGTCTTCGTCGAAGATGCTCCCAGTGACAAATTGCGCAGAAAAGGAATCTTCGTCCCGGAATAGTTCATACCCCAATTGAATAAAATCACCCTTGATATCAGCTCCGATCAGGTTTGTCGCTGAAGATAGTCCCGCATCAAATGATATCTTGCGTAGGTCTTGGCCGAAACAGCAGCCTAGATCGAGTAGGGTCTGTCCCTCGCGTACGCGGTCTACTACCTGCGTGTAGATTGGGGAGAGGCTTATGCTGAAGTTTAAGAAGCGGAATAATCCAATGCAGGGATATGGATGGCTGTGAGAACTTCGATATTAGCCTTGTCGTTAGAAAAATATATCGACCTATTGTGAGGTTTTTGTGTGTCGTGCTTACACCTGCCATGCCTTGTCGCGGATTTTGTATATGTGGTCTTTGACTTCGTCTTCGGATTTCAAGCCTGTGTATTGTAGGAACAGTTTAAGGGTTGATGCAGGTAGCTGTTCTAGGGTTGATCGATACCATGCAACTGTATTATGTGCTGTGGCCATGGTGCTTGGTTGGTCAAGTCCCTTGGAGTGTCCGATTTGTACTAGAATTGTGTGATAAATAGTAGAAGAACTCTTAGGAAATACACCGAAAGAGTCAGGCTAGAGCTGGTTTTGTTGCCCTTCCGGCTCTATGTTTCTCCAGAGCCTCGGATGCTCTTTTTGGGTTCCTTAGCATGTAGCCTTGAATGTGAGAGGGAACCTTCTGCTTACTATGCCCCTCTTCTGACAATTCAGGCACCGAGGCAACCTAGACGAGCAATTGGTAGTTCTCCACGGCGCAAGACCTCCTCTTCGAGGGTTGAATTATGATGAAGCCTGCTTGGACCCGACCAGAAGGTGACTTTCTACTTTTAGATGTACGCATCGAAGCAGAACAAGGATAGTTCTTCCCACCACGATGCAACACGAGGAAAATATAGCACCCAAGGATGTATTTGGATGAACGGTGCTTGGGTTTTCACTGCCTCTCTCCCGCAGAAGCTCATGAGTTTTGGGGACCACTGGACAATGACAACGTAGGATATGTCGTCGATAGGTATCCAGCACTGTACAACGAAAGATCCATGAATAAAATTATTATATTCGTACCGAGTTCAAAGGGTTCTCTCCGTCTAGTATTTGCATAGAAGGAAGTTTGCCGGAGAAAAGTGAGCAGAGAAAAGAAACACGCCCAGCGCCCGACCTTGAGCCAATATTGTAAACAAAACGAATATGATATCAGTGAGCAAGAAGGAAACAAGAAATAAACAAGAATCGAACGTAGACTGGACAGGAAGAGGTAGAAGAAAGCAAGGGGCCATTCTCAATCCAACCAAATGGGAGGTATGGCCCTTCACCCCGAGGGCTTGGGGTCAATAAAAGGAAGTCATCAAGGCCATGTATGGGCCATAAGAGGCAGGCCTTGATCATTTGAACGGATGCAAAGGAAAATTCGTGTCTTGGTTGCGTGGCAGGGGTATCATGGTCATAATCAACAGTTCCTGTCAATTGATTCTTGTGTTGTAGGGGCCGAAACCAGACGTCTAGATTGGCCGTCGAAAAGGGGTTTGACAGCCAAGCATTGAAGCAAAGCTTTAAGTGTTTGCACTTCTTGGTGGAAAGGAAAAATTGGGAGGAAAGGCTTTAGGCAAAGGGTTCACTTCACCAGAGGGGATTCGAAAACCCCAAGCAAGAGAAATAAGTCACATCGGTTTACTGTTTATTAGGTAGCACTTCTTCCGTAATGAAGGAAAGAATGTGCTCGAAGTAGCCTGGCTCAGCAACAGAGTCATTATGACCGCCATTCGGGAGTGTGCGCCATATCTTGCATTCAGACTGGCAAACGGCAAATAATTGGGTCATATTCGACGGGCTAAGTGGGGTTAGCAATGAAAATGCTGCGCTTGGAGCAGACAAACTTACGGGACAAGCTCATCCTTGAGTCCACTCAGGAAAAGGACTGGGGTTTTGGTGATCTTAGGCAGCACATCTTCACTGGTCCAATATTGGTGGCAGAAACGTGCCAGATACCGTGCTGGGGGAAAGACACTAGCTTCAAGTTAGTATTGCTCGCCTGGAAATCTTGTCGAGAATTCGAAAACATACTTTGGGATCAACTTGCGAATGCTCAGGAAAGTGTTCTCTAAGATCAGTCCTGCGATATCACCTTGCTCCTCATTGGTGGCAACTAGATTGATAGCCACGGCGCCACCTAAACTTTGTCCGTAGACAACGATCTCGGTATCCCTTGTCTCTGAGCGCTGTCGTAGGTAATCAAGGCCAGTTTGAGCATCGATCTTAATACCGGCTTCATCCGGTGTGCCTGTAGACATCCCGTATCCGCGGTATTCCAGCAGGAAAACATTGCACTGAAGAGTATCCTGTATAGCTTTGGCGATGGGAACGCGGTGGCCGATGTTGCCAGCATTTCCATGGAACATCAGGACTGTCAGATTGCGAGAGAAGCGCCCTGGTCGTTGCCGAAGAAAAAGGGCATGCAAGGACTCCCCGTCGGGCGTGGGGATCTGGAGATCTTCAAAGTCGCTGATGCCAAATTGGCGAGGACTGGGGACGTTTGTGCGCGCATCCACGGGGACATTGCGGGGGTAGATGAGTTCACTGGGGGAAATGATCAGCTTCGTAAACAAATGGCCTAGATGCCAATAGCGTACTTTTGCTTGAAGTAAAGAAGCCCACTTGCAACAACAGCCAGACCAGATGATGCAAGAACTGGGAGTCGCATGAACTGCGCAGCACTGTTGGCCATGCTGCTGATGCTCCAGGCTGGAGGTGGAGGGGATTCGGACATGGCGCTCAAGTTGGCACTTTAAGAGTGGGGACCAGATAGAGGACGCGACAAAATGAGGTCTGGGAGATTCTGGTATTGCAAAATTATCGACTAGTAGATATGGCCAATGCGACCAGAGATGGATACAATAAGTTAATAGGAACAACCACAGAAGAAAAGGGCAATTGGGCTTCAGGAGTCTCGCGGGGGAGAAGATGGTAAGTCGATCGCAGGGGCTGGGACCTCACCGCCCGAGCTGCCGCGTTGTGAGCTTCTGCCTGTGTTCATGATAGCATCACCTCTACTTCTTCCCTTAACCTCCTTCTTCTCCTTGTCGTTTTATCTGGTCTATTGAAGTCATCTTTCTACCTTTTCTATTTTCTCACGAACACAGCACAAAATGGTCGCCCCCCATGGAACATCAGGAATGCTCGGTGAAGGTGAGCAGAGCTATCGTCATCCGCCGACAGCAACCAGCTAACATCTCCAGATGGCATTCACGTCGATATGAACCACCTGAAGTCTGGCGAGGTCAAGTAAGCTAAGCTCATGATGATATTATTTACCGTGGAGCTACACAACGCATACTAACCTATTACTCCTCATTCAGCTTGGGAACCTCGATGTGAGTTAAGCTGGAGCTCTCGAACCTTACCATCTCCAAGCATCCCCATTAACGTTCCAACAGTATGGCTATCAACTTCAAAGACGGAGTCATCCTCGGTGCAGACAGTCGAACAACCACCGGTGCCTACATTGCCAACCGAGTCACCGACAAATTGACACAGGTGCACGATACCATCTGGTGCTGCCGATCGGGTTCCGCTGCAGACACCCAGGCTGTGGCCGACATTGTCTCCTACCATCTCAACATGTACGGCGTAACGAATGCCGAGGCCCCTACCACACAGGTTGCTGCATCACTCTTCCAGGAATTGTGTTACGAGAACAAGGATGCGTTGAGGTTTGTACCTGAGTCTTTGGGATCATTGGTGATCGCTCGAAATCCATGCTAACTGAACAATAGTGCAGGTATCATCCTTGCTGGGTGGGATGCACGACACGGAGGTCAGGTATACTCGATACCGTTGGGAGGATCCCTTCACAAGCAGTCGTTTGCTATCGGCGGTTCGGGCTCGACCTACATCTACGGTTATACCGATGCCCACTGGCGGGAACAGATGACGGAGGAAGAAGGCATCGATTTCGTGCGGAGTGCTTTGCAGGAGGCGATTAAGTGGGACGGCAGCTCTGGTGGTGTCATTCGTCTCGTGGTCCTGACCAAGGCCGGTGCCGTGAGACATCTCTACCTGCCAGACAACGGCTACACCGGGCCGGGAGTGACGAATTAATAAGTGTTCTAATATTGCGTCAATCTCCAAATGAAATGGTTTCATGATCCCAGTTCTCCGGTCTTCGCATTCTGCTATCCGCCCCCACCGGGGATATACTATGTCTGAGCGCGAATTATGACAAGTCTGACACTAGTCCACGGGTGCTGCCATACCCCCACCTTTATCATCGGGCTATGTAGGGAGAAAAGGACCGAGCAGTTCAAGAAGCACTAGATCGGAAGTGTTCGGCCAGCTGGCTATTGGGTCATATCTGCCGAGTGGGTATACTTGAACCGGGAGGAACACCATATTTATATACCCTGGTCTATTACTATTATGGCATGAGTGACTTGGTACTATGGTACTCCGTACTCCGTACTCCGTACTCTGTAGGACACTAGATCTGTATTTTCCACAAGTACTGCCCAGACCTTAGAGAGATAACTAGTCAGGTAGAACATGTCATATCCCACCTGCAGCATACAAACTGCCATGCTTCTCCATTATTTAATGCAAGTCTATACCCTGGATAAAGGGAAATGCATGGTTATTCTATAAAATTGGGAAATATCCACATTAGAAGTACAAGATAGATTCATCCCCGGACTACAACATACAACATAAATATCAAATCCCCATTTTGGTTAATGAGGGTAAATAACGCTAAGACATTGCCCAATGTCCGAATCATCACTTATCCATGACACGGGCTCGCAGATCCTTCTATCATTCGTCAATATAGTCTGGCTTATAGACCCTCTACACCGTCTTTTATATCAAGGGAGTCTTTACTCCGTATGTTGTACTCCGTAAATGACAGGTAGATAATCTCTTTGAAGTACGGAGTAGAATATGTTTCCTTTTTCTTTTCCTCCTTTTCCTCCTTTTATATCTTATTTACGGAGTAGTCCAAACAAGAATTATACCTATATAAAAAGTTACAAGTTGAATGTTTTAATTAATTGAATCCTGTTTCATCTTCCCCCCCCCGGAGGCCACACTGACCTCACTGACCTCACCTTGACCCAAACTCCCAAACTCCCTAACTTCTCCAAACTCCCACATATCTCCATATTGCGCGTCATTTCCCCCTTATCCTGTTCTTCTATTCTTCTCTTCTCCTGTTCTATTCTCCCTTATCTTTTCTATTTCAAATGGATTCGATCGGCAGTTGTTGATCCTCGACCTCTCCCTCCGTTTAAGACTGGGGATTTTCCCTGATTCCGTGGTCTAGCCCTTGTGGCAATCAAAAGTGTATGCAAACCCCTCTCTCTTTTCCCTTGTATTGCGTACATCATTTCTATTCTCTGTTCTCTATTCTCTATTCTCATTTCTCATTTCTCATTTCTCTTGCCTCTTTCTATATCCCCATGTGTCCGGTTTAATAGTGGCGAGTCCGAGCTGCGACCGCCTTGCTGACCCGTGTTCCCGCAGAAAAACAGACCACGATAGCCTTGACATGGGCTCCATCGTCGTCAACCACGTGCCGTCGGATCATAACGACATGGTGGGAGGCGCAATCAATTCAGATTCAGTTTACTCTTTCGCCCAGCCAATGGACACTCACTCGACTTCCTCAAATACCCCCACCTCTACTGCCCCACCGTCTGTAGGCTCTGCTCGGCTTCCTGTGCATGCGAACGATGTACCGGCTTACATCAACTCATACACACCTTCACAAGCTTCCCGCGCTTCTTCCGATACTCCCAACTTCACCCCACGACCGCCCTCGATGACGTCTCATCCCAGCCATGCCTTTCCTCAGGACTCTTACTCCTCAGCACCTACCCCACCAACCCAGAGCGGGAGCAACTCATACTCTTCTAATCAGTCAGCGCCGGATTCACCACGCCTCCAACCCACATATCAGTCCATGCAGTCTGTGCCTGGCTCCGAAGCCAATTCACCGAGTCGCATTCGCGTCCAAAGCTTGTCCCACATCCAGAGTCTCGCCAGTGAGGACTTGATGAGTTCCCGGAGCTCACACAACCCCGGAACCGGGTCACAACAACGACAGTATGAGATTAGCTCCATGCCGGTCACGGAGATCATCGAGATGGTCGCTGGGCTTTTGACGAAGATCACGACCACGAACGATATGCATCACGAACATGTACATCGCCACATCCCGCCACCCGAGGGCACCTCCAACCTCAGCCCACAGGCTACCAGCGTGCTCGCATTCCACGGAAAGAATGTCCCGACCATCACCATCCTGAGTTATCTGACTCGGATTCACAAATATTGTCCCACAACCTACGAGGTCTTTTTAAGCTTGCTGGTTTACTTCGACCGTATGACCGAGCTGGTCAACCGTGATCAGCTCGAGCAACTGCACCAACGTTGGGACTCTGCCGAAGAATCCGGATCTTCGTCTGCATCTACAGAATCTCCAGGATCCCCCGGGATGCAGGATTCTCTAATGGCGACACCTCCCCCCTCCACAGGCTTTACTGCGCAGGACTCGCAGGGGTCAACAATCTCGCCCGGACTCTCACCTCAGTCGGATGCTGAGGCACTTTCACATTTCTTCGTCGTTGATAGTTTTAATATCCATCGACTGGTCATCGCTGCCGTGACCTGCGCGAGCAAGTTCTTCTCTGATGTTTTCTACACCAATTCACGTTATGCAAAGGTATGTGATTATTATATTTGACTCGTGGATTACCACTAATCATGATTGGATATGCAGGTTGGCGGTCTCCCACTGGTGGAGCTCAACCACTTGGAACTACAGTTCCTCCTTCTAAACGACTTCCGACTCGCCATCACCGTCGAAGAACTAGAGTCGTATGGGACAATGCTCGTAGAGTTCTATGCACGAGAGGTTGTGACCCAACAGCAACAACAACACCACAGAAGTCTTCCCCGCGCGATTGATCCCCCAGCGGCCGACGCGTACTCCGATGGCATGTACATGCGATCCCGCGATAAGCCTCGCGACCACGCCGAGTTCGGACAAACTCCGACACCACCGTAGTCCGTTTGTCGGATACCTGAATTTGCCATTCTACACGGTACATCTCTTTTCTTCCCAAGTCCATGATCCACCCATCTTATCCTTTCCATCTTTTTCTGCTATCCTCGATCCGTTGAGCGTTTGCTTATCTCATATATCGCACTCAACCTTGTATCCATTCTGGTTTCTGGCGTCTCATACCCTTCCCCCGTCACCTCATACACACACACCCTTTACACCTCTCTGGATCTGTTTCAGCGCATTCGCACGTCATGACTTGTATAGAGTTTTGGTTCTCAGCTGGCCGGGCTTCGCGGGTTGTCTCTTTACAACTATTCCCCCTTCTTGCAACATACATAAACATCTACTTGATCTTGTTACTGGTCTTGTGAGTTTATGCTGTCTTCTCTTATCTTTTTCATGGGTTGGTGTTATGCTGGCGCTTTCCTTGCATCACGAGTTTGTTTACAGATTAACTTGTTGTCCTTTAGGGGTAGTCTCAAATATCTTTCTAATATGCTTTCCTTTCATTCACATTTTCGATTTTGCATTATAGCCGTAGTCCCATGGATTCGTGGAGTAGTCCGAGTATATCAATCCTCGACTTTCGAGTTTTGAGAACTATGTGAACAAAACATTGGGCAGTAATTGATATTGATATCGAGTGTCTGGCTTCATCCCGACAATAGTAAATGAGCCATGTAAAATGGCACGTAGTAGACCAATGTCGACGGCAAAAGACAAACCCAACACCGCATGGCAGATTTTGGGCCTCGGCATTGGGCTTTGTGACAATTAGCCCTAAGTGACGAACTTCCCCGAAATACTGATCATACATATCTACATGAATATATAATGCATGATATAGCTATCCATTCAGACTGAGCAAAATCAGATAGCACTTCTATCATTCATTGACTGTTGGAACTGTCATCTCCAACGCAAAAAAAAAGCAATCACATTCTCTCCTGAATGGTGTCTCTTGTCTTCTGGTTTTCAGGAGGATACATGAATCGAGTTTGATCATATTGCCTTTTCATACATCCTCGTGGCTATGCCTGTCCTTCTTATACAGTTGTTTTCTGTCGTGACTCATGTCTCCTATAGCTCCAATGTCTGTGCTTGGACTTGACCTGGGAAAAAAACGGGAACATTGACAACCAGCTCACATTATCATATCCATGACGGAGGCTACTCTGACAGCAACCACTACAACCCTAAATCCTCGACCAACAATATCGGATCACTATCGCCGACTGATGAGTTTGGGAATACATCCAAGGAGAGTAGGCAAAACACTGACGAGGATCATCCACTCCTACTCGTCTCACTTCGACCGTCACCATGCCTGTCACGATTACCACAACTACGACAGCTAGTGCGTGTACCACAATGGATACAAACACCACGACTGCAGCCAGAGATGTTCCAACAGTGTCCTCGACGGGATGAGCTCGCCCTCCGTCCACGAGTGATTCATAGCAATTGAGAAAAACGGCACCTCAACAGTCACGGTGCCCGACATGACCAACACGCTCGTGCATGGTGAGGCTGCAACAACAACACAGGCACGGAAATAGTAGGTAATAAAGGCTACCATCTTGGGTGATGACCCAGTGTCGACGGTGACGGGATTTACTGGCATCAGATTATTTATACCTCACTTCTGGACAGAAATCCTTGGGTATGGGTGGTCGCTCTTACACGAGGAACATCAAGGCTGGTTTCGCATTTGGATGCTCACCAATTATTGACAGTCTCACTAGTCTCATCGGCAAGTGTCTTTACAGCCCGTTTGATGCGCTCCCAGGCTACAGTTGGTCAGCGCTATACGGCGTAGAGGTCTGTTGGGATACTGTTTAGGGAGAAGATTGTCAACACTTGAATGAGCCTATGGCTTACAATTTGCAGTATTCATCTCGGAAATCATGGATTGAGGTGAATTGAGCTTTGCTTGGCCATGTGTTTTTGGTAAATTTAGGTACTTCGTTTTGAAACATGATAGTCAATATCCTGAGATTAGGAATACTTTTCAGGGATTTTCGATTGGAATTTAGAATAGCTGTAGCTCCATCTGTGTTGGAAAATTTATATTACGACTCCGAGTGATCATGATCATGCATAATACACTTGTTTTATCCTCATTCCAGCCCTGGAGGGATACACGCACAGACCACTTGAATATACTCAGCTTCAACTTCTCATCCCAGGGCCCTTTCTTCTTCATGCCCCTCGCACTGCGAGAACACATGATGAAAAAAGAAATGAAAAAAGGTAGAAGGATACCAGCGGGCACTGAAACGTCAGTTATCGCAGCCATAGAAATTTATGGGTAAAGAAATGAACGTACTCCCTTCGCCAAAAAGGCGAGTCACCACACGTCCTGCTGCCTTCCGCACGTTCACAGACAGAGACGTTCGCCAACCCTCCCCTGAAATACATGGGGTCAGCCTGATATGACATGGTAGCAAAAGGGAGTGGGTTCATGTTTATCCTGAAAGACAAAAGATGAAGCCACCGCACGCTCTGCTGCCTTCCTCGCGATCACAGACAGAGACGTTCCCAAAACCATCCCCCGAAAGACATGCGATTAATCATAGCCCAAAAGAGGAAAGATGAAGCGGAATAATATTTACCTTAAAGAGAAAACAATGAAGCCACCACACGTCCTGCTGCCTTCCGCATGTTCACAGCCAGAGACGTTCGCCCTCCCCCTCCCCCGGAAGACATGCGGTTAGTATGCAGCCAAAAAAGAAGAAAGACAGAGTGGAGCCATATTTACCTTGAAAGAAACAAGATCAAACCACCACATGTCCTGCTGCCTTCCGCATGTTCACAGACAGAGACGTTTGACGGAGCTATACAATGTCAGCACACGAAGCAGGAAGGCCTTTCGGCTCAACCATGCTGTCTCCAAAAGAATTGGGTTAAAGGGAGAAGCAAGTCACCACACGCTCTGCTGCCTTCCGCAAGTTCACAGACAGAGACGTTCCGTTCGGTGGGTTCGATTCGTAGCGACGGTACCCGCCAACCAACTGTGTATGTTAGCCCATGAAACCATCAGAGGCCTGGGGTATACTTACCCCCGTCACCACTCCAATTAAGCCACCACACGCTCTGCTGCCTTCCACACGTTCACAGACAGAGACGTTCCCGAATCCCTCCCTCGGAAGACATGCGGTTAGTATGCAGCCAAAAGGAAGGGGTGGAATCATAATTACCTTGAAGGCGAAAAGAATGAAGCCATCACACGTCCTGCTGTCTTCCGCATTTTCACAGACAGAGACGTTTGACCGATCTATAAAATGTTAACACACAAAGCAGGAAGACCTTGCGGTTCAACCGTGCTGTTTTCAAAGAATTGGGTCAAAGGGGGAAGCAAGTCACCACACGCTCTGCTGCCCTCCGCGTTCTCACAGACAGAGACGTTTAGTCGGTACGATTTGCGGCGGCGACGCCCACCAGCCACCTAAGATTTATCGTGATGTTAGCTCTTGGAAGCATCAGATGCTTGTCAATGACTTGCCCTCGTCGCCATCCAATTGGGCCACCACACGCTCTGCTGCCTTCCGCACGTTCACAGACAGAGACGTTCCCAAATTCCTCCCCGGGAAGACATGCGGTTAGTATGCGGCCAAAAGGAGGAAGTGGAATTATATTTACCTTGGAGAAAGGAATGAAGCCACCACACGTCCTGCTGTCTTCCGCATATCCACAGACAGAAACGTTTCATTCGGTCGGTCTGATTCGTCAGAGCGATACCAGCCACCTAGAATTGATCGTGATGTTAGCTCTTAGAATCATCAGATGCTTGGCAAGTACTTACTTACCCTCATCGCCATCCTGAGCCACCACACGTCACTGCTGCCTTCCACGCCATCACAGACAGAGACGCTGCCCCCTTGTTTTCCAAGCACCTACCAGTCCCCGAAAGCAAAAAGAAAAATAAAAAGAAACAAAACAAGCAAGTCAAAAACGCCAAAAACGCCAACAAGCAGACACAGAAAGCAATTTTTTTGGGGTTTTTTGTTTTCACAAAATCAAACGGCAAATGCCTCAGCAGAACAAAACAGAGCGTGAACAAGACACAGAAAGCAATGTTTTTGGGGTTTTTTGTTTTCACAAAATCAAACGGCAAAAGCCTCAGCAGAACAAAACAAAACGTCAAAAAAAGCAGACCCAAAAAGCAACAAACAAGACGGGAGCAACAGAGTAAGGGGAAGTAGGGGAGGAAGAAAGATGAAGCCAAAGCAGCCGAGAAAGACTTTGAGGACACCGAATGCAGACCGTCAGCATCAAAAGAAGCATGTCCCATAGATGGACAGGAGCGCAAACGCAGCATATAATGCTGGTGCAAGACATGGGAAGAAAGACCCCAGCACAAGGCAGAGCCCACAAAGGTTGAAGAAGCAGGTTGTCGAGAAGGGACCAACCTGGACGTGGGTCTGAACCGCACGTACATGAACCTTTGGAGGTAGATCGCGAGAGTGGGGAGCAACCATGGACTTGGGCGCAGGCGCAAGGGATGATACTTCAGAGGGAGCATCAGGGTCTGGAAGTGCACGCTTGAGAGAGGACATGTCGGAGGCAAACCCACATGGCTTGGGGGCAGCCTCAGGCAGAGCGTCCATGAGCGAGCGCATATTGAAGGTGTCGTTCGGGTCCGGCAAGGCATCTGCCAGAGAGGACATGTCGAAGTCAGACCCATGCACTGAACTACCAGAGGCAGGCTCAGTCAGGGCGTCTTTCAGGGAAGACATGTCGAAGGCCGACTCATCGGAGGAAGGTGCGGACCGCGGAGAACGGGGCTCAGACACATACGCAGCAGCGAGATAACGGGCACGTACAACGCTCATCCACTGGGAATGGTTTTCGTACCGAGGTCCAGAGCTTCCAGGAAGCTTGGAAAGGAACCGCTGGTTGGTGCTTGAGGGATTTGAAGTGTACATGATGAACGACTTCGTCTCCGCGACCTGACCTCTTTTGAAGATGGCCTTTTTGGTCCGATCTGGCCGAGCCGGAATTGTCCTGACCTGCTCGAGGAAGAGCTTGTCGTCCGGGAAGCGTACTGTCTTCCGGACGGGCTCTTGAGGGGGGGTGGAGTCCCGGTCAGAGTCCGAAGCTGCGAGGCATGACTTCAGAGGAGGAGGGCGGTTTTTAGAAAGGAGGGGGAGGCGGCGAGAAGGACGAATCCTTGCCCCAAAAGAAGAAGAAGAAGAAGGGTGCATGATGAAAAGCTTTGAAAGCAATAAGAAATGGTTTTGGTAATCAAAAGCAAGTGCAAATGATAAATAGCCTGTGGCATGGGGAGAGGAGAAAGAAGAAAAGGAAAAGAGGACTGGGAGGAAATAAATAACAATTGGGATATTCCATGGCAACGGGCAATGGCAACAGGAAGGTACGATGAGATTGCAAACAGAATAGGAAGCTATACAGGAAGGTACGATGGGTGGTGGCCATGGAAACCAGCTTAGGGCAAGCAAACTACGTATAACCTCATCACTGGCAGGAGCATCCATGATATCACTACTACATATGTACATACTACATATATGGACCTCGGGATATACAGGATGGTACATATATATAGCTAGCTCGGGACTATCAAATTGATGGGAGTTAGGGCTAGATGATGCATAGGACCAAACCACCCTTCTTTCAATGGAAATCTATACTCTTTTTCTCAAGGCTGCTTTATCTCTGTTATTTTTGCTGTACTGACTAGAAGACCAAAAAAGACATCAAAAAGGATATCTAACAAGATAACCTAAAATAAACTAGTAAGAACGTTAGGAAAGACGTTAGGAAAGACGTTAGGAAAGACGTTAGGAAAGACGTTAGGAAAGACGTTAGAAAAGACACCAGAAAAGACACCAGACAAGGGTAGGATGATAGGATTATATTTCTAGGCAAGAAACAGCATTGTTATCATGGTCCCAAAGGACTGTCGTACATGACCTTGGACGATACGCTCAAAGCTTCATTTCGAGATTCAGGTGTGCATTTTCTGGGTATGACTCGGACGGAGTAGCTATCTATCAGGGAAACATAACCTCTCGACCTAGGTACTTGATTTTTGGCTTTGTTATTTCAATTACAGCGAACATCCCACTAGTCTCTACAAAAGCCTCAACAAGGCCTGAAAGCTTGTAGTCTGACATCTTACACACGATAAATTAGATGTGATGCAAATGAATTCAAATTAAAATCGCTCAACCTAGGAACCGCCTGCACTCCACCGGGTCATAATGATACATGCATTTCTTCTCAATTTTCCAGTGAGCATCAGTAGGCAAAGCCTCATGAGAACAACGCCGGTCGGGCGATATGTTGGACTTCCTGCTCCTCGAACTACACTCAGTTAGTCAGACGATCATTAATTCGGTCCGGGATATTGCAAAAATAAGATAAAAGAAACGTACCTCCATGAAATCCGTGGCAGTAACAAGAGCCATGAATGTCTTGACTAGTTCACATAGAGTCTCGTGGTGGGCGGTTGATGTATTTCCAATCTTGGCGGATCGTTTAAAGATTCCGACCATGCATGGCCGGTTTTCAGCCAAAAATATCCGGGTCTGCTCCTTAAGTTGTTCGTTATGGATACCTCGGGAGAAAACCGCGTACACGATGACCTGGAGGACTGAAAGGAGAAGATCGTAATATCTTTGAAGCGCATCGGGATTTTCAATGTCTAAAGGGGTTAGCAGGGTTTAATTGGGCCAGGATATGATTGACTAACCGATGCCGATGTCTGGATCAGCAGCGAAAAGTCGTGATTCGTGTACGGCTTGGAAAAGGCCAGAGTTGAGCACACAATTTGCTCCGCCCTTGGTTTGAGACAGCCGCTGAAGTAATGACAAAAGCGACTCAAAGTATGCCAGCAGTGCCGGGGTGTCTGAAGTTTTGATTAGTTACAATCACTTGGCTAGTTCAAAAGGGATATAACTGACCGCTTCCCTGAGCATTGTGAAGTTCGAGGGGAAGAGAGCGCAAGGCATCTAGGAATAGACTCAGATAGTTGGACCTCGAGATCAACTCAGCCAAAATACAATCAGTTTGGCGATCTAGAACAGCTAAACTGTTCAATAGCACAAGAGCAGATGCACGGCACGACTCTTGGCCAGTGTAGGCGTCATCGCAAATGGTCTCAATCAGGCTAGAACCAGCTGCTTTGATGACATGTTGGCTAAGACGTCGTAGGTTTTCGTGGCCCTTGTTCGATGATGTAATGCGTGTTATGTAGTGGGAACAAATACTGTAAAGTGTTTCTCTCAACAACACATTTCCTGTTGCCAGGTTAGTACCCCGGATGCAGAGTTGAAAGAGTTGGTGGAGCTTTTCGTCAATAACATCCCCACTTCGAGACGCATCTGTGGCCGATGGCTCCGATGCAAGTCCGCCGATCAACAATTCAGCCAATCGTGCCAGTTCAAGCGCTTCGGGAAGATCTGCCTCGATTGCGGTTGTGAGCTTAGGCAGAATCAATTGGATTGAATGTAGAATGAAAGCCGGCCTGCTTCCTTCGTCGATAGCAGAGCAAGTGATCATCGTAGCAACGAGCTCTACCCAGGAACGAAGGGCGTGATAGCGATTGATTTGAATCAGGTTGTTCTGCTTTGTTGCTAGAATGAACAACTTCAGGTCATTGGCCTCAGCTAGCAACTGCTCCTCATCATGCGGGCGGAGCGGTCCATTGGCCGTGAGTTCCGCTTTCCGCATTTGTATCATCTCCTCTACCCCTTCCATGCTGTACACGCCATCCTCCCGCTTGCTTTCCAATTGAAGAGCAACATCACCAAGCAAGTAGAGCTGGGGCATGTTGAACTCGCGTCCAACATCAAGATCGGCGAAATCGAAAAGATCAAACACGGACGGACTGGATATTGGTTCACCGTTATCCGCAAGCGTATTTCCGAGCAACACCGAAAGAATTTGGGCATGTAGAGCCGGCGATCTAGCCTTTGCTGTCGAGCGAACCTCGGTTGCGGCATATGTGAAGAGGTGACTGCGGTAAAGCAGGAATTCTGCCAAGGCAGTGGCAGCTTCTGTGAGCCAAAATTCCTCTGAATCAATAGGGAACCCATTCCAGGCAGTGCTCGGGCCAATGATCGGTTGGTAGGCAAACATCTCGCGCAGGAATGCCTGAGCACGCATTTCACCAAGGGTATAGTAGTTTGCCAGCTTCGATGACCACAAATGCTTCAGCACTTCAAAAGCCATACGTTTGAGGTGCACTACCCAAGATATAATGCCACCATCGAGAATTTCCGGATAAGACTTCAGGAAATTCACGATGGCATGCAGCAAGGAACTCTGATTCGCGAATAGCCCTTCCGATGACACATCGAGAATATTTCCCACGCAGTCGAAGCCTAGCAGCAGATGGGCTACCGTTGGGCGATCTGTGATCGTTCCTAGGCAGCTGTTCAAAAGAGCGAGAAGGCTTTCCCGAATGACATAGCCGGCAGCATTCGGGCCAAAATCAAGTTCTCTTACGTCAGGTTCCATTTGTAACACAAGAGGCCGGGATATGCTATCCACATCGACCTCAGATGCAAGCACCTCGACAATCTTGTTCGAAGATTGCCACTTGACGAGTTCCAGCGAAGTCATCTTGTTGAGCTTTCTGGAACTAGTAAGCTTTTCCAGTAAAGCCATGGAAATGACGGTGAGTTGCTCATGCGCTGTGCCACAATATAGACAAAGTGACGGGATAAGTGTCAAATTATTCAGCACGGTGTCCTCGAACGAAGCGAGCGAGGAGTTCGCTACGTTGGTCCGGGATGGTACTGGCTGGGAGTGTACCAAAGGCTTGACAATGTTAAAGTATGTTGATTGCAAGTCCACGAGCAAGTTCATAACCTCCAGACTCCGGTGCAAGGTCAGAACCAAAACAGAGTCAGGAGACGCGGTAGCAACGTCTGAAACATCTTGTTTAGAGGTTGCAAATAGAGATTTGAGTACATCTTCGTTGAAAAGCCAGTCCACCACGCGGGCAAACGGGTGCGAGCGAGCGTAGGTGAGCAGTGATGAAGTCTGCGTCGGAGAATCGGACACGGAAGGCTGGCTCAGAAGTAACACAAGGTCTTCGTTGAAGGATTTCAAGCTTGCCACAACGAAGTCCAGGCAGTTGAAGGTCAATAGGCGGGATTGATACTCGTTAAGATCTTGGATCTTCCGTGAAAAGGCATGCCCCAAGATGAAATCAACGTAAGGTTCAATCCCAGACATACGATAAGTTCCACCTAAGGTCTCCGGGAAAGGCAGTGACAGTGGGTCGTCGATTGAGTCGGATGAGGGAACAGTAAGTGCATTGATGAGAACAACAAATGAGTTTGTCTGGTCAAAGCTCTCTCCAATCTTTTGCAAGGCTTGTTGCTGGTGCCAGACGGCAGGGTTGGAAATCAAAGGCACTTTGCCAATTCCGGACGCACCGGTTCCTCCCGATAACCACCCATCAAGACGGACCCACGTTTCTTTTCCAACAGTGGATAATTTGTCAGTCATCAATGCCGAGAGAGTTGAAAAGGTAGTTGCCCGAAGATGCGATGGAATCGGCCCACTGCACAGGTCTAAGAGAGTGCTGACTACATTGAATGATTCGTTTTGCAGCATCCACTCTCGGATAGGTCGACTCTGCTTACACAGGTGGCCTATCAACCGAAGGTAGCATGTCAGCATCACTGGGCTCTCAGGTTCGTTCATTTCCACGGGCTCTGGTTTCCGTGGACGGAAGATCCCTGGCGGCCCTTGGGGGCTTGTTGTAGTGGAAGGCTTCTCAGTGACCCGAGACGCATAAAGCTTTAGTTCAGCGAACATTTGCGACCAATTCATTGTTGTAGATCGCTTGAACTTGGAAGACATAAATTTGTCTTCCTCTGACAGGAATCGATGCGCCGCAGCTGCATTTTCTTCGCCTTCTGATATGGAACACAGCATTTCGCAAAAAGCGCTGACCCTAGGAACAGTCTGCCGTTTGGACGCCCACTGAAGGAAGCCATAAAGATTGCCATCGGGGTCAGCCCAAAATTCTTGAGCGGCTTCTTGTCGGTGCTCGAAAGCGAATGAGATGATCATAAGAAGGGATTCAAGGTGAGTCCGCACCTCTACCAAGCCACGGTGGAGGTTAGAAGTGAGACCATCTCTGAGTGCAGTGATCTGGTCCAGTCGTTGTGAGTCCTCTTCCGACTTCAATCGTCGAACCGCGTCAGGCATATTTGCAACGCATGATTCCACGAAAACCTCGAGGTTTTCCATCAAAAGCTCCTTCATAAAGCCAGAGCATGGCTCGGGATCAGGCAATGACACAACACTTTCCCTGAGCAGTAATGTCACCAATTCGCTCCGCGCGGGGTCCGCCCACTCCTCGGTGTTGACGCTAGAGCAGATCGCAAGCATGAAATCAAGGGCGCCATCGTCGAGAGAAGACATGAACATCTTCGTACGCTCTTCGGACTCCTTCTCCGCGTCGACTGATGGGGATGAAAGACCATCAAAGTACCATCCACTGTAGACTGAAAGCCACAAAGCAACAAGGGCGGCGTGGAAATTTGACAGCTTCCAACCCTGACCATCCTTAGAGGTAGTGATTAGTTTGTGCAGGTCTCGTGCCTCCTTCTCGGATCCAGAGCCCTCGGGGGACCCATGCTGTACAAAAGACACAATTGTAACTGGAATGTAGTGAAACAAGAGTCCGTCGAAGCGATCAATGTTCTTCAACTGACTCACAAGTATGCGGAAGTCTTCGCAACTTGTGTATGTCCCTTTGAACATATAGAATAGGATCGCTCCGAGTGACTCGTGCTGCTGTTGCAGACTCGTACGTTGAAATTCAATGGCCTCCATGATATCGCGGTCATTTTCCTGGCCAACGACTGAGGCTTTTTGAACTTGATCTCCAAGGAGCGACAGCCATTTCTGGATGTCGGCCATGGAACTCAAGGCTTTTCGCGCGAAGAGGGAGGCATTCCGCAGAGGGCTGTCTTTGATTTCTAGAACGTGGGCCAGTGTTTCGTGCATGATAGGGTGGGTCATTTCATGTTCAGTTTCGCGCGATTCTCGGAAGATGAGACGTAGACACTCGAGGGTAAAGAGGCGGCGCTCATGGAAGCTTATTATCGCAGCGATCAGCGGGGGCCTGTCCAGCGCTTGTGAATTTTCCTGGGCGGCCAGGAACATAACTGCTGCTTCCATTTCATCGATGTCGAGCGCATCCGCAAGTTGCAGTGCGCCTTGTTGGAAATCCTGGTTCACCGAGTATTCAACGTCGGCCACGGTGATCTTCCCTGCGGTATCGCATTCAACGTTAGTGGCTTGTCAAAGCGGACACACGGAGATTCCCAAGGTAACCAAAATATCAAGTGGCCACTTACCCGAGAGAACAGCTTGACGGCTTGCATTGTTCTTCGCCGGCTTGTCTAGGAGTTTGCGGAAGTCTTGAATATGGATCTCCAATTCGAAACACAAGCGATCGACGTTGGGGAGTTGAGAGTTCGAAAGAGCAGAGAGGTCCTGATACAGACCTCGGAGGCCATTCCGAGTATCCTGTATCTCTGCCATGACGGCGGGGTGAAGTTGGGAAGTGAAGCTCGAGCTCTCTGTTTGTTCCAGAGTCTAGGAAGGCGGAACGCGACAAAAATCGGGCGGTAGACAGCTTTCCCAAGTACTGCCACTCCACTTTCCACTACAATCACCTCGCGCGCTTATCAACTCAATTATAAGCTCGCAGACTGCTGATTGATCTGAGATGTCTTTTTCTACTAGGTGCAAGAATATTTGTTGACGCTGAGCGTTTCAATGTCTTTTTGACGTCGAAAAAAATACCCTTAAAAAACGCCAAACACGAGCCCAAAAAAGACCCCCAAAAGAGACGCGATGGGGGAGGTCTTTCTCGACAAGACGATCAGCCTGCTCTCGTCAGAGAAGCAGAAGGCCCGGTCGGATGGTTTGGCAGGTTTGATACTTTCTACATTATCTCCTCGCAGAATCACTGGTCCTAACTCACCTGGCAGACTTGAAGCATATCTTCCAGCAGAATAAGAAGAGCTCCAAGCTGTAGGCAGTCGACTACCCCCAAATGAACCCTGCAAGCTATCCAGACTAACAAATCTTCCACCTACCTAGACAAACACTCAATGACAAAGCTTGCCATAAGATCTTCGAATCACTATTCCGTTTCGTCGCAGCAGAGAGGTCAATATATAATCGAGCCCAAAAGTCCACAAATACCGCTTCTGCATCGCGGCTCTCGACATGTGCTTCCGTACTCCGAATGGCCGTTGACCTCTTTTTGAAAAATTTGAGAATCAAAACAGTGCGCGCCATCGTTGACCACATTACTGAGACCATACCGGTCCCTGGGGAAGGGCTGTGGGAACCCCTGAGCCTGGACTATACCAAGTGTCTGGCATCGCTTCTGCGTTACCGTCCTCACACTGAGCATCTTGACGAAGAAGATTGGGAAACCCTCATAAGCTTTTGCCTTGCCAGTATTAGCTTCAAGGAGAATGAAGAAAGTCAATTGAGTATTCGAAGCGGTCATAGATTCGTTCCCGAAGATCAAGATGCTAGCGACAGCCGTTCTACCCCCTTGAGAGTGATTGCCCCCGTCCCATTCAGCAGGGAAAGGCATCATGGCAATATAAATGTCATTGAAGAAGTTGTAATATGTATTCAGCTCTTGACAACGAGTCCAAACCCTCTTCAAACTACAGCCCAAAGCATACTTCACGGACTTTCCGAATTTGTCGAGTCATCTGTGGGTGGAAATGCACACCAGCTCGCGTTCAATAGCATCAATGCAGTCGTTACAAAAGTCATGTTTGATCAATCCGAGCTTGTCCGTTCTGTTCTCTTGGGCCTGCTTCCAGTAATTCGACGCCTATGGGCTACTAAGTTACAAATTCTCAAGGAAGAGCTACTTGCCACCTTGATGCTGTCGATGATCGTTCTCGTGGACACTGCTCGAAAAGAGCCATCTGAATCCTTGGCGCATGATATCGAAGGATTGGCCAGTACACTTCATTCGGAATATGTGAGGCGGTCAGAAAAGGAAATCCTACAAATCGACGAAACAACACTCTATCAAAATGAAGCATGCCAGAACAGACCAGTATATGGACCTTGTCTCGGAACTGCTAGATCGGAGCATAACTGGACAGTCCTCTGGTTGATTGCAGAGCTTCTCAAGCTCTCGGATGGTATTCGTACCCGAATCAAGTCTGGGTCAACACGCGAAGGCTCAAGCAAAAGGCAGCGCTTCAGCTCTGAGATCCAGGACGTATTTAGAGACTCGGTCTCGGCCACAGGCACAAGGAGAATATGCGCGTTACAACTCATCCCATTCCTCGAATCCGAGATTGACATTGAGACGAAGGAACCCTTCTTCAAACAGCTTGTTCTGAACGTCTCTGACAGCAATGGCGCTGTGTCATCCTGGACAATGATTGCTCTGACGAGGTACGTAAATAAATAGTTACTAGAAAGACATGTGGGAAGACATTTTGGAGATACAGCCAGATGTACCTTACCAAAAGGACAAGAAGAAACGCCCTAACTGGAACATGAAAACAGTATTGCGAACGGGCCTACTTCCAAATCGCCTGGATTCAGAGCCCATTGGCCACGAGTAGTCGAATTTACCACGCGTGCATTCTCATCTCCGATGACATCGAGAGCTGCGTGTAACCTATTGAGTATGGTTTTGCAGTCAGACTTATTGGATTACTCAGTAGTTATGGAGACAACGCGGTCACTTTTGACTTCTGCTAATGGACCATCTGCTATCTCAGACTCATCTTTAAGGCTCTGGGCCTCAATTGCACGAATGAAGGCACAGCTTGATCCTGGGTCAGCCCAGCAGACCTCGATACAGATATGTGGCTGGCTAAGAGAAGTTTGGGCTGGTACGACACCAACCCTAAATGCTCCTTTTGTGATTTCTGGCTCTGACAGTCATTTTGCAGGCTCGGTGACCGATCGAATCCAGACAGCTCGAGTAGCTGCTTATGCCCGTCCGTTGGACTTACTAGACCTTTTTTTGTCATGCACTAATCGATCGTTCGCCATTCCTCGTTATCAGGTCACAGGACCAACGGGGCTCATAGCCCGTACTTGGTTCTTTCTACATGAGAACCGTGCATTGTTGGATTATTGCTTTTATACGAATTCTGCCCCGGTCAACCCCTGGGGTCTGCAGGAAACATGGTCCTTGGAGCAATTCTCTAGGCAAGACCCTGATGATATAGTGATCTTAGATCTGCTTCGAGTGAGATCTGAGTCATTTTTACACGCATGGCACGCTATGAATGAAGAAAGATCACATATCACTCCGGATAACTTACAGATTATGGCATCCTTTTGTGTTGTGGTCTGCCTCTTCGTGGCATGTCTCCCTCGATCATTGCAATCTCAACCTCGATCACAAGACTTGCATCAGAACTATCAACGTCTGTGGAACGCTATATGCGATTTTCTGGCAGCTCATACTCATGAATCTGTTTTCGTGCAGTCTTGCTTGGAATTGCTGTCGCCTCTCCTCGGTCCTCTAACAAGTTCTAACACTCCTCCTGCCATTAAGACCAGTCTTAAAGAGCTTGTTGGTCCACTTTCTAAAACGCTCGAGCATTTGCGCCAGAGCTCAAAGAGTCCAGCTACAGCTGAAGATCCCATGGATCTGGATGACCGATTCATGGCCGAGACCCCACTAGCCACGGATGAAACTATTCTTATCTTGAATCGGAATTCTCTGCCTATCGTCCTTGACCCTATCACATATCAACGCTGTGTCACCATCCAACTGTCGATAATTCTCAGAACCCAAGCAGATTCCGGCTCATCATCTGTCGTCGAATACCTGACAGGCTTGGATGAAGCCGATATCCTGGCAGCCCAAGCTATTTTACCTGAAATTTTCCAGCTCTGCTCGAAATCGGAGCCCTCAGAACTGCTCTCCATCCTAGAAGATTTGGGTGAAAAGTGTCTACAGTCTTATGAAATGGAGCGGTGTGAGGCTTCACATTGCGTTTGCATCCGCATGATGACCAGCTTTGTCGATTCCTGGACAAAGGGGCCTGACGATACCTTGAAAGAGTCGGCTATGGACTTGTATACTTGGTTCATGGAAGCGCTGCTGGCTCGGAAGAGAGCTGCCCCGAAAGTCTACATTGCCTTAGCCGAGCTCATCCAGGGGGTGATTAGCACATGCCCCTCATACGGCAATGAGCAGTCTCTTCCGTCACCACGAACAAGTTTGTTCACAATCCTTCGAGAAGGTGATGTTCCGGTGAAATTCAATGTTGCGAAATTCATACCTGCATTATTTGAGCGGTTTATTCTCAAAGACCACGATGCCATCTTCGATGATGTATTGGAAAGCTTGCCGCGAGACCCGGAATGGATCGAGGGAATTGCAGTCCGCCTTTTTGTGCTTTCGCAGTTGGCTTCTAGGTGGCACACTCTGCTGCGAAGAAGCATCTACCATCTATTTGAAACCCCAGCTCAAGTGCCATTATCACTGTGGTACGCCGAGAGATGTATGGTCTCTGTTTCTCAGACCCTTGGTATGCAAGACGCCAAAGAACTCTTTCGGCTTTTCTCGTCCCAAATACTCTATACATGGACCGAGACACAGAGTATCATGTCTATGCCATATAGTATATTTGGGTATGACAGCCTTCAAAAGATGCTAGTAGATGTCAAAGATGAAATCGTTGGGCAAATGATGATGCGTGCCAAGGAACAAGAGACAATTGAGCTTGCGAAACACCTCCAGATTCCACATCTCGTGCTCTTGGAGACCTCCTTTCACAAGGCCGAGGCATATAGCATCGCACGAGACATCAGTACTCCTCCAGGACAAGGTAGTCAGCCCAAGGGTGTTGAGATCCGTCTGCGGAAACTTCTCGGGGCAGACCAATTCATGACACAAATAGAGAGCCAGTTCCCCCTAATTATTGCTACGTTTTTCAAATCCCTCGACTACTACGACCAGATCGACCGAGCATTCTCAAAGCGTGAAAACTTCGGTTATGCGCTCGACATTCAGACGCAGATAATCAACAAAAGCACCTCTCAAAATTCATTGCCAGCAAATCAACAGCCCTCCTTTCGAGCACGATATCTCCTGGATGAGATTGAGTTTCTTTGCAGACGCATTGGGTTTGAATTTGAATTAATATGGACACCATCGCTGGTGTCTTTTGTTTGCCGTTCGCTGCTTGAATCAATACATCCCGCCCTTGGTTCGCTTCATGCTTGTTCTGTCATCCGCAAAATAAGAATCCTAACCTGTGTGGCTGGCCCCATCATACTTCAAGACTATCCTCTAGAGATGACACTAAGCTCTTTGCGACCTTTCCTTGGCGACATTCATTGTTCTGAGGATGCTCTGGGAATTTTCTGGTATCTACTCGAGGCAGGGAAACCATATCTCCAGGTGACACCAGGATTCACTGCAGGTATTGCTGTCTCGACACTGGTCACACTCCGCAGAATATTTTCGTCGTTACCTGAGAACACGACTCAGGAAAGTCAGTTGAGAAAAGTGCAGTCAAATGCAAAAGAATTCTATCAATGGCTGGTCGAGCTCTTCAGAGAGCTCCGTCTCTCTGATTGGGATGCAGAAACGAATGTATCATTTGATCGGCTTGTTTCACTAGCTGAGAAATTCTCAACATCTCAGGACTCCTCGGGTGGACAGGTTGGGAAAGATCTGGTCTTTGAAATTCTCAAAGACCGGGATTCTGTGACTTCGCTGTTGAGTAAGCCTGTAGCTGATCTTGTTCTGTCGCTCTTATGTCCCGAATTCGAGCAGACATCAGACAATGGGAATTGGGTCTCGAATGAAGATGTGGATCCCACTTCCCATGTTGTATCTCTATGGCACACACTTCAAAACTCCAATGGAGGACCTCAGTATCGACTTTGGGCAGCTCGGGTCATTGGAAGATCCTTCGCTGCCACTGGGAAGATTGATCAATTGCTCCTGCGAGAACAGGATCTCTCACTGTTTCAATCTCCTGAAACCTCTTTGTCGTCTGATATTTTCTGCCATTCCAAGGCCAGAATTCTTCGGGTGCTTTGCGATATGCTACACGTGCAAAAGCATTTTGAAGCTGGCCTGTTTGAGCGTACTTTGCAGATGATCGTCGGCAATATCACACGTTATCCGGATTTCCAAGGTTGCAGCGAGATGATTCCAGAATCTCTGATGAAAGCCCTCATCTGGAACCCATACATATGTCCCGCCGTTGTACTTTCGAATTCGGAGCAGGAGAGATGCGAAAATGCAACAACCAGCGCATCCGGGCTGTCGGTTGCTGATTGGGCTCGCAGCGTTTCCCTGTTCTTATCGAATGCTTCTTTAGAAGACCCAGTCATTGGGTCTCTTCGCAAAGTTCTCAACGTGACCCCTGGCTTAGCAGTGCAGCTGTTGCCATACGTGGTTCATGATGTTCTGCTGTCAGAAAAAGATGATAAAGGCGAAAGGGTAGGGGTCCGAGAAGATATCTCAGCTGCTTTCCGACAGGTGTTATCTGAGGCTGGCGAGGAAACATTACCCCACGCTCAGCTTGTGATCAACTGCATTCTCTACCTTCGTGATCAACCTGTGCCAGATGAGTCAACTATAGTCCAGCGCGATAAATGGCTTGATATTGACTTTGGTGAGGCTTCTTTGGCTGCACATCGCTGCGGTTTGCATAAAACCTCGCTGCTCTTCCTGGAAATACAAACATCCCGAGTGGCTGCAACATCTCGTCGGTCATCTGTCGTTAAATACGAGCCACCGCCTGCTTTGCTGCATGATGTTTTCAAAAACATTGATGACCCGGACTTGTTCTATGGCATTCAGCAGAGCTCATCTTTGAGCAGCGTTATGGAACGGCTAGAGTACGAAAGCTCTGGATTCAAAAATCTCCTGTTCCAGAGTGCAAAATACGACAGTGAAATCCAGATGTCTGACAATGGAGAATCATACGGAGTCTTGAAGGCTTTGAATGCTACAAACCTCCAGGGCATTGCCAATACGATGCTCTCTGCCTCCAGTAGTGCAAACGATGCGCCTGTCGCCTTTGACAGCATGTTGCAGGCTGCAACTAGTCTTCAAAAATGGGATATTCCAGTATCACCTTTGGATTCATCCCCGTCTGCCACTGTATTCCGTACATTCCAAAGTCTCAATACCTCAGGCTCTCTGCTCGAGGTCGCTGGCTCAATTGAAAACGGTCTGTTGACAACACTGGGTTCTCTTCTCAAAACCAGCAGATCCGCTATTCAGTTGCGAAGCTCAATGCGCGCATTGGGAATTATGACTGAAATCAGCGACACTTTGCAATCCGCGAGTTCTGAAGATATGGAGGAAGGGTGGCAAAATATTATGGCTAGAAGTAGCTGGTTGAAAACCGAGAGGTACGTGTTTCCATTTCTAAAACTGTCTACAGATACTAATTAGAGAGAGCAGCTATCACGAAGTTGGAGAAATTCTATCATGGCATGAGGCGTTGTTTTCATCAGTCAGGAAGAATGACATCCTCAAGTCACGGGCAAAACTGAGTCTCGGGGATTCACGACTTCTGGAAGCGAAAGTCATTCGACGATCCCTGGAAATCACAAGAACTCACGGTATCTCCCAGGCATCACTCAAATCTGCAATGAGCCTTTCAAAGCTTGCCGAACCGTGCGCAGCGTTGGGAATGAACATTGACGGCGCTTCAAAATTCGACCTTGCCAATGTTTTGTGGGATCAAGGAGAGATGACCGCGTCCATTCGCATGCTCCAGCAACTGAAGGGCCAGAATGACCTTCATAAGCAGGCAATCCCCCTCAGTCGGGCTGAACTTCTCGTCACTTTGGTAAGTTGGATCTTTTTGAAAGACACCTGAAGGAAATCCTCCCAAAAAGGCTTTTCTGGCTGACTCTAAAACCATTTTAGGGTCACTACGTCGCTGAAGCACGCTTAGAAAAGCCCGACTCGATTCTTCAAGAGTACCTATATCCTGCAGTCAAGGAATTGAAAGGAAACTCCGATGGAGAAGAGGCTGGACGGGTCTATCACGGGTTTGCAACCTTTTGTGATCAGCAGCTACTGAACCCTGATGGACTTGAAGATTTCAAGCGAGTAGAACAACTGCGTGATCGCAAGGAGAAAGAAGTTCTCGGTCTGGAGGAGATGATGAAGAATGCCACAGGCAAGGAGAGAGAATACTTGAAGAACTATCGGGCCAAAGCAAAGCAATGGTTTGACCTTGACGACCGCGAATATCAACGTTTGCTGCGAAGTCGGGAGGCTTTCCTCCAGCAGTGCCTCGAAAATTACCTTCTCAGTTTGAGGGAAAGCGATACTTACAACAATGATGCTCTACGTTTCTGCGCACTCTGGCTTGACAAATCAGACAGTGAGACTGCAAATTCAGCTGTTTCTCGGTATCTCAACGAGGTACCCAGCCGGAAGTTTGCGCCATTAATGAACCAGCTATCATCTCGCCTACTTGATGTTTCCGATGAATTTCAGAAAATACTCACTCAATTGGTGTTCAGAATATGTGTTGAGCATCCTTTCCATGGCATGTACCAAATTTTCGCTAGCAGCAAGTCCAAGGGAGGGAAGGATCAGTCTTCTCATTCGCGTTTCCGTGCTGCAAATCAGCTTGTGGATCGTCTAAAGAACGATAGTCACATCGGTCAGACTTGGATTGCTGTGCACAATGTGAACATCAGCTATGTGCGATTTGCAGTCGACAAACCAGACAGCAAATACAAAAGTGGTGCTAAAGTTCCGCTGAAGAACTTGACTACTGGCCAGCGTCTTGGACAAGATGCCATCACCTACAAACTACCACCACCGACAATGAAGATCGACCTCCGTGCAGATTGCGACTACAGTCACGTTCCTACAGTCACGAAGTTCCACCCTGAATTCACGATTGCTTCCGGCGTTAGTGCCCCGAAAATTGTGACCGCCGTTGCATCCAACGGCGAGCGCTACAAGCAATTGGTAAGCTTGAATTTTTTTTATTCGAATTCCCGTCAACGTTATTAACTTAAAACTAACAAAACAACAGTATAAGGGAGGAAATGACGACCTGAGACAAGATGCTATCATGGAGCAAGTGTTTGAGCAAGTCAGCAGTCTTCTGAGAGACCACCAACCCACACGCCAGCGAAACCTAGGCATCCGAACATACAAGGTCCTCCCATTGACACCAAGTGCAGGAATTATTGAGTTCGTTCCGAACACAATTCCTCTTCACGACTACCTAATGCCCGCACATCAAAGATACTTCCCAAAGGACATGAAACCCAACTCTTGCCGGAAACACATCGCCGATGTGCAGACCAAATCCTTTGAGCAACGCGTCAGAACCTACCGACAGGTGACTGAGCACTTCCACCCAGTAATGAAGTATTTCTTTATGGAGAAGTTTAACAACCCCGACGACTGGTTTAGCAAGCGGCTAGCCTACACACGAAGTACCGCTGCGATATCTATCCTTGGTCATGTCCTCGGCCTCGGCGATCGACATGGACATAATATTCTCCTAGATGAGAAGACCGGAGAGGTGGTGCACATTGATCTCGGTGTAGCCTTTGAACAAGGCCGTGTACTACCTGTTCCTGAGGTAGTTCCGTTCCGTTTGACGCGCGATTTGGTTGATGGATTTGGCATCACTAAAACCGAAGGCGTTTTCCGGCGCTGTTGCGAATTTACCCTGGAAGCACTGCGTCAAGAATCGTACAGCATAATGACGATCCTTGATGTTTTACGTTATGACCCATTGTATAGCTGGACTGTCTCCCCGCTTCGGGTTAAGAAAATGCAGATGCAGGACAATCAAGCCAGTGATGGACCTCCAGCTCTGCCTGGTGCGGCTGACGCTCTCGTCTCGAAGAGCGAGAACGAGAATGAGCCTAGTGAAGCTGATCGTGCGTTGACAGTGGTGGCGAAAAAACTGAGCAAAACGCTCAGTGTCACTGCTACTGTCAATGAATTGGTGCAGCAGGCGTGTGATGAAAGGAATCTTGCCATGTTGTACTGTGGTATGTTTCTTTTTCCTTATTTGATCATCGGCTGTTTTACTAACTTTCAACTAGGCTGGGCGTCTTATGCGTGAGCTTTGTGGCATCTTGCGTGAGTTTTGCTACGATACTGTTGATATCTTCCGGTTTTTGTTTTTATATGTATATAAGGGGATCAGATTTAGCAACATAGTTACTCCGACTTTAAAATGGACATATCCAAGCGCATCTCATTGGATAAACAGACACCTAAACAGACACGTCACTACGGTTCCACGGATGCCAATGTGTGTAGCGATACCAACGTTCAATTCTTTGGAGGTCAACCTATCTAAGATGTGAATTAAGATCCAGACTAATCAAAACGAGCTTAGTTCGAAAGCTGTGTGTTGCATCGTAACTACGAAAGTTTCTCGCAATCAGACTATGATCTGATCGTCCTTATCGACGGCTTCAAGGAGATCCTGGACTTTTCTAAAGAAGATTCCTTTGAAATATCTCTCCCTCTGATCCTGGACCGTGGCATCATCGAAGCAAGCCGCCCCCGTGACAGAGTAAAGTTGATACTCAGCGAAAATAGCGTCATCGCCTCCACTCATCGCCTCCTGCTCTATCTCCGCCACAGCTTTATGCGACACGGAAAGTGCAGGATACTTCTCGGCAAAGGCGCGGCTAATATCTGCCCAGCATGTCTTTTCCCCGGTGATGTAGGTGTATTTGTCCCACTTGGCACTTTCCAACAAAGCGACAAGACTCTTCGCTACATCCCGGGCACATGTGACATTGAACGGCTCGCGTCCAGTACCTGGAATGACCATTGTTTGATTGGCGACGTCAATTGGAAACGCAGGCCCGATATCCTTGAGATATCGATTCTTGCTTGGGACGACGTAGTCAATCAACCAGCCCACAGAAACCAATGTCCACTCCAACTCAGATTGCTCACGAAGCATTTTCCGCACAGGCTCGCGTGTATGGAAGTAGAACTCGGGCTGATGGGGGTGCGTTTCAATGTTGCCACCAAACTCAGAGGGAATGAAGCGCTTGCAGACGCGGCTCTGTTTGCACGCCTCCATCAGGGCAAGGTGTACATCCACGAACCCCTCTGAATAATCGAGAATGGTGGAGATTATGGCTTCGCAGTCCGAAATTGCATTGAGAATTGACTCCACGGAGTAGTCAACTACCGCTTGGGTCACCTTCGGAAGACCTTCGAATCGAGGTTTCAGGCTGCGGGATAACACCACCACATCATGGCCCTTTGCGGTGAACTCCTCGACGAGATAAGAGGCCAAGTCGCCCGATCCTGCAATTGCTAAGCGCATGTTGACAAACTGGCGTCAGGTAGTACAATTAGTATGATTTCACCGTATGCAGACAAGACCAGTACTCACAGACCGAATACTTGGGGAAAGAAAAGAAAGGGCGAAGATGAGCAAAGAGTACAGATGGAAGTATGAGTGATTCTAAGCAGGGTGATAGAAAAGGATGTGCTTGTAGAAAACAAAAAGCATGGAATTGGAAGAGGGTTCAGTGGTTTTTATAGTAAAATAGAAACGTGGTCAGCGTTGGCTAAAATAGGCAATATAGCGTGGAAACTGTGCTTGGATGGCCATATTCTCAACTTCATGGAATCTACTCTCAGAGCTGATTAGCAAGCTGCATATACAATTATCAATCCTTCCACGCCAGTATTATGAAGCAAAGTGCCAATTTTCAGGAAGGTTGGTCATACCATGGGGTCCGCGGACTCCGAAATGCCAAGAAATGCCAAGAGCGGATATATGCTTACCTAAGTTGTAAACAGGCACTCCTACTGTCCTACAGCACTGAGAAATGCTGAATGAATGGGTGAATTAGTGAGAAAAAGTAAATGAACTAGAAGAATTAAAGCTAGCTGAGGAGATATATAGTTCAGATACTCGACGTATAACCACCACTGAATCAAATATATGGCTCTCGCATTTCCGATTACCTGGCTTAAATCTTAGAGCAAGGGACAGCGTTCGCACTGGAAACATCAATCTCGTCTAGGACAGTTCCAGCGGCAAGAGCACCTTGCTCAAGGGCACCCTCGATAAATCCCCTCCACCCGGAGGCCCAATCGGAGTTTGCCATGAGGACATTTCCATGGCGCTTCTGAAGCTCGGCAAGATACTTGGTGAGGAAACCGGCGGGATACCAGGCGGCGCCGGCCTTTGCGTAAGGGTCTGCAACCCAATCGTGGAAGACCAGCTTCTTGATGTTCATAGGATGAAACCGCTGCAGAGCAACCTCAAGTCTCTCTGGTTCTTCAAGTGGGTTAAGGATGCCTCGGTTGTCACCAGCGAATGAGGTGATACGGGTCGACTTGCCGCCAGCACAGAAGCCGTCTCCATAGACGTAAAGTAATTCGCCAGGCCATGTACAGCCTCTGAGCCCGCGGAGGTCACCCTCAACCTCGGCATGAATTTTGGTTAGGTAATCAAGCTGATTGATCTCGAGGGCTTCCTGGCGGAGAGCAGTGAGAGGAGGATCAAATTCGATAGTAGGGAGAACTGCGACAGGAATTGTGTTGATGACGCGCCTCGCACGATAGACTTTGGTATGGGTGCTGCTAGTGGTGGCAGTGATAGAAACAATGCCCCTTCTCTCCATTATAGACTTAATGGGAGTTTTGAACTCATATTGAAGCCCAAGGCGGACTGAATCATCGAAAATACGACGAGCAAGTGTGGACTGGCCTCCACGAATCTTGTAGAGAGTCCATATCTCCTCAAAGGTTTCAGGACTATACCCCTGGAGGGCCTGGGCGCGGACCATCTCCAGAAAACCCATATCCTCAACAGATCCACCACCACAGTGTGGAACGAGGGACTCGATAAGGGCGAGCTCGTCAGCGGTTAGGAGATGCTTGATTTGTTCAATGCGGTCACGGCATGAGAGCTGGTCCACAGCTTGGATCTGCTCGAAGGAGACGCGGAAGTTGCCAAGCGATGAATGAGGAAGGGGACATATATCACGACAATTATTGCCGTCAATGTTGATAAAAATTCTCCAAGCCCTGGCAGTCATTTCACCGGCCTCCTGGAGGGTGAAGGTTCGCGATCCCGACCCGGTATCAAGGGTGAAGTAAGAGCAACCACCATTTTCGGTACGCGTCATAGTAACTTCGTCTTGAAGACCATATCGCTGCATCTCGGCAAAGAGACGGCCGTGAACATGCGACACCCAGGTACCACCCATTTCGTATGTAGTCCCGTCAACTTCAGCACTCCATGTTCGGCCACCAATACGGTCGCGAGCCTCGAGAAGCAGAGTCTTCTTGCCTACACATTATTAGCAGGGGATTTACTTTTGATCCTGTAATTCCTTCCACTCACCAGCCTTGACAAGGTCGCGGGCCGCAATCAAACCAGCGTAACCGGCACCGATAATGATAGTCTCCCAGACATGCCCGTCATCCGCTTGGTGGACCTTACTCTCAGGCTGAATGACACCGTAGGTGTGCAGTCCTCCGACCAGTCCATCACTTTTGGTGTAGGTGTGGCCCTCGCTTGAGAGTTTGGCTTGATAGGCGGTCATAGTGGTGTTGGGACGGGAGGTGATGAATGGGAGAAGACGCGGAAGAATGCACAGCTGGGAGCATGAAAATATAGCACGACTACTGATTCTAAGTATTGGAAAGTCTAGGGTATCAGTAGCGGAGAAGTTAGAAAGCAAATTACATGCTAGAAGCTATGGCGGATAGCGGATACCCCAGATTGCGAAAGTTGGCTGAATTACCCCAATGGGAATAACCATACGAATCGGCCCATCGCACCCGCGAATATAGAGCTAGCACTTGCTAATTCAGGTATATGTGATAAGTTCTGTTCGAATTTACCTTGGTCTGTTTGGACTTGTTGGGTCTATTTCCATTGTAGGCAATAATCGCAGCGGCTTATTTCCTTCTTTCGTGAAACAGACATTGTGCTAAACGTTGTCCTGTTTTTAGTGTTGGAGACCTCGAGCCCAGAATTAGTCTCCTGATAGGCATCCAGGCAAGGTACTTTGATAGCAGCTTCGCCATTCTGTCGAATGTGGTGGGAATATCTCTATCGCATACATTGTCTTATACTCTACAAAATGAGCGAACAGACATCCGTGAATGATATAGACTCGTTAAATTGATATTTTGTCATCGTTTCTTCATCGGTCGGCATAAATTTGAAGGCCTCGTTTTTTCGTCACTCCAAATCTCTTGTATTACAGTATTACAGCACCACAAAAAAAGTACTGGTCTGTATCTTGAATGTGGAATATTCAGAATTCATGTACGTGCTATTTTCCAAATGTTGGTCTACCTCAGTTCCTTTTATTTCCGCTTGCATCTTCTTTCACTTCCATTCCTCTCCTATCTTGATTTCCAAACACCCTAGGGATACGCAGTTAAAGACTGAATCGCACAACAATAGTAGGATTTATCCCCTTTGCAATCAATCTCCCTCAGTTCCACAATATAAGGTGATCTTCCCTAGCAACTCGCATAGATATTCTCCTCAATCTTGCGGTACAACCTGACCACTTCAAAATCTAATTGGAAAATAAATCAGCTCAATCGGCATTGAAGTTTGCAACTTGACTTACCTCCGTATGGTAGAATCTGCGTCGCGATAATCATTGCAATGCCTTTTTCTCTGTCGGCAAACCAATACAAGTTTGCTATTCCCTCCCATGATGCCGTTCCCTTGGATCTCCCAGTAGGACTCTCCTCGTGGCTTAATGCAAATGTGAGTCCCCAGCCATCAGTCGGGTCCCCCGGCTCGGGAATAATTGGACAGCTATTTGCAAGATTTGCTTTGGCTGCATGACTCAACTCATTTCGGTGTATGGGAAACTTGGGGATATGATCCGTGAACATATCTAATGAAACCCTTTGACTTAGCTTCTACCCGCCAAAATAATACAGAATAACAAACCCTGAATTGTTTCTGGTTTTAAAAGTTGATAATTCGTTTTCGGACATGTACCATCATTCAGAATAGTTGCAAGGACCTCTGTGTTGAATGTTAGCGGTATCTCAATGGCGAGTACATCCCGAAGAGAAACACCCACTTGTATAATGCAATGGAGTTCCAAAAGCACCACAGCCTCCCATACAAAATCTGTGGCCAGATATATTTGGGTTCGATTGTAGGCTGTTGCGGCATATATGGTCCTGAACACTGAGTGCACCATTCGCATCGCGAAAATGCATGTATGCCAGTCGATCCTTCATTTTCAAGCCTGGGAAAAATCTAATTTCATCGGCGCCTATTGGAGTGAGGATGTTCCGATTAAAGTAATCTTCGAGGGAGGCATTTGTGACTCTCTCAACGACTTCCCCAACCCAGTCAATTCCCACTCCATACGTGAAGCCGCTGCCGGGTTGCTGGGTTAATGGACGGTACAACACATCCTCTCGTCGCCCTGAAAAATCGTCCAGCCCAACTGGTCTTGCCCATGTGCAAAGTTCATCGTTATCAAATGCATATCCAAATCCAGCTTTGAGTCATTTCAGCGTGAATTCGGACCCGGGTTGAGACGGCTCTAACTCACATGTATGGGTTAACAGCATTCTAAGAGTAATGCGATTTTTCTGCGCGACTAGTTTGAAATTGCCTGATTCATCTTTTGACAGGACCTTCAGGTCTTTCAGCTCCGGTACAATAGTGTCCAGCTGGTCAGGGTCGTCTAGAGAAAGCCTCCCTTGCTCCACGAGCTGCATACACGCAATTCCGGTAAGCAACTTCGTGCATGAAGCCAACCAAAAAACTGTGTCGAGAGTCATTGGCTCTGAACCATTAAGTTTCGTAGGTCCAGATGCATGACTGAATATCTGATCTCCCTTGCGGTTAACTGCAATGCAGACTACGCCAGGAATCTTGGGGGTCGGTCCGCTAGTGAGATCGTCGATATGTGCTTTGATTTTTTCAAGCATTTTGGCCAGGGTAATATCTTCTGTTGTTGGGTTGTGAAATCCACTAACTTAAAGAGAATCTTTATCAAAGACAAAATAATTACACACATGAGGTCTCTGATTATCTTATTGTAACGATCGATTCACTCATTTCCCTGTGTAAGCCAACCAGGATATTGAAACTTCGCCGGTTAAGTGCTTCAGGTTGATTGCCGAAACTCATATTCTGATGGTGGCCCGTGGTGGAGCATCTCCAAGAACTCTAATCAGAACGCTAATCTTCCAGATTGGGAAAACAGCCCAACCAGCATTCCTGGCATATGATTGGTCCGATACTATAAGGATTTCTTCTAAGATTTAGATAAGCAATATCTTAATTCAACTCCGTAGTCTTAAAATAGTGCTGGTCAACTTTAGCGGTTCGAGCAGAAACGAATGATAAGCCATGTTTATGGACTACGTCCGCTTGCCGTAAATAAATATTACATGGCAGATTATAAAGCTCGGACAATCAAACTTTCTCCGTGGTAATAATATAGGGTATTTCTATATATGTATAGTACATTTAGTCCTACAGGAGCGGACTAGTACCTTACTCCTATTTATTAGCACTCCTATGAGGCCAAATGATATGAGTTAGTAAGGTCTATACTTGAAGGCCTTTTTGCAAAGGTCCCCCAAAATTAGGAGTTGTTATGAAGTTGTCTTTCTATAGGGGAGATCCGAAGAAATTAAATTTCAAATCGTAGCCTGACCTAGTTGCAACCATGTGCTGAATGGGCCCAGGGAAATGAATTGGGGCTTCCCAGGGTGAGATACTCTTTGGAAAAATAGGGTAATGCTAAAACGTCATGTCTTCAAAGCATCATGTCTTCAAAGCATTGAAATAATTGCTAATTGAACTCTTCATAATATGTCACTCTCAACCCCAGGGTAGAAATGGTCTGGAAATAAAGATAAGGCTTCACATCGATCAGGCATGAAACAGCGCCGCTTCGGCTGTCAATTCAGCCCTCATACCCGCCACATTTATCTCCTTCACAATTACCAATACCCAAGTCGGAGTGTGGCCGGGGAACCGTAACTTGAAGATTTCCTGCATGAATGATTCATGCTCTGGATTCACTAGATAGCTCACCAGCCTAAATGCTTCTGCAAGTCCACGCGAGACACCTGCGTTTTTCAAGGCTGCATCTAGACAATCGAATATGGCCTCAAATTCTGCCCGAACCGAACTGTTCACCAATTCACCGGTCTTTAAGTCTAAGCCGATGTGACTAGTGGTATAGACAAGTGAGGTCGTCGGTGACACTGGGACTGTAGCAGTGGTCGCCAGTGAGAAGGGCTTCAAGCAGTCACCCACAGGGCCTGGCAGGTTTTGATAGGTGATTGAACGCATGTCGGGCAGCTGTATTGGAATTTTTGCAAATTTGGCAATTGATTTGGCGTCAAAAGAATGGTAGAAGCAAACGAAGAACAAAACTTTGGATGAGAACAGTTTCAGCGGGGGACCTCAGCAAGAAAGACCAGTGATCTTTCCAATTAAACGCACCAGTTCGTATATAAGCCGACCAACGAGGTAAAAGAATTTTTTTAAAAAAACAACGAGCCACCTATTCCACTTGATTAACAGAAGAAAGGAGCAGGTCACTTCACTTGCTGGCTCACCTTCCTAAACGGGTATTTCTTATCGCATGGCCTAGAATTGAGGTAGCCGGTTGGTTGAGGTTTGTCACACTTTGCCTTAGGTGGGTGGTTTTCATGATCATTTCGGTGTTTGGGGATGCATGTTTTTTAAATTAGATCACGGAAATTAAATCTCTCTAAGGGGCTAAGGAGCTGGATGATTGGGCTCTGCACCTTTGATGCCCTTTACTCCCTATTTCTCAAGTTCATCCACGTGCCGTGTTTAAAGCAAGAAAGTCCTCAACAGCACTAATTATATTGCTGATAATGATGTCACTACTCCCATGAAGCTCTCTAAATAGCTTCCTGGGGACAAAGGGACAAAGGCCCGAAAGCCAGAAAGAATCTCGAACGGGAAAAGAGAGAGGATAGGATGTAAGCAACATCGGTGCATCAAAAGTACTTGGTCTAGAATGAATTTGACGAAACTAGGTCCTAATCATATGATAAGATAGTCGTTCTCTTGATTTGACGTAGTATTACGCGCCTAGATGCGTTAGCCACGATAATTATACAAAAGGATTTGAAAAAAAAAAAAAAACGTACAAACCACACCCAAGGAATATTGCGGCTATCATACTTTTCTTGATCTTCTCGAGCATCCCAGACAGATTTGAGTAGAGCTCTTGTCAAGTCATTACCAACTCCGGCCATCGACTTGATATGGTCTAATCGCAGCAAAACGTAGTGGCGTGCATGTCGGGATAGTGCGTCGGTTCCAGCCATGAAAAGTGGCATGACTAGCAATTCAATCAGGTAGCAGTCGGCAGGAATCTCAGCCACAGAATCTAATATCGCCGTAACCGAGCTCTGGATTATGGCTGCTTCTGCCGGTTGGTACATGTCTATCAATCGGGATGTATATAGTATGCATGCGTGTCGAAAAGCTTCGGCAACTGCCATCCATCGCTGGTCGTCATTTGGGTATTTTCCATCATTTACATCCCATGAGTGAAGCTTAAATCGAGCATCCTCTAGCAGCTGCTTATATTCAGAGTCAACGAGCTCTCCCAAGGAATGTGATTTTGCGTGTTCCAAAATATCTCCCATAAGCAAAAACAATTTGCGTGGGCATCCATTGACCTGCTCAAATTTGATATCACTCAAAGAGGATATAGTTTCGCGCAGCTCTTTAGAAAATGAAAGACGACTCGGGTTTGCAAATGATCTAACGATATCCAGCCTGGGAGAATACATTAGTATTTCGGCTTGTCAACTCACACTCTCTACATACCATGCCAGATTGCCTAAAAAGAACACTGCGCGTTTTTCATTCTGCGTCAATGTGTCATACAACCGCAGTTGATTGCAAATTGACACTGCTCCGGTAATATGCACACCATGGCTTGATATTCCCGATTCATGAATCTGGTTTAGATTTTAGCCCATCGTTATACGTTTCAGGCCAGTGAGCCCAAGAACATCAACCATGCACTCACGTCCTGAAGGAGAAGGATTTGAATAGTTGCAAACAGTGCGTCTCGCTCATTTTCGTGAATAGTCCCTGAAATGCCAGCTTCAATGGTGTCAGCCAGGGACCGAATAGCCCTCAATCGGTATACAACTGCTAGGGTATCCCGCAGATAACTATCTTCTTTCGCCGTTCCCAGATGAAATGCCGTGATGCCCAACAGAGCATACAATAATCCAACCTGCTCGTACGCTAATGGCAGAATAAACTTCCGATATGGATTATTTGCATCATTTACTGTCAGCGCAATTTGATGAGGGCATATCTCGCGATCGTCTATGCATTCAACGTTTTAGTGTTCTTGTCCCACGACGGATGAGCGCGAATTCTCATGTTTCAAAACATACAGTGTATGAGAAGCATCTCTGTTCGATCGAGCATCAATGTATCATCAAGCTCTACGGCTCTATGATCCAGTGGGGGCCAGGCCTCAGAAATATCCGGTGATGAAGCCTGGCTCATTGCAGGATCCGACAAACCAATACCGAATGGAGGCTCCTGGTTATCCACTAAGGTATTTTCATTTGGTGGAAAATGCTTAGATCTCTCCATAGTCTCTGTCACCTCCTGCACTTGATGCTGTGGCGTAGAGGAAATCGTCGATGTCGGAGCTGTTTGATTTTTCCATTTTCCTCTGGCAGCTAGACCACAAAAGCGGAACTTATCAGGGTATCCTTTGCATTCAAGGCCCTTTGAAGCACATCTTTTACAGACAGGCCTAGTACGGTCGCACTTGCGGCACTTTTCTCGACAAGTCGCACAAGCTGGGCCTGCAAATGGATTGATATTAGAGGGGGCCTTTGCACAGAACAAGTTTCCACAAACCTCGGTTAGACATGGTTCGATTCTCTTTCTGATTACAAATATAGGGGTTATATCAACCCTCTGGAGATTTGAAGTCGAAAAGAAGGAATTGCTGCGGGGTAAGGGATAGAAAGGGTTGCCTATCGCGTGGAGAAAGGCTAATTTTCAATTTTGGTCAAGGGAACTGTTGAAACTATCAGATAGGAAACTGAACCGATATAGCCTCCTCTAAGCCATAAGTAGACTCCATTGTTTTTGTTGGGAAAGATAACACGTAGGAAATCCCACAGGAACAGTAATATTTTGCCACTGCTGCTCCTAGACTTTAGTCCCTCCTGTTGATAGATTGTTTCTCTACACATCTACAGAGATTTTCCAGAGCCTCCTTTCAAGTAGTCTTCTTGATCTCTCCGTCCTCAACTTGCTTTGCCCATTGAATACAATACTTTTATTTATTGAGGGTTTGCAAATTGAGGAAAGAAAATAGTATCTTCTATGATGTTTTTGGGGCAACCCTGAATCACTCCAAACAAAGAAAGAAAGAAAATTCAGAACAGACAGCTATTTACGTTATTTACAAATTGCACATCCCACATTCTTCCGGGGCGACCGACTGGTGCTCAACCAAAGAGGAACGATTCTGGGTTTGGTCGGATCTGGGGACATCATTAGATGGGTTGAGCTCAAAAAAGCTAGTGGGCTTCAAAGAGACATTCATTGTCTCAACTGGCATCACAGGGAAATCTTTTTTTTGTCAGTAGAGCTTCAAATTATACAGATCTCGGATGCCTTACCTTCCGGTCGAGTTACATGGGTGACACCAAATGAGTGCCAGAGAACAATGTCTTCGTTATCCACAGAATCTTTGCGGTTCGCCCAAACTGCCAGACCGCTATCTTGTCGGCTTTGGTTAGTGAACTCTCCAGCTGCCCATAGCTCCTCTTCTCGATACTTCGTGACCCATATTGGCTTGGTTGAAAAGTGGCCGCGCTTATAGTTGAAGGTGTGCGACCCCACCATGAGCATTTGGCTAGGTGATGCGTGTAATTTGTATCGAACGGGCTTGCCAGAGACAGCATTGATGTGCTGGGTGTTGAAAATTCGATAGGTCCGTGACTTGGTGAGGTCCAGATCATATGCTCCAGATTTGGTGACTGGGGTAGTCTGTACTCGGAAAGCACACCCAAATGGATCCAGCTCCGGCTCATCACGAACAGGCAGCATATCATCATAGGCGACTGTGTTTTTATTTCCATCCAAAGCCGGATGAATTCGAAGACAGAACAGATGTTGGTGGTTTACCGCAAGCACGCCTGGTGCAACCACAGTTCCCCATGGAGAGTGTATGCCCTCGCGGATAGGCATCGTGGAGACAATTCCCGTGGCCTTGACTTCCACGTGGAGATTTGCCGCTTGGTCCAACACAAAGGCCAGAATATATTCATAGTTCATGACAGTTGCAGTGCATTGAATGACCAGCTGGCGATTCCGAACCATGGATGCCTGGTTATTACGGAAATTGGTGTGCTTCCAACCGATGCCATTATCTACTTCATGCATGCAGATAACATTCTTCATGACGACTGGCTCCCCATTTCCAGAGGTCCTGACACCATCAAAGTATGCAATGTGGCCCAAGCAGTCGCATCCCAGCGTCAATGTGTTTGAGGTAATGCCAAAGCCAGAGTCGCCGAGATCGAAGGCTTGTTTGCGGTGGTAAGGCGACCGTGGGTCGCCGTATGGAACAGTCATTTCACTCATTGAAACACGATGAAACAAGGAACGACCATCATAGTGTACATTGTTCAAAACAGGTCCTTCGCGAACCGTCCAGCCCAGGTGGAATGACCATTTCTGCCAAGTAATTTTACGGCCGTCGATGTTGAAGGACGGACCAGAAGGCTGCACAACATGAAGAGGCTTGAGATCTTTTCGGAAATATTCATTTCCCAAGAGTGTCTTGCTGTATTCCACCGCCTTGACGGGATTCCACGGCTGAGTGTCAACTTCAAGCTCGGGGCCAACCCCCAATGGCAGCTTTTGGATTTCCAACAGCTCCCATGTATCCACATCGAAGATCGGCGCGAAAGGGGCAGGCAGAGAATAATGATTAGCCTCAGGATCGTCGTTGAGAACAATGTACATGTAGCATTGGTACAATCTTCTTCGCTCATTTGCGTTGTCGGTGCCGAAGGTCCATGGATCATTGGTGACAAATGCACTGTTTTATTCCAAAACGAATTAGATATATGGATTCTTTTTTTTTCGGCCCTTGGAGTTATAAATAAGACACTTACCCTTTTGGGAGCTTGAGCTTTTTGATTTCCGCCTGAACTGCCGGATGTTCATTGCACATCCGGTAGACACGGTCGATTTCGTCGATGTCTGCAGGGCCTTGGATTTCGGGACACTCAATGTCCGACTCAACTTTTCCATTGGTAATGTCGATCTTAGCTTTACGCATGGTACTATTGCCAGTCTTGACATAGTATGCATAGACCTTGCGAGATGGGGGCTTCACCGTCGCTGTTTTATCATGAAGATAAGCCAGCAGGGACGCTTTTGGTGCCTCCAAAAGATCGATGACCTTGAATCGGATTGGAACGGCGACATGGTAATCCTTCAGCAGCTGGCTAGCCTTGCTGTGCTCCGTTGGAGATAAAGGGTCGAGTGGGTGAAACATAGTCACAAAAGAAGCGTCTCAAAAAGTGTAAAGAACGGATTCAGATTGTATATTCTCTGATCTGGTGATAGAACTTTAGAGAACTGGCATGGCTTTACTTTATGTACTTATACCTAAGTCTCATTCCGTTCGGTCGCATAGAAACATGTTGCTGGTTGCAATTATTGCCCAACTAGGAAGAACTTGCGCGGCTGCAAATAAAATAGTTACCTATCTAAAGGCCGTAATGCGATTCGATTCGATTATCGTGATTGTGTGACAAAGAGTATGCCCCAATAGGCAAATCGCCCAATTCCGTAAGGTTTAGACGGTTCGGTAGCACACTATGCAGATTTGGGTCATCTCGGCAATACCTCCACTTCAAAGATAGTGATCAGTGGGGATTTAGGCTTGTCTGCGATAAACGAGCTCCGTATTGAGTTCAGACTTCAAGAAACCCCAGTCTTTACGGGGCCCGTCAAAGGTTTGCTTGCCTAAACACATCTGACAGAAATCGGGCCGTATGACCATTCACGGGTGGCCACCCGTACATGAAATACGTCAACTAAAATGACAAGACTAACAATTTTAACATATATGCTGACAAATTGTAATATGCATCCATGGATGTATGGTATCCTCCATATCACTTTCATTTAATCTTTAGGGGTAGAATACCCTGCAAAATCCGTGTATTCAATCTGACACTACTAGTAGTCTATCGCCCACTCGAAAATAGAACTATAACCTTATAAATAACGACTCCCACCCCAACGAGTATCGCATCATTTGAAGTATCCATTCTCCAGCTACCAATTTCTATCTTCATAAATCATCATCACCACGATGGCCCAAGTCAACACGTGGGCTGTAAGCCTGCCCCAACTGGCCAAAATGATCGACCACTCCCTCCTCCACCCAACAATGACAGACGAGGACATTACCGCCGGTCTCAAAATTGCCAAGGAGTACAATGTCGCCACAGCTTGTATAAAGCCCTACCATATTCCACAAGCCAAACAAGAACTCCAAGGTACAGACGTCAAGATCTGCGCTGTTATCGGCTTCCCACACGGAAATAGCACCACAGAAATCAAGGTGCAGGAAGCCACCGCTGCAGCTCAAGCCGGGAGCCATGAGATTGACATGGTCGTCAACATTGGCAAAGTCCTGGGTGGTGACTGGGAATATGTCTCCCAGGAGATCGAACAAATCAACACTGCAGTCGTGCAACAAGGTGCTATTCTCAAGGTCATTTTCGAAAACGATTACCTCCAACCTGAGCATATTGTGCATCTCTGCAAGATCTGCACCAAGTTGAATGTTGCTTTTGTCAAGACTTCAACCGGCTACGGCTTCGTCAAGCAAGCTGATGAGTCTTACAACTACAAGGGAGCGACTGTGAACCATCTCAAGCTGATGCGTCAACATTCCGGCCTTGATGTCCAAATTAAAGCTGCTGGGGGTGTGAGGACTCTTGATGATTTACTTCATGTTATGAGTCTTGGCGTGACTCGAATTGGGGCTACTGCCACTGTTGCCATCATGGTGGACGCAAAGAACCGGGGGATCGGTATGGATCAAGTTGAAGTTGAATTCAAGCCAATGAAGGAGGATGGTGAAAATGGTGGATATTGAGCCTTTTACTTAGCCACCTTCCCGAAAACTGCGACAAAGAACCATGGAGAGTCAATGGTTTCATGTATGTCTTTCTCTGCCTTGTTTTTGGTTTTCTAGTATGTCTCTGCCTATAGTACAAATTCAAAAATGGAAATCCAACTAGCAACTCAAATTTTATCTGTTCGTACCCCACCAGATATTAAGTTGTTACTAAATAGAAAATTTTGAGAATTGGGTATCTTTGAAAAAGCAAATCCATACAAAAGGTACATAGCGCATTTTAGTATGTTCGATCAATTCGGTCGTTCCCATGGGGGATTCTAGTGCTCAAGCCAAAGGCCCATGTTACTATCAACTTGTATTAGTGGCTTGGGTTGGTTCAGGCTGGGATGGATATACCACTCGGAACTTTTACTACTGTTTGTTATCTCTCAGATGCCACAGGCTCGCCATCCCATAGTTACTGACTATATAGTCAGTCATCTTTCCTAGTTTGTACAGTAACTCTACAACAATTTACATATTGTACACCATCGTCTACCATCGTAGACATCAACAACTACGAATGGAGATGAGTATCGGAGTGCTGCGAAGTGATGGAGTCTATGGGATTGATTATGGGTAGGACATTGCGCTCGCGCCACATAATTAATGTATTTCTAACAGGGTGGATGTTTTTTTTTTACTTTAATAGACCCTTTTTTTGCGAAGGACAGCGGAGTCGCTTACCTTTCCAGCCACATATAGTAGTTAAGAATCCCAAAGTCGGATATACGGAGAGATAAGAGTCTACAGGCTGCTCTCTATTTTGCGATTTGATTCTTTATGCATCCGAGTCAAAGAACAGGGAGATAAAAGCAACGAAGTCAAGTGCAACCTCGCTCAACCCCAGCATTTATTCCAGGTGGGGTATTACAAGGCGGAACGTCCTAAATAGGCAGTTCGGGCCACTGCTTTCCTTATCCCAACCTTCTTCCGATATATCGTCACCTATCAGCCAATAGAGCAGATTTTCAGTTGAGCTAATCTTGATTGGGTATGTCTGCCAGTTCTTCCGTTTTCTTCTTAACACTACGCAGAAGCTGGCTCCATTTGGCACCAGCTAATGGTAATAGATTTCGTCATCCATTCCTTACGGAGAAAAGGATTGGATTGGCTCCTAGTAGATTTGATATGCTCCATCCCATGATATAATATCAGGACATAGTATGAGTTATGGGTATTTAGATCTCCCCCGCCCCATGAAAACCCAATCACTTTTCAGCGAATTTATTACATCTCGGCCCTTCTATCATTATTCTATCCTCTAAAACTAGTGAAGATGTCTGATTTTAGTGGCATTGATCTTACTGGAAAGACTGCTCTAGTCACTGGCTCCTCCCGGTTCGTTCTTGGCTGAAAATATAGTTGATGCTCTGCAGGTCTAATCAATAATGTAACAGTGGTATCGGGGCAGGGATTGCAGTCCTTCTTGGTAAACGAGGTGCTAATGTTGTGGTAAACTATGTTTCCGAAGGGAGCAAGTCAAAGGCAGAGCAGGTTGCTGCCGATATTCAGGCCGTTGGCTCGAAAGCATCCGTTTGCCAAGCATCCGTCAGTACCATGGAGGACATTCCCAAATTGATCGAAGCTGCTGTGGCATTGAGTCCAAACAACAAAATCGATATTTTGGTTCATAAGTTAATCATTCTTTCCATGGAGCGATGCCGCCTGCTGACCACTATGATACAGTGCGGCACAAGGTCTCGAAGCCGATATTGAAGACATCACCTTGGAATTTTACAATCAGCACTTCGATTGCAATGTACGGGGACCTCTCTTCCTGACACAGGCATCGCTGCCACATATGGGCAGTGGTGGTAGAATTGTATTGATCTCTTCGGCTGCTGCTCGAATGGCTGTTCCACAGCAAACTGTTTATGCAGCGACGAAGGCCGCGAACGAATCATTCTGTCGCGTTTGGGCAAAAGAGCTTGGCCAGAAGTATGGCGTGACCGTCAATTGTATCAATCCAGGCCCTATTGCTACTGGTAAGCGCTCCTGCAAAGCCTTTTATATCGCTCTTCTAACAAGGAAATTTTGCGAAGATCAATGGTTCCAGAGTGATGAGAAATTTTTGCGAGAGATGGAGCCACTGATCAATTCAACCCCAGCTGCCGCTCGAGTTGGTGAAGTGGATGACGTTGCCCCTCTGGTTGCATTCCTATGCTCAGACGATGCTAGATGGACTACTGGATCCGTTTTATCGGCTAATGGAGGCTTGTGTCTCTTCTGAGCTACAGGGCCTTGAGCTAGAGAAGAAATAGTCTCACCCTGGATGCATGAGAGAGGAAAGACCAGAAGCATTTTTATAGTACGTGGTGCCCTGCAAGCCAGTTGCGCTAGCACTCATACCTCCTGTCGTCTTAGTGGGAGTTTGCAATCCGCAATTATTTAAGGATACTATCAGAAATCTAGAATACATGGATTGTACAGGGTGCTTAGCCAGAACATCATATCACCGTGGAGATCGGAATACTAGATAAAGCAGAAGGTTAGCTCAGGCCGGGCTAATGTAGAAGCCATAGCAACACCGGCAGATAGGCTCATAAGTAAGCTTCTGCACGACCCATTTTGGGTCGAAAGTCTCGGCCCAAAACCCAACCTAGTCTAGGCCTTGGTAAATGCTAAAGCACCTAGGCAATTTTAGTGCTAAAATATGATTCTACGAGGTGCTACGGGACTAAGCCAATTTTAGTACTATTATATAGTACTATGCCAGTATGATACCAAGAGCAAAAACCACCAACACTCTAGTTGTTGAACTGATAAATACTCCTATTTGGCGATTTACTATATAGAAGGGTTTAATAGATACAAAACAACAATGTTTATTAATGATGATCTGTTACAGCAAAAGAGAAAGAAGGGACAAAGAGAAGACAAACTGTCAAGTCCAAGCAAGCTAAGGAGGGACACAAGCCGAAATTTGGATAGGCACAACATTCATTCAATATTGAAAAAGAAAATGGAAGCCGGAAGCTACACTATATCCATCGCCCCCCTCCTTCTCAATGGAAGACTCAAAATAAGCAATTACCTCATCTCAGCTTCACATTTGAGAATTGAGAAGATCCATATCAATATGTGGTCCTTCAAAGTGCCATCTCCCCGTAAATAGCCAGAAAAAGTTAATGATAACAAATACACCCACCAAGATAACAGGGGTGTAGTTCATGGATTCCAGGGTAACAGGAAGATTCGGCGGCATGCAGATCAACACTCCAAGAAGAATAATCCATACAACTGAAAAAACATTACAAAAATATCCCACACGACCACAGTCCAAATATCGCTTAGGAAGGGACTGTCGACCGCGGTATAGTAAAATGCCTTGGGGCACCGTGTAGGTAATATTCAGGAATAAAACAGCCGAAGTGACGATTGAGTTGAAAGCGGTCGTTGAAGCAAGATAAAGAAGCCCATATAGGCAGGTGAAAATAAAGGCAGCCAATGTCGTACGGACTGGAAAATTCAGTTGCGGATGAACCTGAGAAAAGTATTTCGAGAATGGCATTCCGTTCTTGAACTTATAGTTAGTCTCCATCATACCATGATCACGCATAATCAGTATATCGACACTCACATCGCGAGCAAAAGCCCAAGCAATCCTACCAGAACTTACCCATTGTGAAGGTAAGCTCACTATCTCTTTGTCAGTCTGATATTCCCTAGTCTATAGATCTGGGCTGACTCACTAGTATAGACCACAAGTAAAAGGATAAATAATCCTAGGGTGACCTTTCGACTGCCGGTTCTGTGTCACAAATTATCAGTAACCCTCACTTGAAACGGAAGTTATATTAATTACACTTGATAAACCAGCTCAAGGCTAGGCAGGGGTGCCGTCCGTACTGCCTCAAGGTCGACCATGAAGAACATTAGGACAATGAACAAAGACAAGCTTGTGACTAGCCCGATGACAAGGGTCATTATCATGACTTGCGGCACACGTCTTGCTGGCTTTTGTATCTCCTCGCAAATATGAATGACTGTATCTATGAGTTCACAAATCTTTCTTGACAGTATCTATTCTGGGAAAGGAGTTACTCACCACCGTCCGTACCTCCAAAGGCATACATGGCATTGCTAATGGACAGCATCCAGGCTGTTCCATCATTCCAGCCGCTGTTGCCCAATCCAGACTGTACCAAGAAAGAGCCCGGCTGCTGCTCCGTATGCATCGCGATGGACACAATAAAGAATATCAGGTATCCCGCTAGACTGAGAAAAAGTGTGATTTGGGTCATAATGGCAACTTTGGAAGCAAAAAACACCGGAAGTACTAAAAGACGTCAGTTCCCCGAGGGGCTTAAAGGGGATTCTGAGCTTCTTTGAGCCACATACAGCTAACAAAAGACACCCCGACATAAGTCAAGTATGTTTGCCACTGATTTGCGACATAACTCGGATTCCAAAAGTTCACGATACCATTGATCACGAGGGCTGAAAGGGAGATTCCTGAGCAACTGAGGGATTTTTAGTCAGATACAGTGTTAAAGGGCTCCTTTCACAAACGTAACAATCCACCAGGCAAATATTGAAAGCCATCCAACAATATAAGCGCTATATTTCTTCGTGCGTGGAGGGCTCAAGATGTAACAGAAATGGTATTGTCATCCGCTAGACTAATTGCTGGTTAGAGGTTTCTGCCGTTTTTCTTTGATTCATGACAAACGCACCGGAAAAGCAGACCCTAGTTCACCCAGTCCAACAGTGACGATTCCCTGGGCAAAGAAAGCGACAATCAAGCTGAATATGCAAGTCTGGGCTCCACCGTATGTGAGGTTCTGACCAAAGCAGCTCTGTTAAAACCAGGCATCGTGTTAGTATATGCCTCTTGCAGTGTCAGATTTCATGCTTTACCAAATAGCCAACCCACGAGTTGGTAATTGAGAATCCAAGTCCTAGTGCAGATACCCAGTTGAATTGACGAGGCATTATGGCATCATGACCATTAGCTCGAAGGACTGCATCGTCATCATCAAATTTCAAGATGTCGCTCTGTACACCTAGCTGGATGCTTTGGCTGTCACTTTGTATTGGTTCATCTTTTGTGAGCTTGGTTTCTGTTTGAGACATGATGGATTGCGTTTTGATAGAGGTATTCGAGCTCTGGGTTTGCAGAGTATTCTAATAGTTTGAAAAGCAAGAGGCCGACTTTTTGTTTTTCTCTTAAATGAGGCCCCCAACTATCATGATAAATTATATGCAGGGCTAAGAGACTGACAAACATACTAAAATTGCGATACCGGCCCGCGATCCCTTGCTTAATTGGCCAACCCCGCATTGTCTTAGCCCAGATAAGGAATTTTGAAATCTGTTGGTTTGTTCAGCTCTAGGCCTGATAATAAAAGCTTCATTCGCTTGCCTCCACAATCTACCTCGTTATCAAGGGCGGGGAGGGGGTTCCGTATGAGGAGAAGTGGAGATGAGACAGTTGGGGATACTGCTAGTTTCGTCGAGGACTAGGTTTGATGAAGAAATAGGCTTAGAGTTTTACCATATTGGGCAGTTCGGCCAACAGAACCTTAGTTCCAGCTGAGTTGGCTGGGGTGGGTAAAGCGGATCCGGATAACTGAGATGAAGGCTCATCTTAATAGGTAATTATAGCAACTCGGACCTACCCCGAAATTCTACCCCTGGCATTACACAATCATCGTACAGCTGACTTTCATAATACCACACCAGTAAGGATCTAGGCCTAGTGTATAACAAGTTAATACAGACAATTACATTTACTCCTTTTGGAATGATATGCACGATCTAATATCGATTCGATACTCTCCCGTCTCCTTGTTTGGCAACAAGGGGAACTTCAAAAGGAGGATATTTGGGGAAAGCCTATGTACAAAAGTTCTTGGCGTAGGTATATAATTTCTATATCTTCATGCTGAAAATGAGCCAGGTTAAAAAACAGAGGTTCGAGACATCCCTGTTCCTCTCCCCAGAAAGTGATCTTTTCTCTGCTGAACATCATGAATTTTATTTCTCCACTTCTCTGTGGGAATCTCCAGATTCCGCAACCACCTGGGACCAAGTGGATAAGGAAACCTGATACATCACTCGCCTCAGAAGAATTCTCATCTGGAAAAAGCTACCAAGACAACGAATCTTTGTACGGAAACCGTGGAACAAGCCAAGTTTCCTTGCCATTCAGTACAGAGAAAAGGACGAGGGATGGTATGTATGCTACAAGTGAGAATTTGTTGATTTTACGGCATTTAAGTGACATTTGGGACAGAGAAAATGAATTTCATCAATCCAGAGAGCGAAAACCGAGAGTGCGGTCCTCGATCAGCTTATCAAGCTGCCTTGTTTTGGTGTTCTCGAATTTTGGGGTACATGTGTTGGATACGGGCAAGAGGGAGCAACACCAACCCGGGAGCTTAATAAGTTGGCAATTGATTCTAATGCGTTGCAAGACTAGGTCTTATTGAAAAGGGTAAGACACCAGCTTAGTGATAAATCAACTTATATAACAATGGGATTATTAGGCCAATTTATTGTTATACAAGTATATATACACATTGAAAGGTAAAGGCAGTGAGATTTCATCTCAGCATTTAGTTCAAAAAGGACTGAGTAAGAGTCTTTCGCTCTAACGTGGCCGAAGCTTTCTCTCGTTTATTTCTTTTCACCTAGAGCATACATTGGAAGTAGGGTCACAATAATACACCCGCTCATAAAAAAGATGAACTATAAAATTGCTTAAATGGCCCATAAACGCTACTAATTCAACGATCCTTTCGCGTTCCATTTCAACTTATCGCCTAGCCCTCATCTCCATATCCGAAATTGGTGCTCTCAAACTACTGTTCAGCTACATTGCCCGAAGTAGGTGCGAAATTTCACATTGATAATCGTTGCACCTGTCGTAAGAACTCGCTCAATATACAAGTTTAAGCTCTTTTTACTACCTTCAGACTTTCCACCCAAACATGGCAACTGCAGCCACCCCAATGAGGCCTGTCAATGCTCCTCTCACAACCGCCGAATCCATGATTGGCTGGATTTGTGCTCTGAAAGAATAGTACTGGGCAGCCGTAGCAATTCTGGGAGAGGCACGATGCTACGAGTCTCATTCGGAGTGCAGGGGATAAAAACTAATGTGTTCTTGGGAGGGTCGGGCTTCACAATGTGATCACCAATTGTCCGCCAGTTGGATTGAACGGACCATTAGATGCCTTCGAAGTTGCCCGCGACATGAAAAGCACTTTCCCCAGAATTCGATTTGTTCTTATGGTTGGAGTCGCAGGCGGGGTTCCCTCGGAAAAATAAGGAATCCACCTTGGTGATGTCGTTGTCGGCCATAGGTACGATCTAATGATATTCTGATTCTGCAGTTGTTCAACTAAAGGGGTCAACACAGTGGCTGTGCAACTTGGGTGATTCTATTCCCGATTCTCACCCTATCGCTAGCACACTCCCCCTTCTCACTCCCTAGCCGCGCGATAATCACACTGTTTTTCACAATCTACAGCCTACCCTTTCATGCTATATGATGCTTACCCACCATAAGACTAATACATACGACCATAGGGTGTGGAAAACAGGGCTTCCCGTCCGCTCAGCCGTACTTAAGCCACACGCCGGTGAGTTAGTAGTTGGGTGGGTGACCACCAGCGAATCCTCACTGTTGTATGTTTTTCTCTTTTTGCTGTTTTAAATCAGCCGCGTTTGCAATCTTGTGATGTCTTTTTAGGTAGTGTTTTTAGATTTATGTGAAGGCGGTAAAAAAGCATACTTCGTGCAGGCGACTTTTCTATGTATATCCTGTGGCATTAGCTTCTTTCAAATACTTCAGATTATAGATCTTGATCACATAAAGACGTGGTTATGGAAAGACATATGACTTGCGGCTGCATTATTAAAGATTCAATAGAACATATCAAACGTGCCTGTAATATCCTGAACAATTCTACCCTGTAAATTGTATACTCAATCTATGAGTGTCAAAGACATAAGAAAATAAAACCAAACAAGCACTCAGGCCCCGATAATATTGTTGGTGTCTACGATAGTAGATGATGAGGCACAATGTGTAGATTGTGAGTTACGTACAAATTAGGAAAGGATACTGACTATATAGTCAGTAATACCATGGGATGGCGAGCATGTGACATCTAAGAGTAACAAACAAATATAATATTAGTTAACAGTTAATACTGGCAATTCTAATAGTAAGGATGCAGCCCGGGATAAAGGAAGCAGGCCATTTCTCCTACGACTTTCTTGGCGGCGACACCCCGGTCGCCAAAGGTCTATGTGTGTGTTGTACGGAGTACAGATGCGCCAGATGCGCAATATTGACAGTTGGTTACCCCCGGGGCCGTAACACGTCAAACCCACATCCCGAGCAACATTACCCGGTTCACTACAGTGATGAAAGCAGTCACTATATGTACTCACAAGATAAAAATATACACCACTAGGCAATGTCTAATTAATTTTTTTCAACTTCAGAGACCTTCAGGTTAGGGCGGGAAGGATTACAAAAAAAAAAAACAAAAAAAAAAAGAACAAAAAAAGAAAGGAAGGCCCAGCCGTGATTTGAACACGGGAATCTCCGCATTACACTAGTTGGAATGTTAGTATTGATGTTCTTGTGATTTGCTCTTTTTGTTGAGTAACTTACAGTGCGACGCGTTAACCACTGCGCTACTAGGCCTGTTGTGATGAAAAGTTATTATTCTAAGAGATTATGTACTGCAAAAACATTCAAATTGACTGTAACCTTGTATTAAGAGCGTAGAAACAAATTTAAAAGCTCCAAAATTATCTTCCTGTCAAAATTATTTCTGCCATATTATCAAGGTCCAGATGCCCTGGGAAAATTGCGACCGCGACCTAAAATCCAGTACTTACTGCTAAATATGTATATAATTTATATTATATAGAATGTATATGATCATCCACGAGAGTACCTTGGGGTTCTCCGATGTATAAGTAGACACTACTAGCTAGCTTCTTTTTCCACCAAGTAATTAGAACGTGGCCCTATAATTACACTCTAGAGAAATGAATTCTGTAGTGACAGCTGAAGAGCTAAAGAGATGCATTCTTGGTGGATCTTGGTAGTGCCCTTTTTGACCTAGTTGGCCAAACGCACGAGACTGAGCGACGCGGATTGCCCCCTGATTCCTTCTAGGCATCAACTCCCCTTCTCACCACCTCCAGCCATTGCTTTCTGCAGCTTTGATATCCTTCGCCATGACGGAGTGGTACCTATCCCGTTCCAGAGAGTTTGTCGGGTTGTCAGGTTGTTAGGTGAGTTTTTATTTTGTAAGTTTACTAGTTGCTTACAGTAATACTGTAGGAATAGTACTATAGGATTTCAAAGTTTCACTCCTCTAAAATCTCCCTTTTGTAGATAATCTGTTCCCTTTAGGACATCCTTTATGTCGGTTTGCCCTGATGTCAGCTTCATATAGTCACTAAAATACTGTGTATTGTCGGGGGCTTTATGGTGGTAACTGTTGCATATTTAGAATTTTATCTTACATTCTAAATTCCCTATGCGGCAGCAGCACCATTGAGTGATTATATCTGCTGATCAATAAAGTTGGCATAGGACTTATTAATGTATTGGAGGACGGCCTAGCGAAATGTTAGAAATACTGAAAGATGCTTTCTTTTAGAACCTTCTTTGTTGTACTTGTTGGCAGAGGCCTCACTCTCGCTCTATTCGAAGCCAAAATCTCTATCTCAAAGGCTTCTGGATACCGATTTTTAATGCTTTCCAGTCAGTTTCCGAGTGGCGAGGTAATCTTATGTGTCGTCAGTAGTGATAGAAATCTAGTTGCATATCTTCCATCTCCCGAGGTTTCTCTACAATATACTCTTCTAACTCCAGTGTTCATCTTAGCGATAGAAGCAAATAAGAATAGATGGATGCAGCTTAATGAAACCGAGGTCATTCCACGACTCCGCCTCAACTCATCCGGACACAAAGAAACACATTATAATGATTTATGACTGAATAGCCAGCTTCCTCGGCATGCACGGCGTGAATCCGGGTACAAGCTGCATTATCCAATGTGTGCAAATGATATGTCAATCCGAAGGCCTCAACCCCGCAATTCGACCCCGGAACCCCCTCAAATTTGATCTAGTTCTCCTCTTTTACGACTTGGCGCGAGATGGGATGATCTACTTAAGAAATATTCCAGCATTCGATCAAGTGTGTGTTTGCTCTACAAGCATCTCTCCGCTAAAAATCCAATTAAGATTGATTTCATTGTCCGACCTCCTTCGATCCATCCTACCGTCAGCTATCAGTCGCTATGGCCGCTCCTGAAATCCCCGGAAAGCAGAAGGCAGTCATCTACGACCAGCCTGGGACGGTTTCGACAAAGGTTGTTGAATTAGATGTTCCAGAGCCTGGTACCGGCGAGGTTCTGATTAATTTGTACCTCTTGTCGCGATTTTAATACTACATAGAATGGTACTGACAATGATAGAACACATTCGGGTGTGTGTCACTCGGACTTTAGTATCATGACCAACGGGGTATGCGCGCATCTTTTTTCTCTATCTCGGGCACTGGCTAATAATTCCCAGTGGAGCGGGTTCCCACATCCCACTCAGCCGGGCCAGGTGGGCGGCCACGAAGGTGTCGGTAGGGTAGTCAAGCTCGGTGCAGACACCGAATCCTCGAACCTGAAGATCGGGGATCGAGTGGGTGTCAAATGGGTTTCTAGCGCATGTGGGCACTGCCGTACGTATACAATTTACTCTCTTCAACAACCAAGACCCTGAGCCTAACATAGCGCCCATTCAGAGCCATGCCAGGCCAGCGCCGACGGACTGTGCTTCAACCAGAAAATCTCCGGCTACTACACTCCGGGAACATTCCAGCAATACACACTAGGACCCGCCAACTACGTAACCCCGATCCCAGACGGTCTCGACTCCGCCGCCGCAGCACCACTCCTCTGCGCTGGCGTAACCGTATACTCCGCACTGAAGCGTAGCAACGCGCGGCCTGGGCAATGGGTGATAATCTCCGGCGCCGGCGGCGGCTTAGGCCACCTCGCAGTGCAGCTTGCAAGCCGGGGAATGGGCCTACGCGTAATCGGCATCGACCACGGCAGTAAAGAGGGACTAGTGAAGGAGTCCGGGGCGGAGCATTTCGTGGACATCACACAGTTCCCGAGAGATGATAATGGCGCCGCGCTGACGAAGCATGTTCATTCGCTGGCGGATGGACTGGGAGCTCACGCAGCGATTGTTTGTACTGCTGTGAATGCGGCGTATGCGCAGGCGCTGCCGTTGCTGCGTTTCAGTGGCACGTTGGTCTGTGTGGGCATTCCAGAAAATGACCCGCAGGCCATTGCGACGGCGTTCCCGTCTGCGATGATTCTCAAGCAATGGACTATTACGGGGTCGGCAGTTGGGAGTAGGAAGGAAGCTATTGAAACTTTGGAGTTTGCTGCCAGGGGTGTTATTAAAGTGCATTATCGGACTGAGAAGATGGATGCTTTGACTGGGGTGTTCAAGGAAATCGAGGAAGGGAAGTTGCAGGGTCGGGTTGTGTTGGACCTTTCAGGATGAACACTGTGTAGGTAGAACATTTAATCTAACTTTATCTTATTCGCAGCTATAAATAATTTACTTATTTCGTCAATATGACCAAATGATGCGACGTTATGGCCAGAATATATATATCTCCTTCGGTTACCGTCACATTCGGTTATTATAACAATTCGCGATTATTCTTATTACAAATACTGAAAATAGTATAGTATATATTTGGCAAGAATTATTCACATCCAAAAAAAGAAAAGAAAAGAAACGGTAAAAGAGAGGTGTGCTCTCCCCATTGCCGGAATACAAAAACGAACAAAAAAAAAGAAGTGACCGACGCAGGGATCGAACCTGCAATCTCTTGATTCGTAGTCAAGCGCCTTGCCATTGGGCCAGCCGGCCGCTGTTATTGTAATTGTCAGCACTAAATGGTATCATAAACCAAAGCCTATTTTCCAAGCATATGGCAAACTTGGGTTATACAGGGTACAAAAGAATGAACCCCAAACAAGAGTAGCCGGCTATGAATAATCCAATCTATCTGGCTTAAGATGGCATAAGGGACATTATAGGGAAGATATCACTCTGATGTCTTTTCAGATATCGCTTTTTTGTGCAAAATGGGAAATGTTGACGCGGATGACTTGTTGTCAGGTTTCCATAGGCTATTCTGCTAGCCTCAATCTGCCCGTAGACAATAGCAGATTATTTCTTCTCTCGCATCTCTTGTGAAGAAATCATGCGGGTGTGAGCGGAGAGTGCTTTCGGCGTTTTGATAATATGGTTTGATTTGTCGAACACAATCTACTTTTATAGTCATGAAAGCGTACCTCCAGGAAACACCACCCCAGGATCCACTGCTAGAATTACTTTCTTACGACTGATCACACTCCACGGAAAATGAGGGTTACGTAGAGTGTCGGATGAATAGATCATGGTGGGCTATGGACAAAACCTTGTTGGGAATGATACTGGACTTTCTCTGATTGAGAGAATGGATCAAAGAAAAATGAATACGGATGAAGATGAAAGGCAGTGGCCGAGGAGTTGATTGGAGAAAAGAGCAGATTAATTAGAAACGCTCAATTGATTTGTTCTTACTTCAAAACATAGCCCATCCAGCGACTACTAGTATTCAACGGTCTCACCTGGAAATTTGAAAATCAAATAGAAATAAGGTATTGGTAATGATTTTGATTTTGTCGCAGGCTAACTTGTGGTAAATAACTAGGCTATCAAATGATTCAATGGCCCCATCAAGCAATGATAGCAAAAAGCACGCGCAAAAAGCCATCTAAACTCCCAAGAGCTGATCTCCTATCCAAAGCGAGAACACACGAACTTCCATCTCAAAATATTAAAGTCACCTACATCAAATAAACCATAGCAAGTCTTATACACCATTCATATAGATCATCGCAGTCAATTTTCGCTTTCTTTCGTCTCCAGGAGTCCCAATCGTTGTAGAAGACCCGTTATCTCTAGATTGTCCCCAGAGACTTCTTCACATTGATCACTCTGACCTGTTATAGAGCTGGACCTCGGGCTCAGAGACGTGTGCTCAGTTGACACCACCGGCTCGTAGTAGCCAACGCGGTACTGAGAAGCGATAGGACCCCGTTTAGCCCGTGAACGAAGTTGAGCGCAGCTATCACTATAGTTCCTCAATTCAGAATCGTTGCGGGTTTCAATAAAGTTTAGAGAGGTGGTAGACTCTGGCTCTCGTCTAGCTGGTGAACGAAACTCAGTATAATCATCCTCAGAGTTGCTCGACTTAGAATGATCGAGGGCTTCGGTGCATTGCAGGGAAGTGATAAGACTCCCGTCTAGTCGGCGTACGAGGTTGAGCACAGCAATCCCCATAGTTCCTCGATTCAGAACACTCAGGGGTTTTAATCCAGCCCAGGGAAGTGGTAGACTCCGGCTCCCGTCTAGTGGGCGAACGAGGTTGAACGCAATAATTTCCATAGTTTCTTGACTCAGAATCTCCGGGAGTCTTAACCCAGTCCTGGGAAGTGACAGACTCCCGTCTAGCCGGTGAACGAAGCTGAGCGCAATAATCCCCATCCCTCGGCTGAAAAAGTTCGGATTTTTCAATCCAGTGCTGAGAAGTGATAGAGTCCCGCCTTGCTGATAAACGAGGTTGAGCGCGGTCATACTCACAGACTTTCAACTCAACATGGTCAGCGGTTTGAATCCAGTGCTGGGAAGTGAGAGGCAACTGGTTTCTTGATAGATCTCCCGCTGTTTCAACACAATCCCAAAAGGCATCCCGCCTTCGAGCGGAACTAGAAACATACCCATCGCAATCTGTGAAGAGCGCATTCCATAGTTTGAATAGCTCTTGTGAATCCGGCTTATTAGCTAGTTCTTGTATACGCTCCCATCTTGGCTGCAGATCCTCTAGACGAAATTTCTTGAACTTATCAGATAGAACTGTCATCTGCTCCAGCGGCGTCTTTGCATGTTTAATGAGATCGAAGTGTTCATCATCGACGTGGTCTTCTATAAGTTCAAGGATGACCTGCAGTTTTGTTTGAATATTTTCGTATCCGCGCATCTGCTTCCAGTATTGGTCCACGATCGAGGATAGTTCGATGAAGTCATCCTCTCCAAGTTCAACGATGGATTTTACTTCGGGTCGGGCTGTGGAAATGTGTGGTTTTTCGGGCTCATGGATCTCGGCGTAGTATTCACCTGGGGCATCGGGGTTGCAGTACTTCCAGACTCCTTCTTTTCTGGCGTGTTTCTCGATCGCATTCTTCCATGATTTCCAGTTGCTGCGAGTGACTTTCTCGGGACGTTCTTCTAGATCTTGCCGCATCTTCAATCTTGCCTGAATATTTTCTTGTTGATGGCGGGTTAGCCTTTTGTGGTGAATTTGTAGCTGAGTGCACTGAACTAGAGTGATGATATAATTATGAGTTAATTGCCGAAAATTTGGAATAAGTGTCACAGGTGATCAATACATACGTAACTTTAAGTTTGATATCTGGGATGAACATGCACAAATCTGGTAAAGCTCGCCGCTCTTTCCAAGGGTTTCTCCTCCGGACAATTCCTTAATATAGGATGCATAAAAAGAATAGTCAGCCATTTATGTGGCCTTTCCCCTTGACTACATAGTTCAATAATCTGACCCATTTGCGTTCAGGTGATATAAATGAAGTTTTATTTGGATAACATTACGACGTCTTTATAGATGTTACCCCCCGTTATTCGTGCTGTAAGTAGAAAGGTGAGAAGAATGAGCCGCAAAACGTAGAATATGTGTGGTGAACAAGATGTGAAATGCGCAAAACAACCTTTCCATGTAAAACATGTGATAAATTTGAGGCTAACGAAGGGCCTCCATGTCTTGCTGGCGCAGGAAACCGCGCCCTGGTTGTGATTTGGTTAGATGATTAGATGAATCAATGTTATTGGTATATCTCAAGTCAGAATTTCATTTAGCTGCTGCTTTATCCAAAGAAAAAAAAAAAGAAAGGCTGTTACCATCGTCCACTCAGAAATCCCAATTTTAGAGCCTGATGACTATATCTTGTAAGGCTTTAGGGCTCTTTTCTACCCATGGACATGGACTACCTACATAGTTTGAGCTAGCAAGCTTTACCAATGTAAATCTCGGCTTCTATCAACATTTTCGGTTAAGCCGACATTCAACCACAGACCCAGTAACATAATAACTTGCCAGTTGCTGCTGGTAGAACCCGAAGAATATAGTTCCTTCTCATGGCCGACATACACCTATCGCGCCCTTATGCCTTTACTCTCTTACCTTTAACACTACATAGGTAGATCCTTGCACACGGCATCATTATCAAGACATACAGCACCCCTATAACAGGTATCCACCTACACCATGACAAGCCCGCCCATAAGCTAAACAGCACTAAGCAAACTAGCCCCTAAAGGATCCAAGGACGTAGCCGTGCGCACGGCCCAAATTGACTTTTACGGTCTAAACTCGGCTTGGATTTGAACAATCCTAGTCACACACCTCGGCATCAATCCTGTCAAAAACGTGGCATGAAAATTATCCACTTTTGAGTGCACATGGAATTCTATGGCCTAATAACTCCCACAATCTAGTTAACACAGTAAATGTATACAATGTATACAATGTATGTATGTTGTAGTGTATGCCCGATCGTAGGATTAGGACACCGTATCTTCGCGGCGTGTTATTGGTGTGCGTTATCGAACTTAACTTGTGCATTGGGCGTGGATTGAGGGGCAGATTTGAAATTTGAAATTGGGATGCGGTGTGGTCCACGTAGTTACATCCGTACATACTCAAAAACGTTAAGTAGATACATAGATCATCGGATGTGCGAAGCGATCGGACAGATCTGGATCTCAAGATCTACATTTGGAATTGTATGTCCATGGATGATGCCTGATCTTGATTTCGGCATTATATTTTTGTTATTGCTGATTCGTGTACTTGTTAGGCGCCCAAGAACGAGAAAATCGAAAATCGACGAGACATTTTCAAAGTGTGGTCGACCCACACTCGTTCCATGGTTCAGCTTCATAAATCGGGCTAGCTCATCCCTCTGTCCAGGTGGGTGGGAGCGGTGACACCCGGATCACGAGGCCGGACCATGGACGCGGGGTCCCATGGCCGCAGTACTGGGTTTGGGAATGACGACATGTCCTCATGGGACTCGTATTCTGCTTTTTACGTGTCATAGATATTGTTGGTTCCAGTGGATTTGAAAACTTTGTTTGTGCTGCCTGTGATAGTGTGATTGTATGTGAAAATAGACTATGGCAATACGGAGTAGTAACAGTTCTTATGGTCGGATATAGTAAACGAATGACATGACATGACTGAGAAGCAAAATAGAACTGGAGCGATTCGTCGCTGATGAAACGTAAAGACACGATGCAGCGGGGTATTGCAATGAATGAACAGATGACCTCCCAGAACAAGATAACAAATATATGTGTAAAAAAGATCGAGAACAATTCAACGGGTTCGTTTACTGTATCCCCCGGAATTGCCATTCCCAGCCGCCGGTCGCTTTTGTCCCGATCCCATAGCAGCGGCAGCAGCAGATTCAGCAGTACGGATCAATGATCCAAGATGGAGAAGATACGGCTTCGGGGCACGGTTGACTTCGATCTTGCGGAGAATGTCACGCAGCCGGTTGGCGCATTGGTGGAGGTCCACCGGCGGCAGGGCATCAAGCGCGTGAAGGACAAAGTGCCGCGCGTCTGTTTCGGAGTCTGTTTCGACCGACCCGATGAGCAAGTGGTATAGATTGCGCTGGTCCTCGTCTTCGCCGTGGAAGGACTGCCGACCCAGGGGATTGCCTTCGAGGGGATCATTATTGCGAGCCACAACCGACTCCAGGAGAGATACGAGGGCTTCGGCGGCGCCTTCCGAGCCGTGCGGAGCGCGCGCTGCGATGTTGACTTCAATCCGGGATACAGACCGCTGGAGCTGTGTTACGACGTCGTTGATCTCTACGCCCAGGTCTGGGCTCACGGGGTTCGCGGGCAACTCGCCGGTTGCGCAGTATCGGTCGAAGTCGTTGAGGAGTCGGCGTGACTGCTCTTGTACTTTGTCGAAGTAGATGGCCGCACACGCGCCTGCGGGCATCGCCTTGCAGAGGCTGTTGAAAACCCCGTCGTCGTGAACTGCAAGCCGGAACATCGTCGCTTCGAAATCTCCCTGGACCACGCACTGCTCTGCCGTTCGTGCTTGCTCGGTTGTCTCTGTCAAGTCCCGGCGGGTGTCTTCTGGAAGAGTCCGGTTGCTGAACGCAGAGAAGATGTCCCGGACCTTCTCTGTCCGCGTCATCCCATCCTCCTCCTCTCGTAGGCACTGCCATTTGAGCTGCGTTGCGACTGACATCAGATTACCCTTTAGGAGGTCCTCAATGCGGGGGAGGCGCTCCGGACGTCCGTCTGGAGTTAGTGTCACCTCCGTCGACCGAGGCGCGGGGAGGAAGCAGCCGTGCAGTTGGTCAACGAGCCACTGTTCAGGGGATGAGGGTTAGTAATGGAAGTTCAAACCCTTCAGCTTTCACAAGCTTTCTTCCCTAAAAGGCATACTCACAAAGATGTGCTGGCACGCCCCGTCCGGTTGATCCTGGAAGGCCGCGCAAGTGCAGGTAGACGAATCCGCGCCAATGTGCACTTGTGGCCGATCCGACAGCTGAAAGTCATACCCAGCGGGAGTAGAGCGACAGTTGACAACATCAAAATGGCCGGTCAAGCCCACAACGGCTCTGGCTTCAGACTCAGAATCTAGTTGGCTGAGGTCATAGGTAATGCCGGACGTTGCAAGGACGGAGGAGCTATTGGATTCGGACTGTTCTTCATCGCTGCTTTCTTCATCTTCATCCTCGTCCTCCTCCTCTTCATCGCTGGAGCTCTCCTCTGAAGATCTATCGTCTCCAGGATCACTGTCGTCGTTGGAAGTGTCCGACCGCCCCGCGCGGGCCGCTCTAGCAGGCAGGACTGTATCTGGCATGTTTCGACCAATAGACAGCCTGTGAAATTGCCCTGTTGGAGCGGACATGACGAAAAGAAAAGGGAGAAGACAAGCTTCCCTTAAGGAAATCAAAGAGGGGCTACAGAATGCGAAGAACAGACGTATTTTCCCACACGGTGGACTTTCGTAGACTCACAGAGTTCTCCCGACCCATGGACGGAAGCGGGTACACTGAACCATGGAACGGGCTTCCCTGGCGCCCGCTTTAAATAATCAGGGGCCATTGAAGAGACACTATGCATTTCATGCTTTTGTCCTCACTTCACCTGCGCAAAATAATTGTATCAACTTTCAGGGTGGGGGAATCGGTCTTTGCATTTGCAAGGGTTTTTTTTTCCCACCCCAACAGCGCTTAGTGAAAGGTGAGTGCTCAGGTCGCAAAGAGGGGAAATTTGGAGGCTCAATTGGAGGGTGCCGCAGGAGAGAATGGAAGGGGTGATGTCTCAACAAGGCTGCGCCGTTTAATCCTACCTAGCACCATCTCATGGGATCAGCATCATCGTGCAGCGCACAGACATCCGCTAATGGGGGATCTTGTGGAAAGATCTGGGGCTTAGTGGTAGGCAACCGGGAATAGATTGTTGCCCCGAGGATGGCTACGGCAGTCTCCGGGGACTTAGGACCATATCTCGTAAAGATGCTGCGCTGTTTTTGTCTGAGAGCAATGCATGCACCTGGAAAGAATGCAACTAGAATCGACAGAAAGTTAAAATCTTGGTATGCTGTATGTAGATCCCCGAGAGTCGCAAGGTGGCTGATTCTACAGTTGGCCAATGCAAAGCTTGCATTACATATTTGCATGTGTAGACGCCGTTGGCGAGCTCGATATTGGCCCTGACGCATGGAAAAAGCGCATGGACGACGCCGCGGAAGCTGGGGAGATAACGGGAAGTACTGTACTCCCCTCCCAGTACAGTACAAGATAAAACCCACCTGTACCTTACAACGTATAGGCACAAGCTGCGATTGCCGCCCGAGCAACCGAAAGCAAATTGGAAATTGTTTCAAAGCTCCAGCACATCATGATCCAGACCCACCATTCGGATAAGTTCTCTCTTGGGCATCATTGCACCCTGGTACTTTCCGTAGTGGAGAATTACTATGATGCCATGGCTCTCGGATAGGTCGGGGATCCGAGGCTCTTTTTTGTCCAGGTGCCACACAGCCAGTCCACGCGAAACCCATGCCTAAAAAAAACAAAACAAAGAAAGCGCAGTAAAATTCCTGTTCATCAATGTGGATGAATGTGATGGACCATTCCAAGCGAGGAGCGAGGATGGCGACTGGCTTCTTGGCAGACATGGAGAGAACCCGATGGGAATTCCGATGCTCCAATCCCCACGGCGAGCGCAGCTGAGAATAAGGAGCTGTATACGCCACAATGTCTTGATTCCTCCGGCACCATATGATGTCTCCAGGGTCACCAAAGATGCGTTGGTGATAGCAGGGGTCTGCCTTGCATATCGCGCAGAGTAATCATCAATCATTGGAGAGTGGATCACCGAAGAGTAAACGAACCAGAGGACATGTCAAGTGGTCTAAAAGCCCTGCGCAGGAGACTATGTTGTCTGCGGCGTTCTCTCGGCCGCAAGTTGTCCGGTGATTGATATACATTGTACTTCGTATAGTGTGAGGGCGCAGCGAATCCGAGCGCGGCGCACAGGGAGCTGTGCGGCACAGGAAGACCCGCCATGTTGGGTATTGGGTTTAGAGGTAATTCTTTATCCTTGCAATTTGATGCGGCCCAAGCACTGGAGCACCTTGAGACAAGGCACTTTTGACTGCGCAACACCGTCGATCGGCAGCAATTGGCGTTTAGCTCACTGGCTTGGCTATCGCCTGCCAATCGCCATCCCTCGGCGCCTAAAAAATGTGCTTTGCTCTGCACTGCGACCAGTTCACACAGGGCGTAGGTTATGGCTAACTTCATTGAGCTTCGTTCTTGAGGGTTCGAAGATATCGTCTGTGCGCTTTTATTTTCCTCCTTCCTGCACGTTGAATCACTTGACTGAATTTGGCCCCTGTCCGTGACGCAGCCACAGTGGCGCGAAGGGAGGAGCAAGCAAAGTCAGCATGGTGCCCTCAAAAATGCATCGGAGTCTCAAGGGCCTTCTTGGAGCGGGGCACAAGGCAACCATTAGGTCTATCACCAAAGTCATACTGCGAGTTCTGGAGGTAGTCAACACAGCATGATATGGTCCTGATATTTATAGCCAACAAGACAGGGTGAGAATGCTAAGACAAGAGAATCTTCGTGTAACATGGGGAAAAAGACTCCGTCAAATTTTGTGTTGTTGAATTGAACTAGGCATATAATCTTGATATTCATATAATCTTGTTTTGAATAATTTATAAACCTAACGTACTCCATACTGTGAAGAAATCAGAGAGGACCAGGGGTCCACATAGTAAGGATTGGCTGTAAACTAAGTGTGCGAGACAAAATGATCAAAATAGGCAATTTACCCTAGTCTCAATTAACTAATAGATTGCATAAAGTGGGTATCAACTTTGAAAATACGGGATAGAAGAAACACAAGCATGTGAAAGACTGGACAGGAGAAAAGACAAAAGGGTATATTATTGAAACGCAAGAAAATTCGTCGCAATTCGTCACTTCATGGATGTTCCACTCGGCTCGCTTCTAACCCGGTCAATGATGGGCCCTAGCAGCGTTGCGCTGCTTGGCTGCCTCTAGCGCTCTGCGGAGCCTCTGTTTATGTTCCAAGTCTTCATCCGTGCTTTGGCTTACGGGCGCTGGGCTGGGAGATGGACCCGGGCTAGTAGTCGAAGGGCGAAGACTTGGAGGTAGAGGCAAAGGCCCTTCACCAGATAGACTCGCTGGGGAAGAGCCTTGAACTGGAGAGATAGGGGCAGCGGCTTGTGGGTCGTTATGCAAGCCAAGTACAAGGCGCTGAATTGTGGCTTCAATCTGCAAAGGCCCCTTCTGAATACTCTGCAACTTTGAATTCTGTTCATCCTGAATTTTCTCATCCTCTTTTTTCTTCTCATTCCCCAGCCGATGGAAAATATCCGGATCCGAGTCGGCATATCGTGCCTCGGCGACAGAGACTCCATAGTCGGCATCGTTTAGAGCCATATCTGCAACCCCAGCGCTGCGGATGATAGCCTCGGAATCGGCTCGGAGGGACGCCGCAAAAGTTGCCGCAGATTTGAGAATCTGCTCAATTTCAGAATCCGGTAGACCGGAGGCTCGGAGGGTGGCGGTATCTAGCCGGGCTGCTTTCGAGGCAACCTCGTCCAGGAGGGTCTGATTTATACCTAGCCCATTCAAGATTGCATCGTCGAAGGAATCCATGAGTCGGTTGGCTCGGTCATCACGATCCTTGCAGGCTTCCAAAATATTTCGCCGTTCCATCTGGTCAAATTCTCCATCCACTTTTTGCAGACCGGCTATATCACCCATGACCACAAGTGGTCGCCGCTCAGCCCTCTTCCGTCGTCGCTCACAGTCAAGGGCCATCTCAAGACGTTTCTGGAATCGAATCTCAAGCTTGTTGTGAATATCGTTGACCATCTTCATGGTCACGGATGGGCTGCCTCGCTCGCCTGGTGAGCCCTTGCCCTGTTGATCACGGTCGAGTTGATTGAGAGCAGAGTCGTAGGACTTGCGAAGCGCCGAGATTTCATTTTTCAGGCCCTCATCTAAGGGGTTGGAGACATGCGTCATGAAATCATCTACTTCGTGTCGTTCCTCCTCTAATTGGATCCGAGCTTCGGTTTGCCGAAAGTCTTCTTCCAAGGTATTGATGTCTGCATACCCGATCTCTTTCCCATTGAAAAGTTCATCGATGTGCTGCTCGGATTCTTCCTGACGAGCCACACGCTCATCTTCCAGCTTTTGCCGTCTGGCTCGCGCTGTTTCTTCCCATTGATCAACGGTTCGTCCGATGTATGATAAATCATCAGGGAATTTTTCGAGTTCCTCTCGCGTCGTGATGTGCCAGGAGCTTTCCGAACGTTTGTCCAGGGGTGTCCATACTATGGTGCGTAATTCTTCCACGAGGCCCGTCGGCCGGCCTTGACGAAGAGCTTCTGGCAGCAATGGAAGTGGTGGAGAGTTTCGCTCGGCCGGTTTAGAATAAGCGACGCTCTTGTGACGGATTAGACCCAGGAAGGTCTCGTCTGTTTCGTTCTGAGCTGGAGAAGCAAGCGCAGTGTTTGACCTCAGTCGAGATGTAGGTGCCGGTGCGTTTGACATGACTCGCCCGCTGACAGCAGCTTGCCGTAGATCAGAATAGGCTTGGTAGGCCGGGCGAGCGAATGTCAGGTTATCCGAGCCTCGCTGAGGACCCTCTGTATACTGGAATGGCGTGTATATGGGTCGTGGAGGGTTCGTAGCCAGGGGCTCTAAGACTTGCTTCTGCGTATCTACCAACATGGTCGATAAGGGTCTTGGGAGACTCGACTCTGCGCCTGAGGGCGGAGTAGATAAACTAGGAACAAACTGCGAGACCCGTTGCGCTTGCTTAACAAGCAGAGGCCGACCACCTGAACTATACTCACTGCGAACATCATCGAAATCTTCATCCTCTGTTGCTGTTGCCGCCGAAGGAGGCGGGATTTCTTCTGATGCAACGGGTATCAGTCCTGACTCAACAGGCGGTTCGCTTTTGTTAGAAATAGATAGCGGCTGGGGAGGAGCAGGATCAGGAGCTCGCGGAGTCAGCGGTTTACTTTCAGGCTCATGCTCAATATTATAGAGAATCTCCCGGAGCTTGGTCTCTTTGGCCATAAAGGCTGTAAAGATCTTATAGCGTTCTTCATCCGAGTCAGCCACTGCCTCCTTGCGTAGCATGGCGACATATCTCTCCAACGATGATTTGGACCAGGGGTCCAGATCCTCGAAGGGATCTTGTTTTTTTGGGGTAGCCGCTCTTCTGGGTTCTTCAGCGATTCGTGCAGAACTATTCGAGTTCGATTGTAAATGGTCGAAGTACGATGAGCTGGTTTGCGCTGACTGTGAGCGCTCTACTGGGCTATTTTGATAGAATGCGCCTGGGTGGCCCTGCTGTTCTGGCTGAAGTGGTTTATGCGCAGGCGATAATGGGCGGACCCATGCATCTATTACATTATCGATGGTTTCTGAACGTCCAACCCCAGACAATGTGGAGTTGGTGGTGTCCGCGCGGGCCAGTAGAGGCGGTGTTGGGATTCCATGTGTTGTGCATGGACTGACGGGCGAATTTGAGCTACCCCGTCCCGACTGTGTTGCCCCAGAGATAGTAGTTGAAAGCGTTTCATTTGTATCTGTCCTCGGACGAGCGACCATATCAGACTCGCTTCCCACGAACACGTTGGGAGTATCGCCCGGAAGGCTTGATGGTGGTTGAAACCCTTCGTGATGCAGAGGGGGTGTCCTGCGAGGTGGGAACCATGCTGCATCATCGAAATTCCCAGGGGTTGGGCCAAGATGCTCCCAATCCGAGGGTGTTCCAAGACCCAGAGCGGATGCGCTGATAGATGTAGTATTTGTATTGAGGATAGGCGCAGGGCGGAATTCATAAGATCCAGTCATCGCAGCCGGCCCTGCGCCCTGAAAGAGCAGTGAGACTCGCCCCGTCTGATCATTTGGTAGGGTTGGTACATGCTGGATGCCTTGGGGGATCTTTGGGGGCAGTTGTGGAACACCGGGTGGTGGAGGTGGAGGTGGTGGTGTTTGTGTATACGGAGGTGGGGGCTGAGGGGTTTGGGTCCCGTGAAAAGAAGTTGCGACAGATGTATGCGACTGAGGCTGCGCATAGGCATATCGTTGCTCATTGGTACTTGGAGGTCGAGGCTATGCGACTTTTAGTTATTTACATTTTGACACCTCAACGTCGGACTTACTGGCAACGGGGGACCGGAGTTCTGGTTGAACCGTACTCCCCACGTGGTTGTATCCGCACCACTCGGTGATGGCAGCCTCTGTGGATTTGAAATCGGTCCATAGGTAGCCGGTGAATATGGAGCAGCCGGTGAATATTGAGCAACCGGGGGACGTGGAGGAGGCGGAGGAGGGGGAGGCCCTGGCTGCGACGGCTGCGACGGTTGCGAGGGGAGACGCGTAGGAAGTCGCCATTCTGGCTGTGAGGGAGGATCGTGACGGTTCGACTGTCCGTACATGGTAGGGTGAATCGGAGCTTTGAACACCTTAAAAAGACATAAGAATCTTATAAACGTCTAGTTTTTTTTTTTCAAGTGTCGAAGGATTCCTCCAGGCTCCAGGGCTGTGTTGTTGGGTCAGCACGGTTCACCCCCCACGAGACACCCAGTGCAACTTCCCAACACTACCCTGTTGGACCTCACACATATATATATATATAAGTACATATATCTGCTGGGAGATATGAGTCCAGGGTTTGATCCAAGCCTTAGGATTACAAGCCGAGAAAATTCCATACATGGTGTTTCATCCTTTGTGTTCATTATTCCTCTGTAGTACTCCCAAGGTTGTTTGTAACCAGTGGGCTCGGTGGATTTCAATCTCCCTGCTCATTGCATATTGGTATTGATATGAAGTTACCCAAGGGACCTGTTGGCTTTCCTTGTGGCGGAAGCAAGTTCATTTCAAAAGAACACATCTTTTTTGCTGTTCTTTGTTGAACTATACTCTCAAGTTGACTGTGTTCGTCTCCAAAAATAAACCAGCATGAGATTATCTTTTCTTTGTCCCCCGGGACTCTTTGATATGGAGGTTCCTTTCAGTCCTGACCTGCAGCAAGTATGAGAACTGATCTGACATTTATACTCTCATGGCAACTTCATGGGTCTGTGTCTGACTCCATGGTCTTATGCGATCTAAGGATATCGAAATCCCGAGGGTTGCCATACTATTTTTCGAATTCATATACCCATCCTTAGAACTGTTGCCCATTACTTGATACGTCAAGATATCAAGATGGACCCGAGGCAGCAATTACACGAAGTCTACCCCGGGGGAGACATCGTCAACCCACCCCCGTTTCCGAAGCGGCCAGATATCTTCGATCAAGCGCCACTAGCTCCAGTGTTGACTGAAGACGACGCATTTCTTGCCCGTCGATTTTGGCAGCAGCCCGACGAATCCCTCGGGCGTGCATGGAAGGCACATGCCAATCGACCTTATACACGAGCAACTGAAGAAGAAGAATCGGCAATGCATGCGTTGGCTCACAATGTCTATGAGCATTTGATGAGCAATCCACTTCTGCCTATCTCTCGTGAGGATGCACGAGCCAGATTTACAGCGGAGGGCTTGGACGAGACTTATAACGGCGTGCAGGGGCTAGACGCAATGGAACAAAAAGTGTTCATACACGGCCTTAATGTCAGAGATCCGGATCTTTGGACGAAAGATGCACTCACAGAAGAACTGACATCAAGGGGTCTGCGCACAGACGGGAGAAAAACAGATCTACAACGCCGTCTATGGGAATACGAATGTGATGAGCGCTTTGGGGTCTCGAGACAAAGCAACCTGAGTCACTGGGGTATCCATCGTGAGCCGAGGCCTGTAATGAGCCCTGCTACAAGAACGGATATGTCTGCACTCGAAATGTACACCGCGGCAATTAAACTGAGCCCGTACAATCCGACTTATTGGAACAGCCGCGCGTATTGTCATTATCTGCTGGGTCATTTTGATCTCGCCATTGGAGACGCCTATCGCGGAGAACTTCTCTGTGAAGTATTGACGACGGCAAACCAAAGGAATAAGCGGCCCGGGATGTATACCAGGGTCTGGGACGCCATCCAGCAGCATCTGATGATAGAATTGAAGATCAAAGGTGTTTCAATGACAAGGGAGGTTCTGCAAATGAGGAAGGCAAATGGTATCAACTATTTCATTCCAACTCTGAGGAACGCCCTTCACAGCATCACCAGTCTCAGCCTCGCAGCACTGAATTGCTGGGATGATTTCGAAGATCATATGCAGAGTCAACTCCAAAGACCCCTGCCATACCGCGATGTGGCAGTTCTAAAAAAGCGGATGACAGTGAGCGCTCCTGTGAAAGCGGAGATCGAGCACAGGAGAGAGAATCCCTCTGCGCTTCATCCATCCATTTATGGACACGAGTGGAGCCGAGGATGGATTTCAGGCGCCGATAAATATCCATACGACCAAGCGGACGTGAGACGCGAATCACCACATTTCATCGATGCACTCAATGCAAATATTTTCACAGTCAGTGCCAGTGGCAGGAAGTCTCCTAAACGGATATGCCAGGTGCAGCCGACACTCACAAAGGACAATTCCTTCAATGGTTTGGGTGTTTTTGCCACTGCAAACATCAAAGCAGGAGCCCTGATTCACTACGAGGAACCCATTATTCGTGGAAATCTCATTCCAAACAGGCTGCTTGATGATGATAGTGAAGACCCTCTCCACGCCCCACGATGCGACAACTGTCAAACATTGATTGACCCGGACGAAATTCACCATATCGAAGACAACTGGGACTTCATTCATAGCCCGGCGACCCTTCTTGGATGGCTACACCCGTCTAATTGCGTGTGTCTTGACATGATGTGTAACTGTTCGGATGTAGGATATTTCCGAGCTACGAGGGGTGCTTTGCTATTCTGTTCTTCCAACGATACAATATCAGATGGCGCCGCTCCCCATTGCTTGGATATAGCACGCGAAACATACCATTTCCAAGAATTCTGTGGCCTCGATTGGGGCTGGTTGCACGATGCCATGCGACCTAATAAAGTGAACTGGGGTGGATCGCAGTATTTCACCCACACCAATGAACGCCACGGGACCGTTTTGAGTCTACTCTTGAAGAGCGTGCTCGAACTCACGCTCCATCGCCGCCAAGAGGACCCTAATCTCCTCGCGCATGAAATTAACGAACTCCTGGTCCTCGAGGCAGGTACCGACGCGAACGAACCGTGGAAAGATAGCTGGTTCCCTTTCACTCTGGCAGGTAATATCCAGATACCTTTCGATATCCTCTTCAATCTTGGAGTGGACATCTTCAGTGACCTCTCATTCGATACTTGGGTTATTCAGACTGTGCTACGGAAGTTGCTGGTCAATGCTGTACCCTGGGAACATGCACGGCGAGGTGCGAATCTAACGTTCACTGACCGAGATGGTCCCAAACCGGTGCTACACCCAACACTACAAACTAGAATGAGGGATAGAAACGAAGATCTCTCGGCAATGGAGCCATCGTTTGGGAACTTCTACCTCTTTCCCGGATTAAGCATGTTTAATCATTCCTGTCGCCATTTTGAAAACGCACTGTGGGGATACGATGACAAGGTCCCCAACCGCGTAGTCGTCTGGGCGAACAAGGATATCATAGCTGGGGAAGAGATCAGAATTCCGTATCAACGGTATAGGATAGCTGATCCTGTTGGCAAAGACCTCGATCTCAATATGCACGCCGTGCAGCTCTTTGGAAAGAACTGCGAGTGTCCTCGATGCCAAGGCAGGGGGATTGTCCCTCCAGTTGGTAAAGGGAAGGCCAAATCTGTGTCCAGTAGCGATGCTACCCAGGACGATGGGACTGTTGATTGGACACCGGGTCCTGTGACTATTCCCCCAAAGCAGGAAACTTGGGGTGGTGTTCTCGGAGAGGACGATTCTGAGCTTGATGAATATATGAGAGAGTATCGGGAGATTGTGGATGATATATACGACCAATACTACGATCTTGATGACATGGAGTCCCAGGATGACAATGGGGAGGAAGAAGACGAGGAGGAGCATGATGGGGATGAGGTTGTTGATAAAAAGGCTGAGTATGTCAAGGCTGAGAATGGGGATGGGGATGGCCCTGGATATCCAAGTGGCCAGTGGAAGTCTTGCGGATTCTGAGCTTTAAATAGAACGATAACGAGTGATTTTGTTTACTTGGACATGCGAAATATGTAGCTTATGTTGCATTAAAATGTATATAAACCCGGAGTTAACCCACCCCAAACCCATATTTTGGCCGGACTTAGGAATTAATGAGGACATACCACATTCCATACCTCAGAGTACAGATACTTGACCTCGGGATACTTCAAAGTAGATTATTAATATATTTTAACCCCGCATGTGGTGTGCTATAAAAGCCCCGATCCTCTCAATTCACATTTCAATACCAAATCAACTTGAATCTTCTCAATTCCCACCATGTTCCCCCGAGCTGCTGCCCCCAAGTCCTACCTCGCTCGCTACCGCCTGTTAGCCCCCACTGCCGGTGTTAAGGTGAGCCCACTATGTCTGGGAGCGATGAACTTTGGTGAGGGCTGGTACGTGGACCTACTTGTATTCATGAATGTCCTAGATATCAATAGCGAGTAACACCGAAATAGGAAAGAACGCCTCGGCGAATGCAACAAAGAGACCTCCTTCCAGATCCTAGACACATACTACGAGAACGGAGGCAACTTCATCGATACGTATGTATAGCACCAATCCTATCAGGCTTGAATATTCAATGTTCCCAACAAGCCCATCACTAACAAAATAAAAAGAGCAAACAACTACCAATCCGAAGAATCCGAACAATGGCTCGGCGAGTGGATGGAAGTTCGCGGCGTGCGCGATCAAATTGTCCTCGCGACAAAGTATACCTCGCCCTACCGCACCCACAATCGATCCGAGATCCAGGCGAACTTCGTCGGCAATAATGCCAAGAGCTTGAAGGTGTCTGTTGAAGCGAGTCTGAAGAAATTGCGGACGGATTATATTGATCTGGTACGTGACTGTGGCTGTCCGATCTTTCGGCTTAGTTCTCGGGGATATACTGGCTAACAAATACCTTCTGAATATACAGCTCTACGTCCACTGGTGGGATTTCAGTACTTCCATCGAGGAGGTAATGACCTCGCTCAACCAGCTGGTTTTGTCTGGGAAGGTCCTGTACTTAGGTGTCAGTGATACACCCGCGTGGATCGTGACCAAGGCGAACCAATGTAAGTTTTACAGCCATCTATACCACACCACTACACCTATCCAAGTTATTAACCCAAACCACAGATGCACGAGACCACGGCCTCCGCCCGTTCTCCGTATACCAAGGTAAATGGAATGCGGCAACACGCGATTTTGAGCGCGACATAATCCCCATGGCGGCGTCCGAAGGAATGGGCCTCGCACCTTGGGCCTCACTTGGCGGCGGCGCCTTCAAAACAGCCGCGCAGTGGGAAGAGATCGCGCAATCCGGGAACTCGGGACGACAAGTTCCCGCAACGGAGCGGGACATTGCAGTGTCGAAGGTGTTGGAGACTATTGCGGGGCGACATGGGACTGCGTTGACCAGTGTTGCGCTGGCATATGTGATGCGCAAGGCGCCGTATGTGGTTCCGATTGTGGGTGGGCGGAAGGTTGAGCATTTGTTGGGGAATATTGAGGGTCTTGGGGTTGATTTGTCGGATGATGATTTGAAGGAGATTGAGGGGGCTTATGAGTTTGATATTGGGTTCCCCATGAACTTTTTGTTCCGGGGGGATGATGTGGTTAAGGAGGCGCATCCGAGCAATTCGACGTTTTTGAATGCTGCGGCTAACTTTGATTATCCTGATTTGGTGCGGGCGCCTAGGCCGAAGAAGTTGGATGCTTGAGGGCATTGGATGTGAACTAGAGGGTCGATCCAATGTCGAGTCTCACATGGTTCTGTTCGGATTAGTATTTCGTTAGTCGTGCAATGAAGAGATTTACTCAAATGGCACAAGAATAATACTAAATCAAAGGATATAAAACTTTTCCAAAAACAAATCCATTATATGCATACAGACACAAGCGGACCAAGTGAGATTTGTAAAATACATGGGCAAAGAACACACAAGGAAAACCCCAGGATCCGATATACAGTTGTAAACGTGAAACACAAATTTGAAAGTCGGAGATAAGACAAGAGAAAGAAATGCAAGATAGAACCCTTATTTCGAGACGGAAGCAGTGGCGCGAACACGACGGCCGAACTTCTCAAGCTCGCCGATGATACCGCCGCCAGACAAGCTCCACTTCTCGCTCACCCACTGGTCATTGACGATCTCACGCAGCAAGCCGCTGCGAGCAAAGTACTCCATGAAGCCACGAGCCTCGTCGCGAGTGAGACCGCCCAGCGTCTGCAACTCGAGGGGGCTGACAGCCTTCTCTGTAGGCTGAAGCAGGTCCAAAACGCGAGGGTCGGCGTCGCTGTAGGCTGGTAGTTGCGGGTATTCCGGCGAGGAGGTGCTGATACCGGCCTGGCGGGCGGCGAGGCGCTCCAGGGCAATTTTGAGACCCGTGGGGTTGGGGTTGTTCGAGAATGAGGTGGCGTAAAGGAGGAGACCGCCGTTCTTCAGGGAATCGCCTTCCTTTAGCAAGGAGAGGAAGTGGTGGACGAAGGCGAGGTCGTAGGCGTGAATAGGCTTGTATTCAGCGGAGCGGTAGGCGCTCTCGGTCATCCAGTGGGCCAGACCATCCACGGCAACAAGCATAGGGGGGCGGGGCTTGAAGTCCTTTTCCAACCCTGCGGCGGGGGCAGTGGCAGTGAGCTCAGTCCAGAGAGCCTGGAAGACGCGCCAGGAGACAGCAGGGTCATTGAAGCCAAGTTTGGCGAGGTCTTCGAGGGTCGAGGAAGGCTTCAGCATCTTCAGAGCCGGGTGGTTCTGGGAGACCTTCAGGCTAGCCAGGAGCTCACGGTTGGCCTCGACGGTGCGAGTCAGCAGAGCCGAGGTCGCACTGGGCTGAACATACTGCAGGGGGTTGCTACCTTCGATGGCGGCGTAGGCGGTGTCACCGGACACAAGCTCTCGGGCTGCAATATCGACAGGTCAGCAGCTGCAAAATTGCAATACACACTAGAAAATAGTACTACTTACCATCGGGGATAGTGACCACAGCCCACTTCTTCAAGAAGCCCATGGCCATAGCCTGCAGCAGGTGCACGGTCTTACCAGACCCCTTCATACCAGTAACAATTTTCTTGACAACCTTGCCCTTTTGGACATCATCGCCCTCCCCAGAGATCTGCTCAAACAAACGACCCATCTCAATGGTATCACGTCGGAGGACCGTTCCAGGCCGGCGGAATATCGACCAGCCCTGCTTGGGCTTGAAGGCTTGCACTGCTCTCAATTGATCGATCATCGGCGCAGGCAACCCCAGAACGGTACCACGAAGACGGGAATCAACCATAGTCTCCGGGGAGAGCTCTAGCATGCCCTCAATCTCAAGGGCATTGGGGTTGCTCAGGACAATGCGTTTCCGCAAAGCCTTGCGCTCACCAACGGCCGGGGGACGGCCGCCGCGATCAGCAACCTTCTTCTTCTTCCTTCTCAAGCTGGTTGACTGTCTGTGCTTCACCGCAGTCAAGCTGTTTCCCTTCTTCTTGGCCGGCTGGGCATAGTGCACGGCGGTGGAGTGGAAGGGGGCGCTCGAAATCCGGGGCGTTGCGGACGGCGGGAGGAGTGCTCGCGGTGTCGGGCGAAGCCTCGAGAGGCAATTCCAGCACCACGAGGAGGCCATTGTTGTCAAAAACACCGGCGCGGCCAGTGAGGGGACAACCGGTGCTGAGATGAAGAGGTGGGTGGGAATTGAGTTGAGAGAACAACAGCAGTTAACACTTCGGTCAATAATTTGATGCGAAATCCGCCCGCCCTGAGAAGGAAAGGCGGTCGGGGTGCCTTAGTCATGGCAGAAAAGTAAAAGCGGCTGTATCTGATAACCAACTTTTTTTTTCTTCGGGCTGATACCAACCTTTGAACATCAACGGTCTACCAATACTACTAGTATCGCTATGTCTGATACCGAGATGGCCAATTCCGCACCTGCGGCTGGTTCCAAGATCGAGAGACTGTAAGAACCCCCTCTTCCCGAACCGGATATACATTCAAAAAATATATCAAAGAAAAATATAAACTAATATCCCATGTCCAGGCCTATCACCGTCTCAAAGCCCACACCCTACACATTCGATCTGGGCCACCTGCTTGTCAACGACCCCAACCCCCTGGAGCTCCCGGCGGACCAAACCCTGAACGACTCGCTGAAAGCGACAGCCCGCGATGGCGTTCAAGTTCTGATCAACCAGCTCCTGACAACCTGCGAGATCAAGACCTCCGTCGCTGACGGCGTGCTCCTCACTCTGCCAGCGCCTAACATCCACCTCCCGCGCCACAAGCCGCTGCCCGTCCCCAAGGCGCCCACGAAATGGGAGCTGTTCGCCCGCAAGAAGGGTATCGGCAAGTTCAGCCAGAAGCCCGGTGCCGCTGGCCAAGACAAGGAGCGCCGCAAGAAGCTCCAGTACGACGAGGCTACTGGCGAGTGGGTGCCACGTTGGGGTTACAAGGGCAAGAACAAGGACGACGAGAACCAATGGCTTGTTGAGGTTGATGAGAAGAAGTGGAAGAAGGAGGCTGAGGCTAATGCTGAGGGCGGTAACATTCGTGGTATCTCGCGGACTGAGCGCAAGGAACGCATTAGGCGTAACGAGCGTAAGCAGCGGTCGAATGAGAAGCGGTCGAACCCTGCTCGTGCGAAATGAGGGGCTGTCGTTGATTGAGCTTGTTTTTATCAGGTTCTTCTGTGCTCTTTTCTTTTTCTTTCACGCTTATCCTATGGCCTCTGGCCTTTTCCTGTCTTGATTCTTTTTACATCTCTGGCGTTGGGGTTGGAAGTCGAATGGGATTCTTCATGTATTATGGACATACTGTGATTCACCAAAAGCACTCTTATTGCATCTATCGATGGCCTTTACTCAATAGCTCGATAGCCTTGATTTATCTGTGTGAGACTAGGGATTATTGTAACAGAAATGATCTTGCTCGAACCGAAAAGTACAATTTTAAGCAAAGTTGGTCATCCCATGGCTGCGTTCCAAATGGAAGGTGCCTTGGGTGGTTTCCTTGAATGAGTTCCTCTCTTGATAAAAACCCTGGAGTTCCTATTCTTCCTCATTCTATTTACTCTTCTTCTTCTTCTTTGTCCTCTTCGTCCTCTTCACACATCTATGGTACAGCGAGGAAGAGGAAATTGCTGTCAACTTCATTGCCATTGAGGCGAAGTCCGATTCTGGGGTTTCATCAGGCATATCTATATGGGTAAGTGCCCTTTCAACTTCCTACTACTATGTATATATTGAGGAGAGACTAACTCGTCTGGTGGAGCCGTACACTGTCATCGTAAGGAATAGAAAAAGCACGATTGCACAGTGTACGGCGTATCGGCCGACAAGCACAACTTCTGGTTCGGAAAGCTCAATGAAGATTCAGAGGTGAGCTTATCCAAGCCATATTATTTATAGGTGGTCATATTCTAACACTACCAGTGGACTCAACGAATTGTGATGACCTATAAAGCCGAGTACAGAGAGGCGTACAGAATCATGATCAGCATGATGAGCAGAGCAACTACCATCTCACCTTCGCATTAGAAACTCCCTTTCAGCCAGACAGACGCATTCCCACGAGAGTTCAAGGAACCGCGTGAATCGAAGATCAGCTTTCATGTGAAGGACAACAACGTTGAGATGATGGAAGATACTTGATGAAATTGTTCTGACTTTCCTGTTCCTCTGTGATTTTGTTCCTAGCCTCATCTCTTCGTTGGTAATTGCACTCGACCCCTGTTCCATCTGTACTTTTTCCCCATGTATTATGTACAAGAATAGTCGGCCGCATTTTGGGCCTTGTGGTGGGTGTCTTTTTAGTAGGTCTTTCCAGCTGGTCTTCTTAGTTGGTCCTTTTAGATGTCTTTTTAGCTAGTCTTTTTAAGATGTATAGAAAGGCGCTAAGAAAAAGCTTACTTTGTGCAAGAGACTTTTCTACCTAGGTATATATAACCTTTGATTTGTAAGGCTACGGGAATTATCGTAACTGAAATGATCTTGCTCGAACCGAAAAGTGCCTTTCCCACTTTGTTTATTGTACAATCCTCGAAAGGAAACGCCAGATAGATACTTCAAACAAAAAAAGATGAAAATGGAAATGTAAACCCCCATTGCGGAACGGAGCAAACGGGCATGAAGCAAATAGTAATGATGGAAATCAATGTCAACCGCAGAGGGGAATCTGGAGATGTCGCAATATCAAGCAAAGCATGGAATGAAATTTGTTGCGCTTCCAAATAGACAAGAGACAGCGAAAAGGGAGAGAGACAATGCAAGTCAAGCCAAATGGCACGAGTAAACGAAACGGCCGGCCATTCGCCACTTTCAGAGTAAATGCCAAGAGCAAAAGATGTACACATCGAAAAGGAATATTGAAAGGGCATCTGATCCCAATATGAGACCAAACGACAATGAAGATATCGATTAATCATGCGGATAGCGGACGATGGATGTATCGTATCGGAGGTATGGAGAGAGGAGAAAGTGGTGGAGGAAGGGAATGCCATTCTGAAACAACTTGTCCAGTCCTATCTGGTCCTGCAGATAGAACGGATATTGGGCCAGCCCAGTTGGAAACAGGTCATAAAAGGTAGATAACGACATGAAGCTGTTTTCATCTGAGACAATTCTGTGTCAGGAAAGAGGTCTGTCGGATTTAGATTTTGATAGGAGAGAGCGGTGGGCCAAGCTCGGGAAGCTGAGAGATGCTCCGGTTGTGTGACGTCTCGATATTCTTCGGCGGAGCCTTTCGGGTGCGAGCAGTTGCTGGGCGAGCAGGTTCTGGGAGAGCAATTTGTGGGCGAGTGGTTGCTGGACGTGAGGTCGCCGGGCGAGGTGGCTCACGAGAAGGCTGCCGAGAAGGTTGTCGAGATTCTTCCCCGGCGCTGCTGCTGGAAGATGAGATGGCACGTTCATGGCTGGCAGAGGCCCGTTCCTTTGCCTTAAAGGCCTCCTGCTCTATCGAGACCCGTAGGTCGCGCGCGTCCATCTTTTTCTCAATCTCAAGATATTCCTTCTCGGTCCAGCATCCCTGCCAGCAGTTCTTCCAGTCGCATACCAAGAATTGGAAGCAGAATGCGTCGATCTTCATACAGGGCTGGAAGCAAATGCACAAGTTGCGGTAGTCCATTTTGTTCTGGTCCACGTATGAGTGAAGGAGGTTGAGGTGGCAGGTGATGGCGAAGAGGAGATAGTAATGGTATGGCGGTAACTTGGAGAGCTCGTCTTTGAGAAGCTGTGGTGCCGTTGTGGCGCCTTCGCACTTCATAGCAATCATTGTTTGCGTCGACTTGGGGAAAAGCTCATCTGGAAGTTCACGAAGCCAAGCTTTGAAGAGAGATCCAACCGTATTAATGTCGTAAAGATCAGGGACATCGAAAAGATCGATGTCGAGTTCTGTGTCAAATCGTCGTTGCCAGTGCTTGACCTCCCTACCACTACCGGGAACACGGTAAAGGCCCTCTTCCTCGCAACCCTTAAAATTTAGATAATCAATTGAGCGGTATGGCAAGGCGGGCATCCAGAACTCGGTCTTGTCTCGGCAGTCCTCGAGCTTCTTCGCAATGCGGGTCTTTCTCGCCTGCTCAATGAGCGGGAGGTTGATCACCGAGCATGTGTACGAGTCATCGGTGATCATCTCTCTCTCGTTGGTACTGCCGCTGCGAGTAATCTTGCTAAAGAATCCTTTCCCGGCCTTGCCAATACGGTCTGCAGTGCCGCTTGATGAAGACTTCAGATTGCTGAAAATGGTAGCCGAGGCGCCAGAAACTTGACTTAGCGAACCCGATGCAACCATGCTACCGTGGCTACGCTCTTTTCGCAAAGACATGGTGTCGGTATGGCGCTCAGGAGGCCGCAAACCTCCCTGAATGCTGCGTTCGGGTCGCGCAGGCGCAGCCGCAGTTGCAGTCGCACAACGGGGTGGATTCGCGGCCGTTGTTGCGCTTTGACTGAACTCTTCGAGTTTTGCCAGACCAGTAGAGGGGCGCCGGCGTGGTGGTCTGGGACCGGAGGAGTCGTCAACTCGAATAGAGCGAGATCGGGTCAAAAGGTTCGCAAATCGTTGTTTGTTTTTCTTCGGTATGGCAGACTCTAGATCTGTAGCGACCTTCTTTGTGCCTGTTTGCTGCGAATTATTTTGGCCTGAAAGTCCATCTGTAGTTATTTTGTTAGATATGATCCACATGGTTGACGAGGGAAACCAACTAGTCCTTTCGTTTCCAGTCGCACGGGCAAGTGCCCCTGGAAGGTCAGGCGTTGATTCGTATTGTTTCGAAGCAATTGGTGTCTTCCGTTCTCTGGAGCTGCCTCTGCTCTTGGGATGTTCGGTGGAATTCTCCGAACTATCTGAGCGTTGTGACTTGTGTGATGATTTCGGTGCTTTGAGGTTGCCAAAGAATGATTTCGAGGCATCGCGCGTATGCCTTGAGTCTTTCGGAGAAGGGAAATGTTGAGGAATTGCTGTGATACCGGGTGTGGTAGGCTCGGCGGGGCCTGTGCCAGGAGAGAGTGCGAGAGTAGGGCTGGTTGCCTTGCTGTCGGAGTCTTGCGCCACAGGGCGAATCGTTGCGCCTTTGAAAAGTGGAGAGCTCGATGCAGACTTGGGTGAACGTGGTGTTAAGGGGCTTAGTCCATCTGAACTGTGGTCACCTAGCGTCACAGGCGATGAGACCTTCTCTTTCTTCGACTCGGTTTTCCACGAGCTCAGATCGAGGTTGGGCACTGTTGAAGCTCGGTTTGACATGTTGGGCGGCAGTTGGACCCGGTCCAGGATGTATGCGAAGTTTCGGGGGTTGAGGCTTTGTGGGTCGTATGCCCCGTCACAGCTTCAGATGAATATGAATTGATTTTTGGGCTGTTAGATGTGGACTTGGTCAGCGCTGAAACCTAAGTCACGCATGCGGCTGAGAGGCTCGTACGGGTATCAATGCTCGGGGTCTGACCGTGTGGTGGGGGGGCGAAGCGACTTTCGAGGCCAAGTAATACTGGGAGTTAGGTGATGTCTACCTAAACGTCAAGTGCGGTGACGAAAGTAGTATGGATCAAACGAAGTATCGAGGACGCGGGATCTGAAGCGCCAGTTATAGGGTCAGCGCAAAATCAGAGACATGTGAAAGGAGAAGCAGAAGAGCGAGAAAAAAAAAGACAAGAGGTGAGACCGCAGATGACATATGCAGGCAAACCCCGAGTTAAAAGAAGCCACACCTCGACTCTTTGTTGACAGACAAGGCCAGGAACGAGAAGGCAGAAACAATGAAGATGGAGTTGCCTGATTCAGCTGATCACTCACCAAAATCCTCATGTTATGGTTTTCAATTGTTTCCACCGATGTCTCCAGATTTGTGAGACCGGGACTTGTTCAGTGCAAGTTCACTTTCCCCCCTCTTTTTAGGCGCTTCGAAGTTCGGGGATCGGCAGGGCGGAAGGGGGGGCGAGATAGGAGTTGTGGTGGATCAAGGTCAAAAGAATTCAATTTCGATGATGGTATGATGTATGATTTAGGAGTTATCAGAAGTCAAGAGTTATGAAAGGTGAAGAATTGAACTGTAAACAAAAAAAAAGGTCGCCAAAATCCAAGTCTCTCCTAATAGACTTAGCGGTACACTAGTCCGAGTAGAGACTATCAGACAAGCCACGCTAGTATTATAGAAGTCATAATTATTAGATCATATCAAAAATATTATACCCACGTAGCCCTGAATATATTGTTTTTTGAGACATTGACACCTTTCTACGTTCGGTATTATCTTTTTTTCTACTTGGGCACCTAAATAATTCTACAATTTCTACAATTTCTATGGATACAAACCAAAAAAAGAGTGGAATATATATTTTTATTATTTAATTTCATATCTGATCAACCCCTGAAAGGCGAAACGTCACTTTATCGACCCAAGGAACACCTTTGGATGATCCGAGTGTGACGGTGGAGAGGCATCATAAATATCTATAAATGGTTATAAATGGTTATAAATGGCTATGAAATAAATGTCCATCATTATCAACTTCCGTGGATGACATTTAGGCTTACTCAATTGGCATTGGCTCGCGTTACCCAAAAGAAAACTCTCAGACACTGGAGCTTTACGGGATTGGATTCTATTTGTCAAGTCCAAAGGTACTTGATACGACTATAGTGGGCTGTACGAAGTACACGAATGATCGGAGCTCTCCACTTTTGTAGGTCAGAGCCACGGAATGCGTTGCCTTACGTTGCAGTCGATGTGGCCTGTCATTGGTTGATCGGAGAACCAGTGACAGTACAATAAATCAGGTACCTGATTTCCCTTGCCGGAAGATCCATGGTTGTGCTTGGAATTGTTTATGGTCGCATATGCACCTGGGATATAGTACGTTAATAGACATATATAGTCCATCTATAGGGAGTATATACGGGGTAGTACCTAAGCTAATAAGCAACTACCACTTTATCTATGTATTAAATAGAACCCTATCCATATATCAGGGGTAGGACCTAAATAGATGCACAAACGTGTCCGTGTCCGAAGTGTGTCGCGTCCACTTTTATAAATTAATTCAGCCTGGTCTCGGGTCCAACCTTGGAACCTATATTCCCGCTTACCGGTAAAGACCTCACACCATGGATAAACTGTCTCCAGTGGAGAGATCCTGTTTTAGAGACAATTTTTTTTTCGAAAGGGGTTTCCATTGCCTATAATTGTGATACGGTGTGCATTGTTGGCCCAAAAAAATCTTTGTATAACATGGGAAGACTCGGAGCTATAACGCTGACAAAATACTCCAGGGCACCAGATGTAGATAGACTAAATATAGATACTGAATAATGGTTTCAATTGTATTTTAGAGTAATACTCTACAGCATACAATTCCTATTATGTACTATTTCTAGCACATTTTTTGCTTGATACTGCTCTTCCAAGGTTGTCTTGCACACCGCCCACCTATTTCGCATCCGAACGTGAGGTTCCATCCAATCTGAAACATGGCTGGAGATGTCAAACTAGCGCCTCGGGGATGACAATGCTTTTGGCGTGGTGCACGGGACATTTTGAGTGGATATCATTAGGCTTCTGCCAATCAATGTCGAGTATAAGAGTATCGCAGAATGTAACAGAACCTTTAGCGCTTGCCCAGGTGGATTATAAAAATTATAAAATTGATAAAAATATGTACTAGCCGAAACTTGGAATTGGCACGTGCTCATGCTGCTCACGTGAGAACGCACGGACCAATACCCGAAAAGCAAGACTACCGTCTTCAAGCTAAGCACCGGCATTAATTGTGTATTGACAATGATAGGTGCATAAATGATGTAGCTGGCAGCTTCACCGCCCTTTTACTGCCTTGTATTCATAGTCTCACAAGCTCCCAGATCTTCAATCTACTAACCTGCACATCTCTATCCAATCAGTGCTCATCTTCTGATCAGCCACCCCCCCCATCATTCCAAGACATGGCCCTAGTATCGGGCCCTGGTAGAGCCGGGGGTAGCCCCGCAGACTCTGAACTACATACCTCAAAGCATGTGACTTACATCAAGAATCTGGACACTGTGCGTGATCCTTGAAAGAAAATGCTGAGTGAATGATGATGATTAACCAACATAGAGAAAAGATGAGCTGGAATATTGGCTGACCGAGCACCTACGACTAAATGGTGTTTACTGGGGTCTCACAGCCCTACATATTCTAGGTCATCCGGATACGTTACCTCGAGATCAGACCATCGATTTCGTTCTCTCGTGCCAAAATGACAATGGGGGCTTCGGTGCTGCCCCAGGTCATGATGCCCACATGCTGTACACCGTCTCTGCCGTTCAAATCCTCATAACCATTGATGCTGTCGATGAACTCGAGAAGCGGGGCCGAGGCGGCAAGGAGAAAGTTGGATCTTGTACGAGAATCTCTCATATTCACTGATGCCAATTATGATCGTTTATGATCGTTTACTAAACCATTACAGTTATTGCAAACCTACAGAATGCAGATGGCTCCTTCATGGGCGACCAATGGGGCGAAACAGATACCCGGTTCTTATATGGTGCCTTCAATGCATTGTCACTATTGCGTCTGATGGACCTGGTCGATGTACCCAAAGCCGTTTCTCATATTCAAAGTTGTGAAAACTTGGATGGAGCTTATGGTATTCGCCCCGGTGCCGAGTCCCATGCTGGCCAAGTGTTCACTTGCATTGGCGCGTTGGCCATCGCTGGTCGCTTGGACTTGGTGAATAAGGATCGCCTCGGAGCTTGGCTCAGCGAGCGCCAGATCGAAAGCGGCGGCTTCAATGGTCGACCAGAAAAGCTTGCAGATGCATGCTACAGCTGGTGGGTTGGATCAAGCCTTGCCATGATCGACCGTCTGCATTGGATCGATGGTGAGAAGCTTGCCGCATTTGTTCTACAATGCCAGGTCAGTTAATCGACTATTGTGTGTGGAATCTATTGCTAACCCTTATTTAGGACCCTGATGCAGGTGGCTTTGCTGATCGACCGGGAAATATGGTGGATGTATACCACACAAACTTCAGCCTTGCAGGGCTGAGCTTATTGAAGTTCAATGGTCTTGAAGAAATAGATGCTGTTTAGTGAGCTGTGGTGCATCTGATGTTCTATTGTGTGGTTTGCTAACTTGGATGAATAGTTGTATGCCTAAGTCAATCACTACCAAATGCCTTGCGGGGTAATTCATCAGTTGATTGATGGATGGATCAATGATCAATTGATCCATATTGAAACCTCCCGCAATCTAATAACCCAGCGTTCTTCTCAATGGGCTATGGGATACAATGCGGGAGGAGAATATTGCCCACTTTGACTTATTCCGCTTCATACCCCTCTACAATGGCCAAAGAGCTGTTAAGACATCGTGGTACATGCACTTTGTATACACATTGTGTACCTAAAGATAATGATGAAAAGATGAATGAAAGTTATTCGGATAACATCCCGTGACTTACCCGTGACCCAGACGCTCCTTCCTTGGATGTCAATACACGATTGATAAGGAAGAGAGTTAAGCCCGTCCGCTTCTTGTTTATAACGCCTCATCTTCTTCCCCCCCCATCGCTCCTTCACCAGCTCCGTTCACACCCACTTTCTTGGCTTTGACACTTTGGTTGTTTTGCCCTTTCCATTTGCATATCATACTATCTGTTTGTTGCTTCCTTCAGGGCTTGCATCATGGATGACACCATCCTCGTGTGCAGTATCTGCCCTGGTCAGCCCCGGTTCAGCGATGTTTCTCACTTGTTGACCCATGCTGCCTCTAAGGCTCATCTAGCCAGCCACTTCAAGCTCAAGCTCCGCACTGACGATCCCAACTCGATCGAGCTTCTCAAGCAATACGACGACTGGTTCGACGCCAATGGCTTTGCGAAGCAGCTGGCTGCTCGCATGGCCAGCAAGGAAATTCGGAAGAAGAGAAAGTCGGACGAAGTATCGGCTTCCCAGACCATCAAACGTACAAGGAACCGAGCATCCGATGTCGAGCCCGAGGGCTCCAGCACTTGCAAAATCACAACCACCCCAGTCTCTGATTGCCTCGATCCTCGCCTAGCCGATTCCCACAATGACAAACAGCACCATGCAGATACAACCCTCACACCAACTACACCAAAGCGGTTGCCAAACAGCAATGCGGAATCTCGAACGGGTCCAATCCTCCGCTCGATGCGATCCTTGAATGGCACGAAGTCAAGCGTGTTGCATCCAGTGGATGCTTCAGGGCCCAGCGATGAAGCCCGATCATTGGCTTTGCCGGTGACACCGATACAACGCCGGCATAAACCGGACCCATTGGAAAGAACCTGGGCTTCCGGCAGAGATACCCCTGATCCTTTCATCGACTCTGGCAATCAGACTCAGGCATCGTCAGGTGACCCCGAGACTGACAAAACTCGGGCTGAAGAAATTGCAAGACTCAAGGGAGTTCTGTGGCCAGGCATGAATATTTTTGATTCCGCCACGGTGCAGATGCGTCGTCGGCGCAACCAGAAGAAGGATGGTGCTGTGTTGAGGATGATGGAACTTACTTCTTCGCTCGTGGAACCAACCGAACAGGTCTTTTCCCCACACGGCACCCTGTTGAAGGAGCGCGTGATCACGGGCAATGTAGAGGAATACAGCCCACTGAAAGGAGAGACTCCGATTCCCAGGCGAGGCCTCACTCGTACTAGGACTGTTCGTTTGACCAAAGCAGACCCCAACGTGCCCCGCGCTTTGGACAGAAAGCGACAGAAAATTGACAAAGACCGCAAAAACATTGAAGAAGAAACAGCCAAAGAAGAGCAAAAATCCCCCCGCCGCGCGCGCCGCGCGGCGGACCGCACTCACTCTTATGTTGGCGACGATGAAGAGTTTGGTTTTACTGTCAACACCTTTGGCAAACGGCCGAGGGGTGGCTTCGACGTTTTTGTTGATGAGGAAAAGGAAGAAGAGGAGAGCAAGACATCTTATCAGGAACTAGGATACAGAACGCAGTTTGACACATTGACCCCCACTCGCCTTGTTTTGAACGGAAAGACGAGCACCGGTATTCATGCCTCGAGAATTGGGCACACATCCCTTGACAAGGAAAACATCGAGCCTATTCTGAACCCGCAAGGTCGAATTGGCCCCCATGGTTGGCACTCCCCATTCGCTAAACGCACTGACCCCGATGACTTTGGATTCGGCCTTCCATACCTTTCTGATCTTGGTGATCCATACGACAGCTTTGACAAGGCTGGGTATCGATTCAACCCTCTACAAGCACCCTCAAAGCACCCTTTCTTTGACAGTCAGTACGAAGAGGAGCAAACTGCAGCCCAGAATGGCTGGCTTTCAATGAACCAGACAGTTCCATCCGAAGAAACCATACCGGAAGACGACCACTTTCCCACATACTACTTGACTACCGATGCGAACTAAATCTCTCGACCCTGTTGATCAACCCCAGATTAGTCTGCTGGTCAACTCTGCGACACAGTGATGCTATGCGATGTTTCCCGAAATGACCGAAGATGTTACGGATATCCAGAACCGAAAACCCAGACAGTGACAGTGGTAGCTTTACCATGATTTGCCCCCACCCGACAAACATAACTTGCTCACACCCAGGCTGATTGCTATCTTTCATCAATTGTGATTATCCATGGGGGTGTCCATTTGTATTTCTCATCCTTGTTGGGTTGTTTGATATGCTGTACAATATCATGATTAGCCAGTATCAATATGAAGAATGTGCATTATGGATGTTTCCTGTGCCGTTACGTATACACTGAGATAATCTTCTTAGAGGCCCTCTTGTCTTGTACAGCCCCAAGGCTGTTTTTGCACATTTGCCCTTCCATATCTTTTTGTATCTTATTTTGTAACCACTATATGTACAAGCAACTGGGCGTTTACTGATTTCATCCTAGGCCAAAGAAATACTAATGATTTGTCGCGATGCCGCACAAGTACCAGCCAACCACATACACACATCTAATGACAATCACTTGCCAAGCCCCGCCTCTGCAGGAAGAATGAAACTACCGTCGTCTTGCCCTCTGAAACCAGAATACGTATAATCATAAGTCGCCGGCGAATGAGCGGGTACACACCTTCAATCCCGACTTCCTATCATGATACCACCTACAGAGCTTTCGTTGGCTACAGGCTTGGCTACACGGTTGATGATCGGCAGTCAAGCGTTGGCTCTACAACCCAACTTGCTTGGAGATGATTTAGTCCTCAACGCTCCACCTAAAATTTGGCTATCTTTTAACACTTTTATATTGATGCAGCTTGTACTCGAGCTTAATATAGTCAGGCCCTTTGAATATCTAGTCACCAGGCAACATCATCGAAAAGTACAACGTTGGAACGGGGTGAAACAGGCTGTGATATCACATCTTCGATGTCTCGTCTTAAGCCATTCACAGCCATAAGATCTTGAAGAATCAAGCTAACAATTATGATGATAGGGCATTTCTAGTATATGGAGATAATCACCAACTCGCCATGAACGGTGAGGTACATCAGACGAAATCACCCGACTTCCTAACTTTGATGGCTCCGGGCAGTGCGAGATACATACAGTCCCATACCAATTGCTATCCTTATCTCTATATGCTACATGTCTACATGTATATACTGCTTTGGTCCCTTTATCCCCACTGTGAGAACGAGAGAGACCGTGAATATACTATGCACTACACATTCACCCAGATATATAAGCAGTTGTTAACTAGAATTCATTTAGATATTGAATCACAGTAACTTTAGTTTACAGGGCACTAGTAAGTAGCATCTATCTAACAACATGACCATGTACTGCTCCGATGACTGGCTAGGTTACTGGTACCACTGGAGGGCTATCGTAAAGGATCACGGGCCGCTAGCAAATGTTATCATGGCCTGATCGTACCTCATCAGGGCGTCATTTGCGTTTATATGAGCTAGGTGTACCTAGATCAGCTGCTTATGCTCCGACTACATTGAAAGGCCCCATGATTTAAGTTGTATCGAGTTACTTTATTGATTACCGGAGACTAGAGGGAAGAAACTGGAACACCTCCGCAAGTTGACCAGGTGCTTGATGATAATGTGTCTAAATCTGCCTAGTAACCTTTATACCTGGTCAGGTGTGCCTTCCATTTTTGGTCACGGACAACTCGTCACCCACCCCAGTTCTCCCATGGCCTTCAGCCATTGGGAAGGCATAAATACCTGCCCCTTCCCATTTCTCCCTCCTCTTTTTTCTTCCTTCTTCAACTCTCCGGGAAACCGGTAAATGTTCAGTCTCCCAGGGTCTTTGCTGCGGTTCAGGTTAGGCTGACACTAGATTGGGGCCTCGGCTCTAGTTTAATGGCACGAAGCATGTCGTGGCCCGGACTCGTTCCCCCTGCGACCTCTGTGGAAACAGACCGTCCTTTCCTGGGTTCTCCATTGACCTCTGGGAGCTGAAAATCGTGCTCTTTGAGCTAATTTTTGGAACCTATCGTAACAGAGACAGCCCTCTGTTGCCCAGTGAAGAATCCTCTGAGGGCGCTTTCTTTTCTTGAAGGTCCCTTCATGACTGTGCTTTGTGTCTGCCTGTCTGAATAGTACATATGTACTTGATGACTGCTGCACTCAGCGCAGGTTGATGGTTTGTTACTTGCAAACCTCCCCCATCCCCTCCCCCCCCGGCTCTCTCTCTCTCTCTCTCTCTCTCATCGTAGATACCTACGCTCAACAGTAACAATACCCATTCGCTTATGTAAATCTTGATCATACCTACTAAGCCCCACTCCTTGTAGATAGGCCTGTGGACATATATTCACTCTCCTACAACACAAACTTGACACACATGTTGTTCTGGGTAGAAGCCATTCTCACCGTGAACTAGGGTTATAGATGAGCTAGAGATGGCACGGACCCCTTGGATATATTCGATGAGATTTTTATAGAAACAACCCCGGAGATTTGAGTTAATGCTTCAAGTTGTGTATATAATTCTAGTTCTAGTACATTTGTGCCTGATATCTGATAACCTGGAAGATCAAGCCTTGGGACGCCCCGACCAGACTGGTGCTGAGTCAGCAACTAATTAACGCCCCAGCGCGTTCTGTACGCGTCGAGCTCCGAGTAAAATGCGGAGAACTCACATGGAACTCGATTTGAAGCATTCTTAGTGTAAGATCAAGCTGAGATGCAATACACCTTTATTAAGTTCCATTGAAGTCCGTCTACCAGCACCACAACCCAAATTCCTACATCCAACTAAACTACCACTCCGCATACTTGCAGTGGGAGCAATTCGAATCATCCTTCGTCAAGATGGCACCTCATTCTTCGCAATCCTCCGCACCCTCTCCATCGTTGAAACGAAAGCAAGCAAGTATCTCCAGCTTCTTCACCCAGAAACCAGCATCCTCGGCCACGCCCAAAGACTCCGCACCGACCCCGGCCAAGGCACCCAAGAAAAGACAAGCGTCGCCAGTCGACAAGATCGAGCCGAAGCAAGACGATACAAACCCAGCAGATGGAGATGACGATGACGACGAGGATATCGTGGCACCGGCACCAAAGCGAGCCAAGACCACCGGCACAGACGCGGAGGAGCCAATCCGAGTTGCGACAAGTGTGCACTTCGAGCACACATCTCAGGCAAGCAGCAGCCAACGAACCGATATTTTCAAGTTCCAGAGCTCCCCTGCTGTTGCGCCAGTCCCCGCAGAGGAGGAAGACCCAGAGCAGGAGCAGCGGAAGAAAGAGAAGGAAAAGCTGCACCAGCAGTTCGTCCGGAAGCTCGGTGGGTCAGACTGTCAGGTTGGAATCGGGAGAATCGCAGTGAGCGATGCAGCTAGCGCGGAGGCGGAAGCTGCAGAAGCAGAGGAAGACGACGAGCCTGCACCACCACCCCCGACCAAAGGCAAGGGTGCGAAGAAAGGCGCGAGCAAGCTCACGCCCATGGAGAAGCAGGTCATTGAGATCAAGCGGCAGAATATGAACACAGTGTTGGTTATTGAAGTCGGATACAAGTTCCGGTTCTTCGGAGAGGACGCGCGCATTGCGGCCAAGGAGCTGGGCATCGTGTGTATCCCCGGGAAGTTCAGATTCGACGAACGTAAGTACTTTCTGCGTGTCGGAATGCCGAAAACATACTAATTCTAGGGCCTACCGCAGATCCATCCGAGGCACACATTGGCCGGTTTGCTTCGGCTAGTATCCCTGTGCACCGATTACATGTACATGTAAAGCGACTCGTTACTGCCGGCCACAAGGTCGGCGTGGTGCGACAGATCGAGACGGCTGCGCTCAAGGCGGCGGGCGATAATCGTAATGCGCCATTCGTTCGCAAATTAACCAACCTCTACACAAAAGGAACCTATATTGATGACGCTGAAGGTCTGCAGGGCCCTGCGCCGGCAGCGGGAGGCGCCTCCCCCGCCACTGGGTACATGCTCTGTATGACGGAAACTAATGCCAAGGGCCCCGGTAATGATGAGCGAGTTCATGTTGGAATTGTTGCTGTCCAGCCGGCTACAGGTGATGTTATCTACGATGACTTTGAGGATGGCTTCATGCGGAGCGAGATCGAGACACGACTATTGCATATCGCTCCCTGCGAGATCTTAATTGTTGGTGAGATGTCTCGAGCTAGCGAGAAGCTCGTGCAGCATCTATCTGGAAGCAAGATGAATGTTTTTGGGGACGCTGTGCGCCTCGAACGGGCTCAGAAGAAGAAAACCTCCGCCGCCGAGGCTCATAGCCATGTATCGGGATTTTATGCCGGGAAGATGAAGGCTACCAGTACCGAGGATGATACCCAAGCTGCGAAGCTGCTTCACAACGTCCTTGGCCTCCCGGAGCAGGTGACTATCTGTCTGTCTTCTATGATCGAACATATGACTGAGTATGGGTTGGAACATGTGTTTGACCTCACAAAATATTTCCAGCCCTTCTCGGCTCGTTCGCATATGCTTCTGAATGGAAACACACTGGTCAGTCTAGAGATTTACCAAAATCAGACGGACTTCTCGACAAAGGGTAGTTTGTTTTGGACCTTGGATCGGACGCAAACGCGATTCGGACAACGCATGTTACGGCAATGGGTTGGGAGACCTCTGCTGGATAAAGTGCGCCTCGAGGAGCGGACAAATGCCGTGGAAGAGCTTATTGATCCTGCGCGAGCGGTTCCCGTGGAGAGAGTACGAGGGTTGCTACACAAAGTCAAGAGTGATCTTGAGAAGAGCTTGATCCGCATTTACTACGGAAAGGTAGGGAATACTTCTACGATGATGACCACGCATGTACTAACGTTGAACCAAGTGCGAGCGACCCGAACTTCTCACTGTTCTGCAAGCTATGCAGTTGATTGCAATGGAATTTGCAGATATCAAATCACCTGCCCAGACGGGCTTTCAATCATCGCTAGTGAGCGAGGCCATCGCATCTCTGCC